AGGCGATCAGTCGCCTGACAAAATGTGGGAGCTCCTCGGGGGGGAGCATGTCAGCGAACCCCCGTATTTTGATGTTTTTACTCCTGCTTCTGTCTTCTAATTGTTCCATTCGGCTCGATAGGTGTGTATAAGAGGAGTTAAGGTGTTGAACTGTGTCCCCAAGGCTGTCCATGCCCTGTTTCAGTGAGGTGATGTCTGCCTCTGTGGTGTTTAGTCTAGCAGTTACCTGCTGTACCTCTGTCTTCACTGCTGTGATGTCCGTTGTGAAGAGCCTCCGCATATGGAGGAATAAATTGTATATGTCTCCTTTTGTGGATGGGGCTTCTCTGTCCCCTGACAAAAGGGACTCCAGTTCTGGCGTGTTTTCATCCATGAGAGTAGGTTGGGCTGCAGGCCGCGGGGGCGCTATTTCTTTTGCGCGTGGCGCTGAGCTGAGCATTTGCCCGATATCTTGGCCCTCTCTGGCTGGTGTTTGGCTTTGCCCCGGGTTTTTTCGCCCATTGTGTCGTCGGAGGGGTCGCCCAGGATGTTATTGGTGAGGAGGTCGAGGGTGGCCCCGAGGCTACCGTTCCACTCCAGCCGCCGGCTGCCCGCGTGGTAGGCCCGAGATCCTCGGCGCCGGATTTTAGTGGTCGCCGGGAACAAGAAGGGCATCTGCGGGTTCGATGGGTCCTCCTGCGTGCAGCTCTGCGGGTATTGTCCGTGTGTGGCTGATTTAGTCACCGATATTGTGGGTTTATTAGCGTAGATGATCGGAGCCGGTCCGATTTGCGACCGTCTCCATGTGCTGCTTGGCTCCGCCCCCCAAAGATACATGTTTTTAGCGAGTTTTCAGTAGTGTTTTGCCGGAGTCGCTCTGACTTGCCCGCCCCCGCCCCCCAGGTAACGTGATTCTTAACCAGACAAAGGCAGAACTTAATAAATGAATGTTTATTATGAGCAAAAATTAATCACAGTGCATATAACAATATATGATAAACAAATGATTTACACCAACAACAGATAAAAACAAAAAGGATAAAATACAGAAGTCCTAATTACTCACTTAGGTTTTCAAAGTACAACTTCTGTACAGGGGGTCTCTGGCAAGGAAAGATGGTGACTCACTCAAAATTAGATCTTGGCCCCAAGCAAGTACAAAAACACCCTTCAGAATCACAGGAGATATACCCTGTGAATTGCCACGCCTCATCCAGGGGTGGAGCAATAGGGATACTAAGTGACCACCTCCTTTGTTCCAGAAACCAACAAGCCACATACAGACTTTTGGTTTTATCTCTTCTACTGTACTTGCCACAGAAATAATAATTGCCTCTATGAATTTGTTATTGTTTTCCCATTCCAAAGACATGTTGCACGCCCCACCCACGATCCAATAGGACAGACATCACAATTCCTGCCACACGGTTTAAGTTGTGCAACTCATGTTTGGGCTTAATTAAAAGATTGGGCTTGTCCCATTCCAAATATAATAAAAATGAGGCTTAATTATTAACCTGTGGGTAAGTTTGAATGTTTCACTTGGATAAGATACTGGAACACAAGGATCTTCATTAAACGAATCCCATTACCATTTCAAATGATTGAACTATGCTTTACAAGGTACATGCCAAATGGATGAAGAGACATTCAGACTTTTTCCAAGTGTAGAACCTCACACCTTGCAGATCATTGATTACTTCACATGCATATAGTAAAATCCTTTTCACATTCCTATGCCATTCATACTACCCCTTCTGTCATCTGACCTCTGTGGGGGTCCCAGCTTCAAAAGATGTAACCCCTGTTGACTTCAGCAATAGCATCTCTGTAATTTGTGCCATTTACTACACAAATTACATTTAAATGATGATATTCCCTAGTGTAATAATAAATTATACACCCTTGCCGTGACAGAAAACCCTGGCAATTGAGGTCGGGTTCATAGAAAACCCTGGCGATTGAGGTCGGGTTCATATAAAAAAACATCCTGGCGTATCTGTTGTTGTTATTTTAGTTCAGTTTTAGGAAAAAAAGCTGGTGTAAATAGGTTTAGTTTGGTAAAATAATAAAAAACGAACGAACAAAGAGTTAAGTTGTTGTATATGAACTTGAGTGTTTCTGTGTGTGTGACCTGAGTTTATTATTAGCTGGCATTTATTTTACGGACTTTGTGGTTTAATTGCATCTGTATATTGTGCTTTGGCATGTATATTGTGCTTTTGCATGTATATGTCTTTTTGGGTATATGTCAATTGTAATCTATACTATCTGTATTGTCACTCTCATATTCTGTCTTTTGTCCTAAGGAGAGCTGTGCTTAGGCAATCACATGGTTAAAAACCTTTGTACTTGCAAGTCTTCTCCCCTTCCTCACTCCCCCCCTTGGTTGCTTTATCTTGTTCTGACTGCTCTGAGTATTGGCTACAGGGGGGGTGAATGGGTGAAATGCTTGTGAAACTCAGTGAGGAATGTCAGGGAAATCTTCCAGCTGCTGGCCATTAGCTGGCCATTAGATGCTGAACGAAAAAAAAAAAAAAAAAAAAAAAGGGGATATTTGCTGGACAAATATCCTAGTTAGGAACTTTGTGTAATCTTGTATATATTGTTAAGTAAGAGGTTATTGGCATATTGGAATAAGGAAAGCAAACAAGGCAAGTTAGATTTTGTTGGAATAAATGATTTGTGGAATGAGGCAGAGAAAGAAACTCAGACCTGACACCCCTCCCCCTCCTTCTAGGACAGTGAAAATAATGTCAAGATCTAGATTCAACTGCAATTGTAATTGCTAGAGAAAAAAAAAAAAGTACTTTGAAGGAAGTTGCTTTATTCTTAGATAAAGTAAGGAGGTATCCAGACATGAAGGGGTTACACTGACTTGTTAGACGCAGAGAGGAGTGCAGATTTGACCCCTCCTTTTCCCCTCTAGAACTCAGTGTGAAAGAGCGATACAGACACCTGAGCCACTGCCAATTGCTTCAACTGCAAACACTCAAAGGCAGAATATAACTAAAGTTATTTGTGTTTGGTGCACATTATTTAAGATCTTGCAGATATTTGATTCCAGAGTTAAAACCAGCACAAGAATAGAGATCTATGTTTGTTTGTTGTTTTACTAAATTGTTAGTCTGGACTGTTTTTTTTTTCATTGTTTTTATGTGTGTTATAGGAAAGTACTAGGTTAATTAATTAAAATAAATTTACATTAAGGTTGCAAGTGTCTCAAAATAAAATACACTAAAGTAACAGTTAGGAACATGCCATGTATGCTGTATTGGGTGTACGCGATTATACAGTAACTCCAATCATTTTTAGGGAAGGAAAACCTTGTTACTTCTGGGGTTGAATTAAAATCTTTGATATAATTCATGAGAATGAGATTTTAATATCATGACCGATAATGGATTACTGTATATTGCAATGCCTGGACATACACATGTTTTGGATATACTGAAGACAAAAGGAATAATATATGAGAATGGATAAGGCAGATTTCCCACTATCCACAGCCACGCCTACTCCTAACGTAACATAACTTCCAACCTTACTATGCCATTTTACTGTAGAATTGCCCGAATACTAATGACCCATTCCACTACATGGTGTGACTTGTTTAAGCCTAAGATAAATTGGCTGATCAGGCTACCTGTTTTAACAATGTCATCAATGATGAGTTAGCATCTGCAGAGAAGTATCACTTCAGGTTGTCCCAAATTTTCTTCTAACTGAAGTTTTAGTACATAATAAGGCCCATACCCAACGGCTATATGCAGCCTTGTATAGCAGGCCACATGACATCTATTTGTAGCAAGCACGGCCTGCCTGACTCCTCATTCCTGTCTAACATTGTTGTCTCCTGCATAAGTGTAGATGGCTCTCCTTGGAGTAGCCTGTTTACTAAGCCTTGCTTTGTGGTTATCTCCACCTGTCCAATTAATCTGCTAGGTGCAGATGTCCTTCCCCCACTTGCAGGCCTCGATCACCTTATTATTTCTTCTGTTCCACAGAGTGAAACCTGACCAGGAGGCAAGGGTCCTAGCTAGTTCCCCCAATACCTTTACCTGAATTATACAGGCCCCGAAGATTTTGTACACCTCCATGTTTCCCCCCCACAGTTCCTGTGAAGTTGATCCCAGGGGCCAGCCTGTCCCTTAAGCCATATTCTCCCTCCTCCCCCAACGAAGCCTGTCCAAGCTCTTACTATTCCGTAACAGGTTAAGGCTCTGGTGTCGAATGGTGCCCTGGTTCCCTGATACTCTCCTTGCAATCTCCCACCTCTCCTTGTAATAGATGAATTCTGTGCAGGATACTGTCACCCTGCAGAGATGATACTCTATTACCTGGCCACTCTTCTGCCACTTCCCAGGGGGGGAAATGATAAGACACTGACTCTATTATTTTTTTAGCCTTTTCCTCATGATCTGCTCCGGATTTGCTGTCACGACAGTGGACCAAGTATCTCACCTCAACAATGTCTGCACAAGAAGCTGAGCTATAGGCTCTCATCACAGCATGCAAGATCTCTGAAGGAAGACTGAACTCAGAGGAAGCATGTGGCAACTCTCTGGCTGAGCAAGTTGTCCAATAAGTTGTAAGTGCACTAAGGGAAGTGGACAGAAAAGTGTCTGCTGAAGAAACTTCCATATTCACCATGTAAGATCCTACCCACAGACCTCAAGCTCCCGAAGGAATAACAAGCAGCTACTGACCCTGAAAAAAACAAAAACCACAAGCTGGAAACAGAAAGGGGCAACCCTTAAAGACGGGCTGTACTTCAACAATCTCAAGTTCTGCTTACCCAAGAACATATACTCAGCAGTGGTCCAGTGGGCCTACGGAGCATCTGTCCAGAACCCTCATGAACTCTTTTGATCAATAAATACTCTGAAGTACCAGGAATTGCCTCTCTGACCAACAGTTACTGTAAATATTGTGCCATTTGTGCCAAGGGCAACTCAGGAAGAATGGAGGAAAGCCCCAAGCATCTAGCCAAACCTCATTATCTCTTCCAGAGGAGTCAAGTTGACTACATCCAGAATGCCAAAGAGTGGCTGGTTCAAATATGCACTAATTATAGTAGACATGTTTTCAGGATGGCCAGAGGCCTATCCAGCCACCAAAGTGATAACCAAGACCACATGCTGAGTAGTGCACCGTGAAAGTTACAGAGATCACCCGTGGATTCATCATTCCAGAATCAAGCCTGCCTCTGCATCATGTGAAGTAGCAAACTCCATTCTTAGAGAACAAAGATACTTGTTGAAAAAAAAAATACAACAAGTGGGTGTTTTGATGGCCATAATAATGCCTGACCACCTGCCATCGATGGAAAGCCAAATACCCCAAAAGGGGACCTCGTGAAACTAAAGAGAAACAGACATACTCCTTACCCTGCAGTCCTCACGTCTGAGGTGCCTACGCACAGTCAAAGCTTCTTCAGGATCATCTGCTTATCTTGAGTTTGTGGTGATATTTTTATTGAATGTTTAAATGATCTGAATCTGCCAGTACTAGGGTAGCATGAAACAAGATTTCTAAGATTAAGAATAAGTAAATGTGCCCTAGCCAAGGTTATTATGTCCATACACATAATACATGACAATCCCCAAGGTACTCTTGACACACCACATTCATGCTTCAGGACAAAAAGGAGTACCCCTATAAAGGGTGGTTTTACCCACACACACATATATATATATATATATATATATATATATTTATATATTAATGCCATAGAGGTGTCAAGGGGGGTACCAAATAATTTTAAGGTAAGAAACTAAGTTTGAATCTATTCTCCCAAGCATTACAGCTAATAAATCTGAATTGGAAGGGAGGAGGTTCATACAATAAACAGGGGACCTTTTTCTTACGGGACATGTATGACTCACCTGAATGGGTAGGTGCCACGCACATGACTGTTAATCTCCTCAAACCACACATTAGGACTTTAAAAGACATGGTAGTCATCCCATATTTGAGGATACTATGGCTGTAGAGAAAGGTTTCTCTGACACTAACTTGTGGCTTAAATGGATGAAATACAATGCTACTAAACATAACAAGTCTAACTGCTATGTCTGCGGAGGAGCGAGGTCTCACCCAGGTACTGTATCCCTGAACCTTCCTCCGGATATGAAGTATGCTTTTTAAAATCTCTACACTGTATTTAAACCTAAGCGGTCAGCATGCGAGTCATGGAAAATGAATACCCAATCATTACTAAAAATATTAACCCAGACGAAGGCATTACTATATATCCAGGGAACTATACTTGTTATGGGATATATGGTGGGATAGGGTGGTTACAAACTACCTCTCAGATGACCTTCCAGAATAGAATAAGCTTAGAGATGATTTTGGCAGGAAAAGGAAGAGTATGTAAAATACTCCCAGACACCATGGCATGCTGTACCTATATTCCAGATAATACAGGCCCTAATGGTAAGGTAACGTTGGCAATAGAAAAGTTAAAGAGTTTGTCCAACGAGCTGAAACGAAATTCTGGGACCACAGATCCATGGGAAAGATGGTTTGGATGGATGACTGGATGGCAAGGTGCTCTGGCTCAAATAGGTGTTGCCATTTTAATAATGATAATCATCCTCGCTCTTCTTGTTTGTTGTGTGTTACCCTGTCTTAAGAAATGCCTACAAAAGACAGTTGATCAGACAATCGACCAGACCACCCCGACCTTCCTTCACCAAGAGATTGACGACATAGACCGTGATACACCACATACACCCTTACAGTCCCACCGCATTAAATCAACAGCTACTTCCTCTTAAGGACATTCAGGGATAGCATCTGTCTCTATGGGCAGAAGTCTGCCGCGGGAAGAAGTAGTGGACAAGCTGCTACGGGTCACCCGCGCAGTGAAGTGTTTGAGGCCTGTTCAGACAGATGTGCAAGATAGCCTTTTTGTTATTTTTCTATAGGGACAGTATTAGAGTGAGAGATAGTAGTTGCTAGTAAAATAGCCATTTTAAGGGGGGACTGTTATGGACAGAAGAATTAAAATAAACTGGCTATTTACTAATGTCTATTTATTCTGTGTTCACTATGTTAAAACTGGCTGCTAGAGTAAATATTCCCTCCCCCCCTACAATGTGTTCAGTCACTATTTTCTCTGCAAATTCCTCCCATCCTGCTAGCCTCCCCCCTTCCCATCGAGCAAGCCTCGTGTAACAAATTCCTGTGTTAAAAGAACAGCTTCCTTTATTAAACTCCTCCCCCACTTCCTTTGTGCAAATTAACAGCTATGTGCCACATGTAACCAAGATGGAGACGAAATATGGGTGAGAGAACTCTGTAATGACGACACTACATCCTGTAGGGGGGGTTTAGACAAGACCCCTTAGACTGTTAACCAATTGTTGAATGAATACTGTATGTTAACCGTGACTCTGTATATGATGTATTTCTGCTTTAAAAGGGGCTCCCACTCCGGGGAATAAAGCATTCCTCAGGTTTTTCACTGATCAGAAACTTTGTCTCCGGTGTGAATTACTTCTAGGAAGAGCGTGCACGCATTAATTAATTAATTTGGAAGGAGTAGATAGACAAATAATCAAAGTTTTCTTTGATCTAAATCTATACAATGAAGCAATTGTTTTCAATTTTCTTTTCACATGGCGGGGCTCTGTAGGTGAAAGTTGATTGACCTACACTATTAATAACATGTATAATAATAATTACAGTTCCGAGGTTGTGATTGATGAGATAGTTTAAATGATTAGGTAGTGTGAGAGCCTTCTAAAGAAGTGGTTAAAACCCAGGCAGGAAAGAAACGTCTGGATTCAATAGTTAGTTGATTTACCGTATATACTCGAGTATAAGACGAGTTTTTCGGCACATTTTTTGTGCTGAAAATCCCCCACTTGTCTTATACTCGAGTGAGTGTCTGTATTATGGCAACTTACATTGCCATAATACAGACAAGGACCGCCGGGCTTGTAATGAGTCCTGGTCCTGTTGGGGGCTCGCAGGAAGCGTTTACTTACCTTTCCTGTAGCTCCTGTCAGCTCCCTTCTCTCTCCTCCGGTCCGGTCAGCTCCCCTGTAAGTCTCACGAGAGCTGCGGGTCAGAGCATTGCCACGGGTTACCGTGGCAATGCTCCACGCGGCAGTGGAGCTGACAAGGGAGCTGACCGGACCGGAGGAGAGAGAAGGGAGCTGACAGGAGCTGCAGGAAAGGTAAGTAAACGCTTCCTGCCAGCCCCCTCCTACACAGTGCACACCAGGGAATGAGAGCCCCCTTCCCTGGCCAGGTATTAAGCAAAGAGGGGGGATGGAAAAAAATAACATACAAATTTAAATAATTCAAAATAACATAAAAATATTAATAATAAAAAAATATATATATTAAAATAATAATAATAATATTAAAAAAGGCTCTGCATCACATACACACACACTGCACTCATACACACACACACACACACACACTGCACTCATACACACACTGCATTCATACACACACACACTGCATTCATTATATACACACACTGTAAATAAATATTAAATTAATATAATTTTTGGGGGATCTAATTTTATTTAGAAATTTACCAGTAGCTGCTGCATTTCCCATCCTAGTCTTATACACGAGTCAATAAGTTTTCCCAGTTTTTTGGGGTAAAATTAGGGGTCTCGACTTATATTCGGGTTGACTTATACTCGAGTATATACGGTAATTACCAAAGCAATCTGAGACATATGACAACTTCCAACCTGTATTTATATTGTTGTCCAACAAATGCATGTAATGTTTTTATGGTTAGCACATGTGCTGCAACAACAAACCAAAAATAAAAAAATTTTAAAAAAAGAAAAGGAGATTCTGAATGAGCGTTGTAAGAGATAAGAGGACAGAGTCACAGAGACCGAGTGATTGAAGAGTCTGAAGAAGGAAAGCATGATCAACGGTGTCAAAGGCCGCAGAGACGTCAAGAAGAATTGTATGGAGTAGTGGCTGTGATTAGGTCATTAGTTACTTTGATAAGAGCAGTCTCAGTAGCCTTAGGTGGGGGAGCAGGGCTGCAGTGTATGTCATGCCATCCAGGTGGCCTAGCTTATTCTCCCCACTCCGGATTGGTGATGGTGCTGTGGACCGATTGTTTTGGTCAGGTGCAGCATCCGGAAAATGTGACAGGCCTTCAGCTCCGAATTCCAGTTTGAGGTGAATCAGTGCCATCGTACGGAGTAGGCCCGAGGTGCCTGTGTTTCCAAATCCAGAGCATTATCTGTATTGTATTGATATCGTAGTATTGCTGGGGTGTCCGAATGAGCAAACAGAGAATTTAGGTATTAGTAAGCTTAACGTGGTGGTATTTAGGGGCTCTCAGCCAGAAGCCTCTGAAGAAGACTTCTTCCTAGTACAATGATCCAGCCCCCTCCCTTCCTCTTTCTGTGTTGCTCCATCAGTTAAGTACAACTTGGTCCCATGGTTCTTAACTGTAGGATCTATTTTGTTGTTATAGTCGGATTACTTGTATTTTATTGATTATTGTAATTTACGGTTACGGTTCTTTTTATTCTATTGGATACTGCTTCTCACTGTTTTGACCTCTCTGGCCCTATAATATATTTTTAAAAGTGGTGCTTGGGGACATCTTGGAGATCTATTCTCCTATTTCGCACTATTTGCGCTGTACTTTTGGTTAATTTTGCTCCCTTTTTTGTCCTGCAGCCTTGTACTTCAATTCTTAATTGGATGCGCATGCGTGCCACTTCAGTTCACTCGGCATTCGACTTGTCTGAATGTACGTTTGCAACTGCGTTTTTGAGCCCTTTTGGTTTCACGTATGTAAACCAGAACGCTTCCATTTAGACTTTGTGACGGTTGTTTGATGAATATTCGCTTGGTTTTCTATTATCCTTGCCTCCTAATGGATCAAAATCTCTGTTGGTTTTTAGGATTGTTGGTGGTTGGATGGCCCTAAGCTCCCCGTGTCTCCTATTCATTGTTCTGTACTCCTGTGAATATCCACTCTTTTTTAATTCCTTCATTTACTTTTGTGGGTTAATCAACCCTATTCTTAGGGTTTTATTTAGGTGTTTTTTGACTGAGCCAAGTGTATATTTTCTTTTATTACTATACTGCATTGAGTTCAGGTTATCATGCAGTCTGACAGATATCTGTCTATGCCCTCTGGGTCTCAAACAATCCCTCAGGTCACCCTAGGGGTTTCCCTTGGGATCTCTGGGGATAAGGCTGATTTTTCACCTTTCTTTCCTGCCTCTGCTGTAATGCAAGCATTTTTGATTCCTCCATGTCCAGGTCTATGCAAAGTTTCTGCAATGGATGTAATGTCCACCTCCCTATCACAGTCATTCACTCAGGCCCTTTTGCAGGTCCAAAGGTTGTCTCAGCCGAATTTTCAGGCATGACTCCTGTGTCCACCCTTAACTCACCTCACCCACGTCACAAGGCATTGGCCAAATCTAAACACTTCTCCAAACAACTTGAGATGGAAAGTACACCACCTGTCACTAATGGCCCGCCAAGTATACCACCGTGCATTAACGACCCACTATTCAGGTAAAATTGGCTAGACTTTGGCAAAAGCCCAATTAGATTAGTCTGAGTCTGAACTCATTGATATAGAGGAGAAGTTCTTAGAGTCCATTGTGGATGTTTTGGATGGTCAGAACAAACCAGAGTTTGTTGGTGCTGATGGAGAGGTGAACATCTCTGTTAACGACACACGTCTGGTGGACCCTTAGGGTGAACCGCTGTTTGGTCCTGATGATTTGAGTCATCCATGGTCTGCAGAATGGTACCCTTCCGATCATGTGGTGAGATATATCGCTTTAAGAGAGTGCAAGCCTTTGGAGAAACCAATACGCAATAAATTAAGGGCTGAGGCCCACAGTCCCTGATGATGTCTGCAAGACTCCCACAGTCGATCCTAAGATCATCCAATTTCTGGGGAAAACGAGATGGAATCCGAGAAAAGACTTAGGTTTCTCTCTTGGACATCTTGGGCCCTGTAGCCAGGATATTTGAAGTGATCGAAGATGATCGGGAGTTAGATCACGACACTTTGTGCAGTTTAATCCAAAGATTAATTTGTTTGGTGGGAAACGCCAGCATTGAGGTTGTCACTGAACACTGCAAGCCCATTTTGCTCAAAATTTTGTCTAAACTAATGAATTTGGCTCACAACGAGCCAAACGCACAAGCCAAAGGGTTGCTTCTTGTGAAGGAATTAGGCTAATTTGTCCATACCATTACAGCTATGGATCAAGTGCAAATCAATATGCGCAAAATATTTAACCTGAAAATGTTTCCTCGGGCTGGAAGATCCAGGAGCCATCTATCCAGCCGTATGCAGACAGAACCGAGGTTCGTATTTGGGTTGACCTGGATATCTTGATCAAAGTAACAAGCCAATCTTCTTCCCACACTGTTGTAGGCCATGGGTTGGTAGAAGCACACAAGGTGCTCTTTCAGAACGACTCCCTTACGGTAAGTGCATACAATCCCCATTGTTTTCTACTCATAATGGGGGACAGACTCACTAATTTTTCATGTTTGGTCCTGTATAACATCAGATGCTTGGGTTCTTCAAGCTGTGACAAGTTTATGCATAGATTTCATGTCTTAGCCTGTACAATGTGTTCCCCCCAAATAAATTGTTTTTTCCCAACAAGACACAGTCGCAGACTGACATCAATATTTCCGTCAGTTCACATGGCAAGAACAGAAACGGAGTTTCAGGTGCCTTACATTCAGACTCTCATTGGCCCCATGGTGCTTAACCAAGTTCATTAAACCTGTAGTCGCTCTGCTGAGAAGTCAGGGCGTACATCTTATCATTTACCTGGACGATATTCTCATTCTGGCTCAGTCTGTCCACCTTCTCCATCTGTCTTGGATATTGACCTTACTGCAAAATCTGGGTTTACTTATCAACTGGGGAAAATCCATCTTGGTGCCCTGACAACATGTAGAATATCTGGGTCTCATTGATGATTCCACTCTTTATACACTTCACCTTCCAGTATCAAAATGATCGAACATCAAGAAGGAGATCAGACACGCACTCGCAGCCACCCATCTATAGCAACATCTATACAAGCTATATTCCCAGGCCCTCTTCATTACCGGGCTCTTCAACAATTGCAAGCCTCTTATCTCAGAAGCGGTGCATCATATGATGGACTCGGAGACGAAAGACGAACTTTGCTGGTAGCTTCTTCACACGGAGGCATGGAATGTATGCTCTATATTCGTCACGACTCTAGATCTGATCATAGATTCAGACGCAAGCTTTTAAGGTTGGGGTGCGCATTGCAGAGATATTTCCACCGCTGGCAGGCGGTCGGATGTGGAATCGACCCTTTACATCAATTGTCTAGAACTTCAAGCTGGATCCTGCGCAGTCCGAAGTTTGTCTCCGACTCACTCTCAGTGCATGATCCTTCTGGAGATGGACAAAGTGTTGGCTGTCAGATACATCATCTATCTATGTGGCATGAAGTCCAAGGTTCTAGCGAACATGGCACAAGATTTTTGGGCATTTTTGCCTCATGCAAGGCATCTCAATGCTTTCCAGCACTGCGGTGGACTGGTACTCTTGTCCCCTTGAGGATTTCAGTGATTGGCTTTTGGATTTCATGTTTTTTCCAAGGAGTCTGAGATTTTTGGGGTCCCTTGGAGGTGGATCTTTTTTCTTCTTGATTGAATACTTAGCTTCCCAGCTTTTTCAGTTGGAGACCGATCTGACAGGCTACGAATGCTCACAAGATTGGTCTTCTGCATGGAATTATGCGTTCCCTCTTTCTGTGCATATGTGACATAATCAGAATTGCCAATTTTTAGCCAATCCAATGCTTTCCTATGGGGAAAGCATTGGATTGGTTAAATCGGCAAGGGGGCGGGGCCAAACACCATTTTGGCCAATCAGTACCTTCTAATAGAGATGCAATGAATCAATGCATCTCTTTGAGGAAAATTCAGTATCCCATTGCAGAGCGTGGAAATGCTGAACGGCAAGGCTGCCTACTAAGCAGCACTGAGCAAGGAAGCACCTCCAGTGGCCATCTAAGGAGTGGCCACTTGGAGGTGTCCCTAGAGGGCAATGTAAACACTACATTTTCTCTGAAAAGGCAGTGTTTGCATGAAAATGTCTGTATATAATGATTATACTCACCAGAACAACTACATTGAGCTGTAGTTGTTCTGGTGACTATAGTGTCCCTTTAAAAATACCATATTGTCTTCTGTCTATCTTGACTTGGGTTCAACTTTGATTTATCCAATGCGGCCTCTCCTTTGGATTTATTTTTTCAGGTTTCATGAATTTTCATTCTTTGGCTTATTTTGTTTTTCCTGTTACCTTCAGGATTGCAAGAAAGAGGAAGTGATTTGGTTGATACCGAATATTATGCTGTGGAAGGGATGCTAAATGGTTGTTCCTGTTGCTAGGAGGATACACCTCTTATGTTATCTACGTGTTCTTATATTGATTTTTATTTTATTTTTTCTTTGCTGCTGAGGAAAATAAAGAAAGAGTGGGGCATAGTACTCACCTCTGTGTCATTAGTAAAATCGTGACTTTCCGTCATGTTAATTTATCCCTTGGTCAACAGTGCCTATACACATTGTAGTAGGAATTTCTTAGAGCAGGGGTCCTCAAACTGTGGCCTTCCAGATGTTGCTGAACTACAACTCCCATGATTCTCTGGCTATCTATGTAATTCAAAGAATCATGGGAGTTGTAGTTCAGCAACATCTGGAGGGCCAACGTTTGAGGACCCCTGTTTTAGAGCTATGTAAAATGGGGGATATAATCAATAGGCCTACAGCTCAGGGGTACCACCTGATCCAAATTGACTGAAAAACAAAGGGAATGAGATTGTAATATGTCAGTAAGGAATTTAGCAGTCACTACAATTTAAGAGGTGACTTTCCATAGCAAGCAGTGACAAAGGAATCTTATCTTCAAGTTTAGTGGGTAAAGTGTTGATTTGCTCCTTATGCATAATTAGTTAATCCAAACCATATCAAAATCATTTAATCTCACCTTTTAGGTATATAAAGTCAGAAACAAAAGTGGAACAATTAAATTATCCTAACTGCAGTGTTGACAGTTTCTAATCCCAATTTTGCCATGATTACAGCCAATTTTAGTTCATAATCTTATGATTTAGTCTCCTATACGAAAACAAATTTAGGGGAAAAAAACCCCAAAACAATCAGGATTAGCTTCTGTTACTTATTTTGTTCCAAGAGGTCATCTGTTACTTATTTTGTTCCAGATGCCATCTGTCCAGGGTGTAACAGTGTATATTTTCCATAATTATGTGATTTTATTAATTACAATTTGAGGGACTTGACTGACAATCCAGGCAGAAAGTCCAGAGAATTTAATTTGCAAGTACTATATTTAACCATGTAACTTTCCAAAACCCCATAAAACTTGTACATGGTGGGTACTGTTGTACTCAGGAGACTTCGCAGAACCCAAATTAGGTCCACATAGGTGTTAAACATTCCTAGTGGGTGGTGCTTTTAGGAGTTATATAAGGGTTATAAGTGCTGCTTTAAAGTGTGTGCTTGGAGATATTCTGGAGAGTTTTACTGATTCTTCAACTAAGATTTTTCTTTTTACTGTTACAGCTAAGAGTCATCTATAGGAAAAGGTTACTGATTGCACAAGGTGTGATTTTCTGTTGGTAATTGGCAAGGCATTTGATTTGATTAGCTAGGTGTTGGCTATTGATTGTTGGTTAACCCCTTAAGGACATGTCATGATTCCCTTTTATTCCAGAAGTTTGGTCCTTAAGGGGTTTATTCACTATTGTTTGTAAATAAGCATAGGCCCACCCAGGTGTTAAACATTCCTGGTGGGTAGTGCAACTATAGGCTAGTAAGCCTTACTTCAGAAGTAGGGAGAGTAATGGAAACCATGGTAAAGGATAGGATTGTTGAACATCTAAAATCACATGGATTTCCAGATCAGAGACAACATGGGTTTACTTCAGGGAGATCATGCCAAACTAATCTTGTTGATTGTTTTGATTAGGTAACTAAAATAATAGATTAGGGTAGTGCAGTAGACATTGCTTACCTAGATTTCAGTAAGGCTTTTGACACTGTTGCAAATAGAAGGCTTATCAATAAACTGCAATCTTTAAAGGACCACTATAGTGCCAGGAAAACATACTTGTTTTCCTGGCACTATAGTGCCCTGAGGGTGCACCCACCCTCAGGGACCCCCTCCCGCCCGGCTCTGGGGAGAGGAAAGGGGTTAAACTTACCTTTTTTCCAGCTCTCCGCCTCCGATCCTCCTCCCTTTCCCTTTTGAATGCGCACGCGCGGCAAGAGCTGCTCACGCATTCAGCCGGTCTCATAGGAAAGCATTTACAATGCTTTCCTATGGACGCTTGCGTGTTCACACTGTGATTTTCACAGTGAAAATCACGCAAACGCCTCTAGCGTCAATGAGACAGCCACTAGAGGAATTGAGGGCTGGATTAACCCATTTACAAACATAGCAGTTTCTCTGAAACTATGTTTATAAGAAAAATGGGTTAACAGGGTTGATGTTCCAGGAGGGATAAGCCAAATGGGCAAATGATTTAGGTAAACTAGAAAAATGGTCAGAGTTGTGGCAACTGACATTTAATGTGGATAAGTGCAAGATAATGCATATTGGGCGTAAAAACTGAAGGGCAGAGTACAGAATATTTGATAGAGTCCTAACCTCAACATCTGAGGAAAAGGATTTAGAGGTAATAATTTCAGATGACTTAAAGGTTGGCAGATAATGTAATAGAGCAGCAGGAAGTGTTTGCAGAATGCTTGGTTGTATAGGGAGGTATTGGCAGTAGAAAGATTGTGCAGAATACTGGTGAGACCTCACTTGGAGTATTGTAAGCAGTACTGGAGACTGTATCCCCAGAAGGATATTGATACTTTAGAGAGAGTTCAGAGAATGGCTACTAAACTGGTTCATGGATTGCAGAATAAAACTTACAAAGAAAAGGTAAAGGAACTTAACACGTATAGCTTGGAGGAAAGACGAGATGGGGGAGGAAGGGGAGGATATGATAGAAACATTTAAATACATTAAGGGAATCAACACAGTGAAGGAGGAGACTATATTTAAAAGACAAAAATACCACAATAAGAGGACAGTGTCTTAAATTAGAGGGGCAATGGTTTAAAAATAATATCATGAAGTATTACTTTGCTGAATAGCCTTCCAGCTGAAGTGGTAGAGGTTTACACAGTGAAGGAGTTTAAGCATGCGTGGGATAGGCATAAGGCTATCCTAACTATAAGATAAGGCTAGGGACTAATGAAAGTATTTAGAAAATTGGGCAGACTAGATGGGCAGAATGGTTCTTATCTGCCGTCACATTGTAGGTTTCTATAATATGCGTGTTTTAAAACAGAAAGACGTATCACAACGATTTCATCATTAGTAAAAGTCAGTTTGTGTGTGAAAAATGCAAAGAAGAGAATATGAATGCATTTAACTTTTGGCCAGAGTTTGTGACCAAGTGACTACTAGAAAAGACTGTACATACCCCATTTTGAATACCCTGGGTTGTCTACTTTTGTTAATTGTATGCCATGATGGGGTTAAAGGACCACTCTAGGCACCCAGACCACTTCAGCCAGGTCCTTCTAGGGTTAACCCATTCTTTTATAAACATAGCAGTTTCAGAGAAACTGCTATGTTTATGAATGGGTCAAGCCTTCCCCCAAATCCTCTAGTGGCTGTCTCATTAACAGCCGCTAGAGGCGCTTGCGTGATTCTCACTGTGAAAATCACAGTGAGAGCATGCAAGCATCCATAGGAAAGCATTGATAATGCTTTCCAATGCGACCGGCTGAATGCGCGCGCAGCTCTTGCCGCGCGTGCGCATTCAGCCGATGGGGAGGAGAGGAGGAGGAAAGCTCCCCACCCAGCGCTGGAAAAAAGGTACTTTTTTACCCCTTTCCCCCTTCCAGAGCCGGGCGGGAGGGGGACCCTGAGGGTGGGGGCACCCTCAGGACACTATAGTGGTCCTTTAATTTCCATTTTATGGCTACCATACGGTCTCAAAGGCAACATAGGCCCAGCCAATCAATCTGGCAAATTTCAATATGTAAAAACTGAAAACAAGGAAAGCTCTATGTTTAACCCTGTAACTTTCCAAAACCCCATAAAACCTGTACATGGGGGTTATTGTTGTACTCACGATACATCATTGAACACAAATATGTTTATCTTATTGCAGTAAAAGCGAACAGTATGCCATGCAGAACTTGAGAAATAACAGAATGTCTTAATTTCTCACACATTTTTAAATCTTATTCATATTAAATTGTTTCATAAATAAATATTTGATGTGAAATGAAAGCTCTGTTTCTCCTGAACAAAAAATTACATATATTATGTGTGGGTGCACTTGATATAAAAAAGGTAAGTTATGGCTGAACAGCCATATATAGCTTAACTTTTTCTTTTCTAACAGATCTTGTATAATTTCCCCTCTCCGTAAAAGCTTAGAATCTTGCTTATTTTGTTTTGTAACGCATGTTATTAGACTTGTTGCCTTATTGATCACTGATATTTTTTGTATTCATTTTTTTAACTGAATAATTTTTGTACAATATTGTTTGGTATTGTGTCTTTAAATTAGCATCAATCAAGAATTTAAAGTGATCAGCAAGGCATTTCCCGATTATCAGATCCCTGCTTGTCCAAATAAATTAAGTACTGAATCCATCGATCAAATTAATATGTAGAATGGAGGAGAATAGTTCTAAAGAGAGGCAAAACAACTGGTAAACGGTAAGTTTGTAAAAAAAAAAACCTGTAATTTGTTTACTTTAGAAATTTGTTATGTAATTTGTTAAAGGGACACTATAGTCACCTGAACAACTTCAGCTTAATGAGGTTGTTCAGGTGAGAACTCCCTGCAGCCTCTCTCATGTAAACACTGTATTTTCAGAGAAAATGCAGTGTTTACATTGAAAGCTAGGAACACCTCCAGTTGCAGTCACTCAGAGTGAACCAGAGGGACTTCTGAGTTGATGGAGGCATAATATGCCTCCATCCACTCAGATCTGCTGTGCACAAGCATCCTGTGATTCAGTATCCTCTCCCACTGCATGCAGACACTGAACTTTCCTCATAGAGATTCATTGATTCAATTAATCTCTATGAGGAGATACTGATTGGCCAGGGCTGTGTTTGAATCATGCTGGCTCTGCCCCTGGTCTCCTTCCTTATCAGTCTCAGCCAATCCTATGGGGAAGCACTGTGATTGGATCAGGCTACCACATGTCAGCAGACTGCTTGTTTTTCATGAGTCTAACAACATTCAGATTTACAGCTTCTGGCTTGAATACAGTAAGATTTTTACTATATTTATGGAGGCATGAGGGGCCTAGGGGCGCTAGATGGTCGTGTTAACACTATAGGAATACATGTAGTTGCACTGGTGACCAGGGCAGGCGCTTCCTATAAGGCGAACTAGGCAGCTGCCTAGGGCGCCATATAGGAGGGGGCGCCCTGCGCCCCCATCGCCGGCCCTCTAAATGCTGCAGCCGTCTGAGCGCTCTGTAGCGTGGCAGAGCTCCTTTTCGGTCTGCAACCCGGCCGGACTGACAGGAAGTGCACACTGAGGGCTACAGGGCAGGGGAGGAATTGATAATTTGGGGGGAGAAAATTATAGTGGGGGAGTGGAGAAAGTTACAGGGAGGGGGAGTGGGAAAGTTACATGGAGGGGGAGAAGATGATTGGGGGGAGTGGTTACAGGGGAGAAGATTACAGGGAGGGAGGGGAGTGGAGAAGGTTATGGGGGAAAGATTACAGGGGAGTGGAGAAAATTACAGGGAGGGAGGGAGTGGAGAAGATTACAGGAGGGAGGGGATGAGAAGATTACAGGGGGAGTGGAGAAGGTTACAGGGAAGGAGGGTTGAGTGAGAAGATTGAGGGGGGAGAAGAAAATTGGAGGGAGGGAGGCAGGAGGAGGAAAAGATTGGAGGGGGCAGAAGAAGAAGATTACAGGGAGGAGGAGAAGAGAAGATTATGGGGGGAAGAAGAGAAGATTATGGGGGGAAGAAGAGATGGGGAGAGAAGATTATGGGGAAGAAGAGGAGAAGATTATGGGGGGAAGAAGAGGAGAAGATTATGGGGGGAAGAAGAGGAGAAGATTATGGGGGGAACCACTAATGGAAAGTCGGGGAGGAAAGGAGACCACTAAGGGGGGGGGGAGGAAGAGGAGAGACCACTAAGAGGCAGGGGAGATCTCTAAGGAATGGAAGGGAGAGCTCTATAGGACAGGGGGCAGGACAGGGAGCTCTTTCACACCACGCACGCACACACACAATGTATCCCTATACACACAGAAACACAACATGCTTCCCTTACACATAAAGACAATGCATCATTTGCACATATACAAAGAAACACATAATGCATCATTTACACACATGCAAACACACACTGCTTCTTACACACACACATGCAAACACACACTGCTTCTTACACACACACACACATGCAAACACACACTGCTTCTCTTACACACACACAGAAACACAATGCATCTCTTACACACACTCAACGCACCCCTTACAGACACACGCACACTGCATCCCTTACATACACAGAAACACTTTGCATCCCTTATGCATACAAACAGATTCACACAATGCATCCCTTACACACAACAAGAAACACACAATACATCCCTTATACACAAACACTCACTGCTTTCTATCCCTTACACAAACCCACACTGCTTCCACTACACACAAACACACTGCATCACCTACACAAACTGGTATCCCTATACACTACATTCCATAAGCACACACATTAGATCCTCTAAAGTAACACATAACACATCCCCTACACACTCCACTCCCTGTGAGCGAACTCATGGGTGGAACATGTAGGTGGACTTATGGGTGGGCTTTATGGGCATACTCACCATCAGGCCCTGGGGCCCAGACCTTGACCAAATCTTTATTTTGCCTAGAGCGGCAAAAATCCTTGCACCGGCCCTGCTGGTGACTATAGTGTCCCTTTAACTTGTTCATTCATGGTACTTTATACAAATGATAGAACATCATTTAGACTTAAATGAGATCTTGCCTATAGAACAGTGATCCCCAACCCAGTCCTCATTGCCCAGCAACAGTCCAAGATTTATGTATTTCCCTTTTTGATTCAAATGGAGATATTGACAAAACCTGGACTGTTGGTGGGCCATGAGGACTGGGTTGGAGACCACTGCTATAGAACAAAAACATGGTTCTAAAGAGTGAGAACAAAATTCAGAAGTCTCTACCTAACAAAGTTTTCCTAGTCATTGGCCTTAGCCTCAGCACCCATGCTACTTTTTATTTAGCAATATACTAAGGGGCAAGGTGGAAGATCTGAGGGATCCCTGGCTTCTGTCAATCCACTTGAAAACTGACTTGACTCAAAACCTGGATAAGGTGTCAGAGGCACATTGACTCTAACCAGCACAGCAGGCTGTAGTGTTTATAGTGACTATAGTGCCCCTTTAAACCAATATCAATGTAGTAACAAAATAGGGAGCGGCTAGACGACTAGCTGTCTTTCACTATACGTATATAAACATTAATAGTGTTAATTTAAGTTTGCTTTTATTTAAGGGTTCATTCTGACTTGCCATTTAACTGAAAAATAATGTTGAGTCAAAAAAGGGTCAAATTATAGTCCATTTTATAAAAAGGTTTTATTATCAAACAATACAGGTAAAATGACAATATCTTAAAGGAACACTATAGGGTAAGGAACACAAACATGTAAAAGCAGTTAAAACTCACCTTATTTCCAGCGCCAGGCAGGTCCGCCAGACATCATCAGAATTGCAGATTTTTAGCCAATTCAATGCTTTCCCATTGGCTAAAATCAGCAAGGGGGCAGGGCCCAAACACCACTTTGGCCAAAGAGCACCTCCTCATGAATCAACGCATCTCTATGAGGAAAATTCAGTGTCCCCAGCTGAAAGGCATAGCTGCCTAATGTGCAGCACTCAGCCAAGAAGCACCTCCAGTAGCCATCTGAGTGGCGCCATTTGGGGCAATGTAAACACTGTCTTTTCTCTGAAAATGCAGTGTTTGCATTAACATGCCTGAAGGCAATGATTATACTCACCAGAACAACTACATTAAGCTGTAGTTGTTCTGGTGACTAGTGTCCCTTTAAAGCGTGTGTTCTGCATTGAGCTCATTAAAAATTATTACAGCCAAGTAAAATAATTAAAGAAGAAAAAAAAATGAAAGTGCACAGATTTCCATTTAAACATTGTATAAAGGAATGTCCAATGAAATTAATAATGAAATAGCAAGGTCAACAACAAAAATTGTGTGTGCAAGAGTTTTTTTTCCCCCATACAATTAATCCATGATTAGCACACAAGATATTGTATGGAATATGAGAATGTGCATATTTTAAATACCACAATCTTAGAACAATATAATATTGATGCACTTAAATAAATTTTTTCCTATAAAACAATGTTCTAAGCAAAATTGCAACATTATGCAGAGAGAAAACTTATTGGGGAACACTGACCTATTTATATTTCTAACTCACAAAGGCTGCTAATATCTTGCAAGTCATGCTTATTTTTATTATTAATATTTATAAAGCGTCAACAAATTCCACAATGCTGTACAATGCTTACCACAAAAAAAACCTCAGATATACAAAATTAATAATGCAATAGGACAACTGTAAAATACAAATTTTTTGGTCTTCACATAAGAAAAAAAACAAAATGCTGCAACTGGAAAAAAAAAAAATCACATACTCCACTTGTTTTCTACATCAGCTATTTTGGGCTGAAATATGAAATTCTTCAAATTTAAGTTTAATGAATAAAGCACTGATATTTCCACTATATTATAAACAATTAATTTAGAGTTTTATAGACATGCCTATTACTTTCATACACTTTGATATCTTTGGTGGCTTCCAGGTCAACATTTATAAACAAGATGAATCATATTTTTTGTAGTGCTTAATTATTGTATTTTTGAGAATATGTTTGTTATACCAAGTTATACTTCTCAAGGTATTGGTAACATTACTAAACCAATGAAACTTTATTAAATTAACTTGACAACGATTATAGGAAATCTTTATGTTTCCTATAGGTGAGAATATACCTAGGGGTTGAAAGAACACTGTACTTTACTTGGCACTAAGTTAGTGAGAACAGATGTTTAAAAATATTCAGACTCTCAATTGCTACCAAGAACAATTCATTGCATAAATTGCTACGTTCCCAGAGATCAAGAAAAATGTTTCATACAATTCTCTTGATTAAACTGACACTCCAAGCATCCAGACAACTTTAATTAAATTAATACATTTAAAAAACAAATGCAAAAAAAACCAAAAACCACAAACACTTCTGCACGTAAACCTTTAAAGGTTTAGCTCAATGTACGAAATAAGCTAGTCGACACAGCTAAAAAAATCCCAGGTGTTACCATGGAAAATAACATCAGCACTTGCACTGAAGCCAAAACAAGCACTTGTGCCACTGGATATTAAAGATTAGGTAAAAATCAATTACTTTGTTTATTTGATTACGTATTCCTGTCTACATACACTTTTTTACATTCTTTTTTATATTTTTACAGCTACATACATTTTACATAAAATGGGAGTCAAATATAGCTTGGAGAGCCCCTTTTTCTAATTGACTAAATTGAACCAGTCAAGATTCACAATGCACATTTGGCATGTAATGGTGATTAGATGGATATTTGCTTGTCAAAGAATAGAGCCCTTTTGCGATAGCAAGAATTCAGATATCAGATGGTAAATGACCCTTTCAGCTTATAGAAATAGAAAACGTGGAGATACTGGAGATATTGTGGAGAGGCAATATAATCCACACAAAATTGTGTTTACACTATTTTACCAAGTTGCACGTATTTATTCTATAAACAGACAGAACTTTCTGTTAAAAGGAATGAAAGCTGTATAAAATATACGACTAGTCAAGTAAAATCTTGTAAATTCTTATACAAGTTTAAAAAGAATAAAAAAAATAAAAAAAAATAAGTCTATGCATCTTGAAGTTCATGCTTGTTGACTGGCCATCCATTGGACGTTTGGAAACAGGTCAAATATAGCACCATTCATTCCAGGGATTCTCTCTCTTCTGTGAACAAGTCGGCCAGATCTGCTACAGTCAACACAGATGCTTCAGACTGCTTGACTGATGTGCTTGTGTGACTAAAAAAAAAAAAAAGTATGATTTGTATTAAGAATTTTTAAAAATTGTACTCCTTTCTGCAAAGACTGAAGCACTTAAACAACAAAGCTAACCCAAATGTGTTGCAAACGCACATGCTACAATTCTGAAATAAAGGTATTTTAATCATAATGGCTGCGCAGAGACTAACTTCTGAGAATAAGCCCTTCATAGACTTTATACGTCTTGGATCCACTATCAGATCAAGCAGTTACCTACCTATATTCAGCTCACTTGTAGTACTGTGCTTGTTAAAAATTAGGAAAAAGCACGTCTCCCTACATTTCCATGCCTTATAAAACTTTGACCTTTAATTATCCATGGCAAGTGCAACTGAATTTACTAACAACGGTAATCTATACAACACACTTTTGGGTACCCTGACACCACTATAACACTAGTCCACCCCCGTTCAGGCATCTTATTTCAGGGGCCAATTGCATATAAAGTGTTGATTATATTTAATGGCATTGTTTTGTTCACATGGTAGGTGTTCTTTCTAGTTAGTATAATAGCAATAACATGTACATAGTCTGATAAACTCTGACACATTTAAAGGGGTGTTTTTCTAACCTTTGTTAAAATGTGTGTCTAAAAGCTTCTTTGTGTCTATTGTGTATATTAGTTTTTTTTTTAAAGTTAAAACAAAACAGCAAGGTATAAATGGAATGTACGCTGCTACATAGTGCCAGAAATACAATTTTCCTAATACATATATTATGAATTTTAAATATCAATAGATAATGATAATTAAAAGCATGAACACAATTACTATAAATTCTTAGTCAAAATAATATGGATACCTTCTATCAGCAGTTTTTAACATTCCATGCATCCTTTCCTCAATCGTTGCTTTTATAAAGAAGCGATGAACAATCGTAGCTCTTGAAAAAAAATAATAATAATTATGACACTCAGATCACTGTAAGACTAAAGGAAAAGAAAAAAAAAAGCTACGCACTGCTGCTATACGGTTTATGGTAAAAACCTACATTCATGGAGTAAATGTCATTTTTTACACAAAATTACAGGTCAAAGTACAGCAACGATTAACTATATATATTTATTTATATTAACTATCTAATATATTTTTCGTAAGTAGAAACTAATTTTGGCACTAATTATATCTCCAGAAAACATAAGCAAATAAACTGTTAAAGAATTTCAAGTGGCAGTCCAATTACTTGGGGCACTGCTGTAGTGTTTCTCATGTGTCCTAAACTTGCAAAGTACTTTTTAGCATCAGAAGATTAAATTAAATACTACAAACTACAAGTTACCACATCCAAAATGAAGATTACTACATACATATTGTTCATTGATATATTATTTAAAAATTTTTACACTTGGGTAACATGGGAAATAAATACATATGTATCACCTGAAACTCACTTAGTCTGGCCAATTCGGTGTACTCGACCAATAGCCTGAAGCTCGTGTGCTGGGTTCAGAATGGGCTCTACTAGCAGTACGTGAGTAGCCTCTATTATGTTGAGTCCATTTGAACCCGTGTGCAGAGGAAGGAGTAAAATGTTGATATTGGGATCATATTTAAATGCCGACATGTTCTCCTGAAACATAGACTAGAGATTAGCTTTACAAATGAAATAATTTACTTGTATAATATACCATCCGTATTATTTCAGCTTCACACAACAGCAATTTACCTCATGCATTAAAAAGCTTCTAGAGATTAGTGTAACATATGGGGAAGTGTATCGCTGGGTAAATTGACCCATAGACTTTGACAGTCATATAAACTCTTATAAGACACATTTAATTGCTCCTGGATGTACATTTGTGTGAAGTATTTGTGTTTGAGTGAAGGGGTGTGTTTGTATATATTTTTTTTTAGTTTGAATGCAGGGGTGTGTTTGTATGTAATATTTGTGTTAGATTGCAGAAGTGTGCATGTATGTTGTGCTGGTGTTTGACTGCTTAGATGTATGCACATACACTACCACATACATATATACTTACACAGATATTCATGCACATTAACACACAGATGCATATAAATACACCAACACATACACACAAATCATATGGACACCGACACACATGGATATACACTGAAATATACACACACATGCACCCTGACACACAAAACATTGGTACATGCCCACACCATGACACAGATACACACTGACATAAAAACACACACCCTGACACACAGATGCGTGCGCGCACACAGACACAGAAGCACAATGACATGTATATATACACACAAGCAATTTTTTTTCATATCTCATATCTCCAGCCACCCTCCTGTTAGCTTACCTTATGTGCCAGGAGGGTGGCTTGGAGTCCTGCTGCTGTGGGAGTGAGGGGTCTGGAGCTCTTCATGCTCCTCTCCCCTCAAGCTGGGGATGCCCCCTCCCGCGCTGTCTCCCTGCAGGATGCTGGGAGGAAATGAAAGGATGTCACTTCCTCCCAGCCGGCCAACATTACTGGGGCCCGGTCGCAGTCTTAAAAGACCGCGGCATTCGACCGGGTCCCTGTTGAACAGTAATGTTTCCCCGGTGCTATAATCATAGCACCGGGGAAACATTCTGCAACACCCCAGCACACAGTTTGGGAACCGCTGACATAACGCAAAAAAAATGCTAATATATAAAAAAGACTACACAATGGTCTATACAAATGCTTGGAAACAACTAAATAACCAAAATTATAATTATATGTACAAATGTAATCCTTAGACAAATTCAACAGATATAGTGAAACTAATAGATGTTAGCTACAGCATCTTAGCCAGTTCCTGCATGGAAATACTGTATATAGTGTAACTGCACAATGGCTCCAATGGGCTCACCGACACTACAGGGCCCTTCATGCCCTTGATAGCCCCACCAGTAATGGATGTGTCTGTGTGCCTCTCTCGCTGTGTGTAGCAGTGTTTGTATATTTCTTTGTGTGGCAATCTGAATGTGCGTGTGTGACAATGTATGTCTATTCGTGACTACCTCCTGCATGCAAACTTCAACATTACACACAAACATACAACTGTATTCACACACCAATAATCCAATACTTCTAAATACACCACTGCATTAAAACTCCATGATTACCCAAAATTCAGTTAAAAAATTTAATACAACTGCATTCAAACACAAATACTACAGACAAACACACCCCTGCAAACATCAGTAATATGCATACGTGTTCACCCACACAACATAGAAAGCCACACCTATATTGACACACAGGCACTGCTCACAAATACAACCCTGCAAACAGTAGTTCCACAGCTGTCAGAGTATTGTGGGAGTTGTACAGCTATTGTGGATTTACCTTTTGGCCACCCCTACAACTTTTGTTTTGTGTACGTTGCCCGTTTTATACATTAGTTCCTCCACGGAGTCTGTTCATTCCAATTTACTATAATGGGAGGGATTTAAACCCTTATGTCACGTCTCAAGTTACTTTCACCCAATCTTGAATACCTATGCATATCCAAACAACAGAGGGTTTTAGTGCCACTGCAAATGCTATTAGTGCAAGCTCACTTATTAACAATGTATGCCAAGAGTACTGGGCCTCCTCTGCCTCTCTCTAATGGAAAAGGTTGCTCCATTATAATCCAAGGGAACACTAAGGGGTGAGTTGGGGATAGGTCACATATATTAGGTTAAGAAGCAGGTGGTACAGGTAAGTCCACACTGCTCCACTAATACCATAACACACACCTTAAGTCATTTATGCTTCTATCTGGTTTACAGTGGCTCAAAATGACCCACATGTATTATATAGCACTTTGTCTGCTACTCATAAATGGAGATAGGGAGGACAGCTAAACATGAACATATTGATATGTAGTGACCACTGGGCCTTTACAAAACAAGGCTTCTGGTAAACATTTCTTAACTTATCATCTGATGCATATGGTTGACCATCACACCGCAGTGTATAGCGTATTCCAAAGGCCATGCATTCAACCTAAGCCGTACATGTACACTATAACAAACATTAAGGAAAAATACTGAATTTAGTATGAAAAAAAGTGCATAACCAAATTTATCTTCTACCTGAAACTTCTGGATCCCATTGATCTGTGAAAATACCAAACTGTTGTCTTGAAGAGCTTTTGCAATGATATCTAGCACATCTTGCCACTGGAACAGGAATAGAATATAATTTATGCATACAAAATGTAGTTATTAATTCTAGTTATAAATCATATGCAAAGAATTTTGACACTTTAACTGGGAAAAAAAAATACAGTTTGCATTAAATTGTTAAAGGGACACACTAAGCACCCCTACAGTTTAACATCACAATTCTCTGCAAGTTACCTACAGAGTCTCCCTACACATCTGCTGTAAGGAAAGATCTAATGTTTGAAATTCCTCTACTGCACAGTGTTTAATTTAGAATTTCTTATCTCCTGCACTGTTTAAAGGACCAATATAGTGCCAGGAAAACATACTCGTTTTCCTGGCACTATAGTGCCCTGAGGGTGCCCCCACCCTCAGGGTCCCCCTCCCGCCCGGCTCTGGGGAGAGGAAAGGGGTTAAAACTTACCTTTTTCCAGCGCTGGGCGGGGAGCTCTCCTCCTCCGATCCTCCTCTTCTCCTCCCCGTCGGCTGAATGCGCACGCGCAGCAAGAGCTGCACGCGCATTCAGCTGTCGCATTGGAAAGCATTATCAATGCTTTCCTATGGACGCTTGCGTGCTCTCACTGTGATTTTCACAGTGAGAATCACGCAAGCGCCTCTAGCGGCTGTCAATGAGACAGCCACTAGAGGATTTGGGGGAAGGCTTAACCCATTCATAAACGTTTATAAAAAAATGGGTTAACCCTAGCTGGACCTGGCACCCAGACCACTTCATTAAGCTGAAGTGTCCTGGGTGCCTAGAGTGGTCATTTAAGTCCTGCTAGAGCCTGCAGGAGCCTCCTGTATATGATTAAAATTCAATTAACAGAGCGGAAGATAAAAAAAAAAAAAAGAAGAAATTCTAAAGTGAACACTCTGTACAGATTGAAAATGTAACCATTCTATTATGCAAGCTGCATGAGTTACCGTGAGGGGAGGTGTGGCTAGTGCTTCATAAACAGGAACAAAATGGATTATACTTTCAGAGAATTGAGCAGCGAGACTATAGGGGCATAATATACACACTAAAACAGTTTATTTATGCTAAAGTTGTTCTGGTGCTTAGAGTAGAACTTTAAATAATGCCTACAAATACAATACACTACAGAAGTATTAAAGGATGGGAAACAACATTCACATTTTAACACATAATCATTAACTTTCACAGCATTTTAATAAACCACTTAGTGACAAGACCAGTTTTCAATTTTCTTACCGTTAAGGACCAGGGCTGTTTTTAAATTTCAGCTGTGTTTCTGTTTAGCTGTAATTTTACTCTTACTCATTTACTGTACCCACACATATTATATACAGTTTTTCTCGCTATTAAATGGTCTTTTTAAAGATTCCATTATTTTCATCATATCATATTTTACTATAAAAAAAATGATAAAATATGATGAACATTTTTTAAAAGACACACCTTTTCTTACTTTGACCCCCCCAAAAAAACAGTGCTAAATAGTTTCTAAATTTTGTCCCGAGTTTAGAAATTACCAATGTTCACATGTTCTTAGCTTTTTTTTTTTTTGCAAGTTATAGGGCTATAAGTACAAGTAAGACATTGCTATATTTCAAAATATATATTTTTAAAATTTACCAATAGTGACATTGTAACACTTATCTGTCATAAATCATTGAATCACACCTCACATATAGATATTTTTTTAAAGTAGACAACCAAGGGTATTCGATATGGTATGTCAAGTCTTTTTTAGTAGCCACTTAGTCACAAACACTGGCCAAAGTTAGCATTTATATTTGTTTGGGTGTTAAAAATGCAAAAAATAATTATGAAACACTGCAAGTTGTATAATATTGGTTTATATGCGTAGTGATCCAAACCAATATTGTACAACTTGCAATGTTTCAATAAAAATATTTTAAAAAAACAACAATTCTGAACGCTAACGTTGGCCAATGTTTGTGACTACTAAAAAAGACTGGACCCTACCCCATTTGCAATACCTTGGGTTGTCTTCTTTGCAACTGGTATGCCATCATGGGGGTAATTCTCATTCCTGGGCTACCATATGCTCTCAAAGGCAACATAACCAATCTGGTAAATTTCAATGTGAAAAAACTGAAAATTAAGCCTTATATTTGACCCTGTAACTTACAAAAACCACTATAAAACCTGTGCATGGGGGGGTACTGTTATACTCGGGAGACTTTGTGAACACAAATATTAGTGTTTCAAACAGTAAAAGGTATCACAACAATGATATCATCCGTGAAAGTGCGGTTTGTGTGTGAAAAATGAAAGAAACATCACTTTCACTGACAATATCGCTGTGATATGTTTTACGGTTTTGAAACACCAGTATATGTGTTCAGCAAAGTCTCCTGAGTAAAACAGTACCCCCCCATGTACAGGTTTTAGGGTGTCATGGAAAGTTACAGGGTTAAATACAGTGCTAGCAAATTAAATTCTCTGGACTTTTGGCCTGGGTTGTCAGGCAGGTCCCTCAAATTGCAATCAATAAAATTACTTATGTAAAAATATTACAAAAAAAAAAAGGAGAATTTAAATATATACATATTTATATATTTGAAGTCTATGTGTATATTTATGAAATTATTTAACTATTTATATGATAACACATGGCTACTTTAGCCTCCTCCTCTCCTCTCCCACCTCCCCCCTCCTTTCCTATTCTCCTCCCAGTTGTAAATACCTTTATAACAGTTCAATCTCCTTCTCTGTTCTTCAGGCCTCACTTCACACTCAAACTGAGTGAAGAACTGCATTTTTTCTCCCCACCCACCCAGGCTCCCCCTAAATATATAGCATGGTCCTCCAGCTGTTTGAGATTCTCACTCAATTACCTCTTCATTCCCTTCGTATTTACCAATAGCTGCTTCTCTGTTAACTCTTTCAGCCATCACCTCCAAACTTCCCCTGCTACCTCTTGTTTCAAATCCCCATGGTATCCTTTAGATTGTAAGCTCACGGGCCAGATTGTAGCTAAGCACTTTGTATAAAAGAGCTCCAATGGCTAGATATCAGCTTACGGGCAGGGCTCTCTCTACCTCTTGTATTTGTCTGTGTATATTGTACGTTCTCCACAAATTGTACAGAATCTGTTGGCGCTTTATAAATAGCAATAATAAAATAATAAATGATATATATATTTTATATTTTATTTATGTACATATACATAGATATATAATTTCATTCTAAGGGTATTTTAATATAAATATATATTAATAATACAGCTAGAATAAAATGATATATATATATATATATATATATATACACACACACACACACATACACACACACATATAAAGAAACTATTTTTTATTATTTACAATTTTTATAATATATATACACATATTATACACATCTTACAGAGTGATCACATGGCCCGCGGGGTCCTAATTTGCCGAGGGTGGTTGTCTGGACTGTCAGATATTCCCACCAGAGAGGAACACTGATCGCCGCAGTTCCCCCGCCGGGTAAGTACTAAAATACTGTGGATGTACTAGGTACGTCCGAGTTCCTTAAGGACTGTTTTTGTCAGACGTAAATTGTATGTACGAGGTCAGGAAGTGATTTAAAGGAACTTTCCCCAGGATTTTTAATATTATGTTTACTTTCACCTATTTAACAAATGTGTATTTGTGAGGTGTGAAAAATAAAATTCAATGTAAAAGTCCACATCTCTTTGCCAAGCAACAGGGCGCCTCCATCTTAACTCTCTGTCAATCATTATCACAAGCCCTTTTTTGGCACCTGGCAGTAAGCATAGAAAAAAGCAAACTTTGCAATATTTGCATTGGTGTTGCCTTGTTTCAACTAGATAATGAAACCTTTAGTACAAATTTAAATTAAAAAAAAGTGCATCTAATTGAAAAAAATTAACTAACAAAAAAAACTCAATAACAAGTTTATGGTTTATTTTTCATGTTTTATTCAATGCTGTAAAGAGACCTGATCTTTCCCTTTTGAAATGGGATAGGTAAAAAAGTATGTGCATATCATTGTATGGCGTGAGTGCTGTAAAAAACTAACATCTCAGTGCACATTGTTGCATATTTGCCTTGATCTGTGATTTAGTTATATTCCTAGACAGAAAATGCCAACATTAATTATGCGCCTTTCATGTTTCTCGTTAGACACAAACACACATGCTAAAGTAATAAAATCTAAATTACACAGAAATGACCTTACTGTTGAGAAAACCAATGCTTTAGCTCCAGGATCACGGTGATGAATTTTCATCAAGGTTCTAACCACAGCTTCAACTTTGGTAGAATGGCTTCCCTTTTAGACAAAGAACATTAAAGATGATAAGCAATAGTTTACTTAATCCCCCCTATATACTATAGTATATGGATAATTATAGCGTTATTGGATTTATTACATCATTTTTTTAGTCACACACCTCCTGTACCATCTGTACAAAAAAAACATATAACTCTACAAAAGAGTCATGATATGTTGACAAAAAAATAAACAAAGGATTAAACTGAAAAAATCCATTATACCTTTAAAAGTTCTGAAGAAAAAAAAAAAAAAAGAAGAGCACACATGAAACCAAGTGAGCACCACAAACAATTACTGTACAACTAATTTTGTAAGTAAATGTAATTAAACTTTGCAGACTATGGGAAGGTTTTTAATACAGCATCTTCTCATCTATAAAAAAAGAAATTGTATTTCAAATCACAGAAAAGAAGCAAAACGGATGTGAAGATTCTTTTTGCTTGTGCACCAGGGAGAAAAACTACCGTGGCATGAAATTGAACTTAAAACAAATTTTTATTAAACTGCTAAATTATTTGTATTTAAGCAATTATTATTATAATAAATCAAATCGGTAAAAAAAAAAAAAATCCAGTAGTGCTATATTATTCATTACTACAAAGAAAATTCTGACTAGTTTTAAAATGTAGAACTTATAATTGGCTATGTGTATAAAACTGGAAGTAAATGCTGTTCATTATAATTAGTAGTAAGTTAAAGGCAATAAAATATGAAAACATATAAATGTACAAAGCTTTATATGAAAGACGGCACATTATATGCTGAATCGTATGCATCATTTTTCACAATAGGATAAAAAATGATTACTAAAAATATCATATAAAAACAGGCCGTTCTGACTGTTTAAACACTGCTTGTTATTGGCATATAACTTACTTACGAAAGATATGCCAAATATCAGACTTGTGCATGGCAAAACATTTTGGTTCCCATGGTCTTCGGGTTGGGTTATTAATGACAAGAGGGAGGTGGACATTCCCCACCCACAAAAAGTTAAGTCCCCAAGCCCCTAGACACCCTCTTCCATATAAAAATGTCTACCCCCAACCCAATAATAGTAAGGGGGTCCATTAACTGAAAACCTGCATAAAAATAAATAAAAGAAAATCATACTCGCCTTTAGATGTCTTCTTTTCTTAAATCTTTCCTTCAGGCCAACAAAACACCAAACATAATGCCATAGCACCACTTTTATTAAAAATAAAAAAGAACCAGACCGGAAACCCCACCCCCCACAAATAATCTAAGTGAGCTCTACAAGGGGCCCTGTGGAGAATTAGCGCTCAAGGCAGGAAAAGTTGTTAAAAAGCCAACCAGAGCGCTCGGACAGGCAAGTCACATCTCTCAGAATAGAGACACCCAGCAATCTGAGGTAGGAAGAAAGTTGCCCTATCCTTTTGGTGAAGGTGGAAAATGATATGTCACCCCAAAGCCCACTATTATGGTGGACAAAGGCCTATGTTCATGGGTGGGAGAATTTGATATGTCCATCAGTGTGTCTCGCTCTTTTTTATTTATTATTTTTAAATAAATCTTGCCATTGGAGTGGGCACCCATATTTTTTTAATTTTACGCCCTCATCTGATGCCCACAGGTGGGAAATTGTGGCAGGTCTCACCAAAGTATTTTACAGATCCAATCCACAATGGACTTTCTAAGCATTGTATAAGGGAGGGATTATAAGTCCCTTATACGAATATGGTGGTAATTTTTCACCCATTAACTCTTACACAGCTGAGAGGGTTTTATTTTTCTAGTGCTGCCAAAGGGTAAATAGTTGTGATTTTAACACAACTATAAAAAACGAAATGGCTCGTCCATTGTTTTGAAATATTTTGACACAGGGATCGGAGACAGCCAGTTCCTCCATTAAGCGCATAGGGGAGGTTATTCATGCAACTTAAGAATGGGGTTTCACATACCTACTGCTAGTTGGACAGGCATCTGATAGCTCCAATGCCAACATCATTTGGCCAGTTATCAGCAGTGGCGGATCCAGAGCCTGATCTCGGGAGGGGCACTTGTAGATTATTTTTTTTTTTGAATTTGACAATTTTTATTTTTATCGGATGGGGAGATGGGGTACAGAAGAGAGCAGGGAGGGGGGGGGGAGAAACAGTATATAGTATCCAAGCTCAATACTTTGTGTACATAGTCATTTTTACAGTCAGCAATTTGATTCAAGTGTGCAAGGTTAGTGTGTGGGCAGAGTCTTTTGATTTATTGCTAGTCCCCTGGTCGTATGTGCCTCATGCTAGGTTGCCATGTGTAACATGTTGTTGCAGAGGGTGTCTGCTCGTTAAGGTGTTCCAGCATAGGGGGGTGTCTGTACCCTGTCAAGGTGTGTTTGTTTGATGGTGTCTTGTGTCTCGTCCCCGCTGCTGTTGGGACCGTTCACCTTTTTGCCTGGGACCTTAGCCTATCTTTAAGTGTATATGTTGGTGTATAAGGTTGTCATTAGTCGGTATGCCTGTGTTTGCATTTGTGCCTTGGGGAGGGAGGGTGGGTGAAGGGGGCAGGGTGGCTTGGCAGGGTGGCTTAGCGGGTTGTGGGTTCCCCTGGTTCTTTTGTTGGGGTAGTGGCAGAAAGAGGGAAGTGCTTCCGTCGTGAAGCAGGTTGTGAGGAAGCGGTTGAGTGTCCTCCTGTGGTGTTTTTATGCGGTGTGTTGGATGCGAGTTCGTCTACAGGGTTGTAGCCTATTCTCGTCCCACATTTCCCATGCTGTGGTGTAGTATGTTGCTTTTGGTCTCGCTTTCCTTGCCATTATTTCGTAGCGTTTGGAGTCGTCAATTGCTTTGATACATTGTTCTATTGTCGGTGGGGTTGCTTGTTTCCATTTCCTGCTTATGGTTGCTAGTGCTGAGATGATGATGTGGTAGAGGAGGTATCTGTGGCTTTTCTGCAGTTTGTTCGGGAGTAGAAGTAGAAGAAATGTTTCCGGTAGGAGTGGTAGGTGCGTTTTGGTGCATCTTGCCGCTAGTTCCTTTACTTCCCGCCAGTATGTTGTGAGTTGCGGGCAGTGCCACCAGATGTGGCACTTGTAGATTATTTAAAGAAATAATCCAGACACAATAACCACTACAGCTCAGTGTAGTGGTTATGGTGTCAATAGTGCCGGGACCCCCTCCCACAGTAAGTAGTCAAACCGTTTAAGAACAGTTTGACAACTTACCTGAGATCTGCTGGGAAATGGGGCTGTAGTAGGGCATAGGAGCAGTGGTGTGTGAGTGGTGCAATGTGTAAGGGGTGCAGTGTGTGTGTGTGTGTGAGGGGGACAGTGTGTGAGCAGTGTGTGTGTGTGAAGGTTGTAGTGTGTGAGTGAGGGCGGCAGTGTATGTCAGGGATGCAGTGTATGTGTGGGACAGTATGTGTGTGTAACAGTTGCGGTGTGTGTGTATGAGGGGCAGTGTGTGTGTATGGGGGGGCAGTATGTGTGTATGTGGGAGCAGTGTGTGTATGTGGGGGCAGTGCGTGTGTATGAGGGGCAGTTTGTGTGTATGGCGGGCAGTTTGTGTGTGTGTGGGGCAGTATGTGTGTATGTGGGAGCAGTGTGTGTATGTGGGGGCAGTGCGTGTGTATGGCAAGCCTATGTGTGTATGCATGGCAAGCTTCCAGTGTGTATGGGGGGCAGTGCATGTGTGTGGCTGGGGCAGTATGTGTGTATGGGGGCTGCCTGTGTGAATGGGGGCAGTATGTGTGTATGGGGGGAGCAGCATGTGTGCATGGGGGGGAGCAGTGTGTAATGTGGGGCAGTGCATGTGTAATGAGGGGCAGCTCAGGCATGGGGGGTGCTCTTGTGTGTATGGGGCAGTTTGTGTGTGCATGGGGGGCAGCTCTGTGTGTAATAAAGGCTCTGTGTGTGCATGTAAAGGTTTGTGTGTATGGGGCAGTTTCAGTGTATGGGGCAGTTTGTGTATAGGGCAGCTCTAGTATAGGGGGGGCAGTTTGTGTGTATAGGGGGCAGTTTGTGTGTATAAAGGGGAAGTTTGTGTGTATGGGGGGCAGTATGTGTGATGGGGCAGTGTGTGTATGGGGGGGGGCAGTTTGTGTGTATGGGGCAGTTTGTGTGTATTGGGGGGCAGTTTGTGTGTGGGGCAGTTTGTGTGTATGGGGCAGTGTGTGTGGAATGGGCAGTGTGTGTGAATGTGGGGCAGTGTGTGTGTGTATAGAGCAGTTTGTGTATGGGGGGCAGTATGTGTGTATGAGGGAGCAGTGTGTGTGAAATGGGGTAGCCGAAAAGGGGGAGCAGTTTGTGTGTATGGGGGGGCAGTGTGTGTGAATGGGGGGGCAGTTTGTGTGTATGGGGGGGCAGTATTGGGGGCAATGTATGTGTCTGTGGCTTTTTTTTTTTATAATATATATACTTTTTTTATTTAATTCAAATTTTTTTTTTAAATTTAATTATTTATCCGAAATATGTTCCCCCTCCCTTCTTACCTTTACTGGGGGGAGGGGGGACATATTTAGATCCCTGGTGGTCCGGTGGGCGATTCATTGGTGGTCCCAGTGTGGAGAGTGAACTCTAGCCCGCGCTCCCGGCAAGAGTTCACTCTCGCGAGATTTGGAGCGTTGCCGTGGTAACCGCGGCAACGCTTTAAATCTCACGAGAGGAGGACCCGCAGGAGCTGCAGACTGAGCTCCGGGTCCTCTCTCTCTCTCACTCCCTCCCCTGCCGGCTCTCAGCACTGTGCCTGCCATGCTGGCAGGGGAGGGAGAGGGAGACCGGCGGATTTCTCGGGGCAATTGCCCCGTTGCCCCCCCCCTGGATCCGCCACTGGTTATCAGTTATCTGGTAATACACATGATCGGACCAGCCCGTTGGTCTCGGTATACTGCTTAGCGCATCTTGAGCGTATACTCTGTGCCACAGAGAGCCGTCCATATTGGAGATGCTTTAGGGGTGCTCGCCCTTGTGAGTCGCCCTGTCACCCCTGATGTAAAACTCAGCACAATCTCAGCAAACAGTTTTTTCTTTTTGTTTTGGCCGAATGTGTTTTCAGCTGTGGTTTGCATATAATATGTTGCACCTTCTATACTGTAACATCTTTATGTACCTAAATATTGTACTCTCTTTGTAATACTGATCTGATATATAAATAAAAAGTGATTGACAAAAAATAAAATTTGCAGGATTCGGGATGAATGCTGAGGGTTAAATACATAAAAAAAAAAAAAAATGTCTCTGTAAAATTGCATAAACTATTAATTTACACACAGTTTAATGAATAACCATGGTTGTTATTTGTACATAGTGTTACTCTTTAAACAAAACAAAACAAAAAAAATAAATAAATCTTGAGACATGAAATTCAATTGCACATTTCTTAAATAGTTTTTGAAAACTCATGCCACAGTCTGGCAATGAGATAAAGGAGCGAGATACAGTTTATTGATAATATATTAACTTAATACATTATTTACATAAAAGCAGTGTATGCTACTTACTTTTACAGGAATGTCTTTTTCTTCATTTGCTGTCTCACTAGTAAACACATACGAGATCTCTTTGTGTGATGTGGTCTGCCTGCAGATGGCACATTTAATAGCACTCCTACGAGTGCCCACACTGTACTGATCAATGATGATAGCGATGCATTCGTTACAGAAGCAATGGCCACAGGTCAACACCGCCCACTAGAGAAAAAAAAAGGAACATTTATTTAATATAGCACACTGTAAATGATCAAACAAACTAAGAGAAATTTCAAAATATGGATCGATTGTTATGGTGCTTGGAGTGTTCCTTTTAATCATAGGTAATAAATGAATCACTTGTTGGGGCAAGTGGGTATAATATTATCTCTGCATTATAAATCTACGTTCCTTACTGCTATCACTGTCAGTATATTTATACTGGCAGACATTTTGTGTTAAGACAGAAATTAAAAATGTATACTGTAAGTCACCATCAGAACAGAGGTGACTCCATTTTGTATTACAATGCAAAGAGACACATTTTTACTTCTCTGTAAGTATTCAATCAAGCCTAAGCTAGGGAATGCGACTAATGTAAACATTGACAGAGATAAGGCATGATGTCTGCAGCAACCCAGAGACAAATTATATATATATATATATATATATATATATATATATATATATATATATATATATATATATATATATATATATATATATATATATATATACACACACACACACACACACACACACACACACACAGACACTATCCACATATAACTAACTATATTATATTAATCATATATAAATAGTACTAAGTTAATAATCTAGAATATTCATGGATATAATATCAATGAAGAAATGTCATATTATTTACCAACGTTAGTGGAATATGTGTAATACTAACTATGTAGCTTCACACAAGAAAACTAGACACAGAATGACAGATAACACCAAGTAATTAATTTTACTTTAAAAAAAAAAAAAAAAACGGAATCTCACAAAGTTCCATTGTCTAGAGAGAAGAGTTTAGGACGTGTCAGGAATCTAATTTAATGGCGAAAATGCAGACACAAATCTGTGTAAAAATGAACCCAAAGCTTTGAAAAGTGACATGTCTGTGACGAATAGGGAACCATAAAGATAACCAAGATGACGTCAAACGCATCACAAAATTCAGTTAACCCATTATACAAAAAGGTAAATGGACCCCATGACAAGAATTTTCTGTGATGTAATTGCACCATCTACTGACCAAAATCTAGATGATAGTCTGTAGGGAAGACACGCCCACGTTTCTCTATTGGTCACTATCAACTAGTGACGTAAAGAGAACTTCTCCTTTAAAAATTAAGGACAAAGGAGAGAGAGGACACTCAAGACACTCAGACTCAGACACACTCTCAATCTGAGGATGGACTCACATCTAACACATCTGGCATCTGGAGCCAAAGCTGGACACACCTAATTCTTTGTACCTTTTCCAAGTAACACAGCTTTGAAATTCAGAACTCTGAAAACTTTTCTATATTTCCCCCAATTCTCATCATACTTGCATTCAAAGTTCATAGGACGTATCTTCAAATCTGATAAGAATTTGTACCAAGAGCTGGTAAATATACTGGTTTTATTTAATTAATTTAAATTAATTGATTTCACTAAAAGGCAGAATATACTTGGATAAAAGCTGGTGATTCCAACATTTAGGAGTCATGATTCGTTAATAATATATAGAATTCGTAATTCCATTCCTGCAGGGGGACCAATGAACTCTATATTACTTTTAACTTTAAAAATTGAATACCAGGCAATTATCCAGATATATTAGCTTATGTAATTTAGAAATGGTAAATTTTAATTGGGAAAGTTAAAATTCTGCAAACGTAAAATCTGGTAAGAATTATTCTCATTGGATGGTCATAGGAATGGTCAATGATCTAGTATGAGAAATATTGTATTTGTAAAATTGCAATATAAAAGGATATCTTGCCTATGAGAATTGCAGCCAGCAGTGTTAATTCAGTGTTATTTGACTGTCAGCCAAGTTTTTATTGCTTTATGCTGTGCTGCTGTGTTAAGTGTATTTCAAAGTTAAGTGTCCTGTCATAAATCTTGTTGAAAACTGCATACATGTCGATATAACTGTTGCTATTTAGCGGTCTATAATTTGTGTAAACCGCTGCCATATTGTATACTTAGGTTATACCAATATTCACTGATTTTGATATAATAAAAATAATTAAATACAATTTTGATAAATGTTATGAAAATATTATTTTAATATTTATCACCTCATAAATATCCTCACACTACGACTGTAGGGCTTTTGGCCAAGTTGGAATAACTCTTGTCCAACACCACCTCCTAACCCAGAGGGAGATACCAGGGCCCATTGTATGCCTAATTGAGTTTCTGTAACTCCGTGTCCACATACTGCTTTCCATCTGCATGCAGAAAGCATGCATTCATTGCAGTTCACTTCTTACTGTACCCTGCTGATACCAGCTGTTAGCAAACAGCTTCTAAGAGTAAGTGGTGAAAAATGGCTTTCTCCATGCTACTGAGAAACAGAAATGGTATATGAAATGTGAAAATGTCAAAAGTCAAGAGATATGGCACTCACCACAGGGAGAGGCAAAGCTCAAATACATAAACAGGAAATAAAAGATCTAGCATATATTAAATCTCTAGACACATGTTTAATGGAACGTTTTGGCCCATAAGCAGGTGTTTACCAAGCCTACATATCATAAAAACACCCTTGTGGGCCGAAATGGTGCTATATTCTCCCATAAAATCATGCTATATTCTACCTGCCTCTAGGGACTTCACTTATGTGGATTTTTTTCTTTCCTCTGTCAGATTATGAAAAGATATCTGTACTAGTGAAACTTTTGTTGTTAAATACCAAGCCAAACCATAAGTAAAAAATGTACTTTAATCAACAATACACTGCATTGTATTGTGCATTAGTTTTTTTTTTTTTTTTAAAGGAACACTATAGTGTCAGGAACACAAACATGCATTCCTGACACTATAGTGTCTAAATAGTGTTAAACTATTTAGTTGTCTACACCCTCCCCCAATCTCCCAACCAACCCCCACCCCGTATGGTAGAAAGGTGTTTTAACTCATAGAAATAAATAGAATGTAGTAAAAGCGCTAAGAAGTCCAAGTACTTTTCAAAGGTACTCTGTTTACACGCATGTTCACACATATGCATACATACACGCATTACTGGATACAAAAAAGAGATTTATCAATGTATCACATAGGAATCATTTCAGTAAGGAGAGAATAACAGAGGCATTCAGTTAAAATTACCTGTTTCCCCAGATCCCTTGCACAGATTGGACATGGTTCCGGGTTCACTCCATCTGTTGTTTTATCTTGGGACTGCATGAAGACAAGGTGAAGTATTTATTTAATTTCAACTTTCTTTTAATGTTCATTAACATAAATATATTCTTGATAATAATTTGGGGCTTGGGAATAGAAATGGCAAATCATATAAAAAAAACAACTCCTAGCACGTGGGACTTATCAAAGCCCCCCAATTGAATCCTGTGATTCAATACTTTTGCATCAAAAAAGCAATTGTGCAACAAAAGCTTAATTCAAAGCCTGCTGATAAGCAAATCTTCAAATTTCCTCTTTTAGCCATAACACTTTTAGCAAGCAAAAAGCAAATGAATAAAAATAATTTGCCAACATTCGGTTTATCATCGGCTGCTGTGATTACCAGCACCTGTGTGCTCCTTAGCCTCTTAATTACTATTGAAGCATTAAGGGTGTACTTTGTTTTTCACACATGGCTTCTCTTTTTCCCATGTGTTGGGAAACACAACATTTAACCCCTTAAGGACGGAGCCAAATGTACACATTGTGAACAAAACAAAATGTAAACAAAACCTGGCATTTGCGCTACATGTCTGTCCAACCGTAATACACCTCTTTCATAGTAAATGCACCCACCCTTATTATATATCATTTTATTCAGGGGAAACAGGGCTTTCATTTATTTCAAATATTAGCTATTTATTTTCAAATATTTAGCTATGAAACATAATTTAATATGAAAAAAATGGGAGAAAATACTATTTTTTTGATTTTTTTAGTTCTAAATTGCATTTTAAAGGTCAGTGTCATAATACTGTTTGATTTTACTGCAATAAAATACACATATTTGTATTTAGTAAAGTCTCACGTGTAAGACAGTACCCCCTATGTACAGGTTTTATGGCGTTTTGGGAAGTTACAGGGTCAAATATAGCACGTTACATTTGAAATTGAAATTCGCCAGATTGGTTACGTTGCCTTTGAGACTGTATAGTAGCCCAGGAATGAAATTTACACCCATAATGGCATACCATTTGCAATAGTAGACAACCCAAGGTATTGCAAATGGGGTATGTCCAGTCTTTTTTAGTAGCCATTTGGTCACAAACACTGGCCAAAGTTAGCGTTAGTATTTGTTTGTGTGTGAAAAATGCAAAAAACGCCAATTTTGGCCAGTGTTTGTGACTAAGTGGCTACTAAAAAAGACTGGACATACCCTGTTTGCAATACCTTGGGTTGTCTACTATTGCAAATGGTATGCCATCATAGGGGTAATTTTCATTCTTGGGCTACCATAGGGTCTCAAAGGCAACGTAACCAATCTGGCGAATTTTAATGTGAAAAAAATGAAACACAAGCCTTATATTTGACGCTGTAACTTTTGAAAACACCATAAAACCTGTACATGAGGGGTACTGTTGTACTTTCGCTGAACACAAATAAATGTGTTGTCAAAACAGTAAAAGTATCACAGCAATAATATTGTCCGTGTAATGCTGTTTGTGCGTGAAAAATGCAAAAACTTCACTTTTACTGGCGATATCATCGTTGTAATACATTTTACTGTTTTGAAACACTAATATTTGTGTTCAGCGAAGTCTCCCGAGTAGAACAGTACCCCCCATGTACAGGTTTTATGGTGTCTGGAAAGTTATAGGGTTAAATATAGTGCTAGCAAATTAAATTCCCTTTACTTTCGGCATGGGTTGTCAGGCAGGTCCTGCTAATTGTAATTAATTAAGATACCTAATTATGTAAAAATATTACATAAATATATATGTAGAATTAATATATGTATATATATACGTATGTGTATATATATGTATATATCTATATAATTTTTTAAAAATATTTTTATTTATATATAGGTATATATATAGTGATATATACGTATATATTTATGTATATAGATATATATATTATTTCGTTCTACGTGTATTTTGATATATATATATATATATTAATTTCACAAAACAGTTAGAACGAAATAACACACATCTATATATTTTTTAATTATTTTTTTTAATTATTTTTAATTTTATTTTTTAACGTATTTACATTTTTATTTTTTTTATATTATATATAAATATATATATAACAATAATTATATATATATTTAATCAGTATCAGTCTACGTGTAATTTGATATTAATATATATATATAATTATATATATATTAATAGTAAAATACACCTAGACGGTGTATGTGTGTGTATGTATATGTGTATATATATACTTAGATCATATATATATAATATATATATATGATCTAAGTATATATAATATTTTTTTTTTACACCATTAACTTATTTTACTTTTATTTTCAGCCAGCAGGGGGACCACCTGTCATTACAGGCAGCCCCCCTGCCGGCAATACAGAAGCCAGCTATACCCGGCCATGTGATTGTGGGGTCCTCGCTAGGACCCCACTCTCACATGGCCGGGGGGCTTCAACGAGGACGGATGTGCCGCGGGGGGCTCCCTGGGAGTCCCCCCAACCGCGATCGCCGGCGTGGGACCGCCGGCGACCGGGTAAGTTAACAAAAACCGGAGGGCGTACAATTACGCCCGGCGGCGTTTAGAGCCGCCTATTAGAGGGCGTAATTGTACGTCCTCCGGTTTTAAGGGGTTAAGGGCCACTGTAGTCATAAGAAAAAAACAAAAAAAACTTTAGCTTAAGTTTTTTGGTGTATAGATCATGTCCCTGCAGTCTCAATGCTCAACTCTCTGCCATTTAGGAGATAAATCACTTTGTTTATACTGCCCTAGTCATACCTTCCTACATGTGACTTGTGTAGCCTTTCTAAACACTTCCTGTAAAGTGACATTTAATGTTTAAACTTCCTTTATTGTACAGTCTGTTTAATTTAGAATTTCCTATTTCCCGCACTATTAATAGCCTGCTAGACCTTGCAGGAGCCTCCTGTGTGTGATTAAAGCTCAATTTACAGAGCAGGAGATAAAGTTAAAGGACCACTCTAGGCACCCAGACCACTTCAGCTTAATGAAGTGGTCTGGGTGCCAGGTACCTCTAGGATTAACCCTTTTTTTTTTATAAACATAGCAGTTTCAGAGAAACTGCTATGTTTATACTGAGGGTTAATCCAGTCTCCAGAGCCTCTAGTGGCTGTCTCATTGACAGCCGCTAGTGGCGCTTGCGTGCTTCTCACTGTGAAAATCACAGTGAGAGCACGCAAGCGTCCATAGGAAAGCATTGTAAATGCTTTCCTATGCGACCGGCTGAATGCGCGCGCGGCTCCTGCCGATGACGTCGCGAGCAAGGAGGAGAGGAGGAGTACAGCTCCCCGCCCGGCGCTGGAGAAAGGTAAGTGTTTAACCCCTTCCTCTCTCCAGAGCCCGGCAGGAGGGGGTCCCTGAGGGTGGGGGCACCCTCAGGGCACTATAGTGCCAGGAAAACGAGTATGTTTTCCTGGCACTATAGTGGTCCTTTAACATCTGATTGAAAATGAAACCATATTTGTCATGCAGGATGTGTCAGTCACACCCAGGGAGGTATGGCTAGGGCTGCATGGACAGAAACAAAATATATTTAATTTCTTAAAAGGCAGAAAATTGAGCAGGAGCATGATCATACACCAAAACTGCTTCATTAAGCTAAAGTTCTTTTGGTGACTATAGTGCCCCTATAAGTGGGTTTCTAAAATGATAAAAATAGGAAATAAAACCCCTTATCATAATGCACATTTTTCCTTATCATAATTTTTACACATCCAGTGCAACTAAATAAAAAGAGCTCAAAGTAGATTCATGTATCAGTCCTGAGTGTTAAATGTGTCATATGTATAGGATCTAAATTAATTCATGGTAGTTAATGCTAACCCTATACCCCCCAACCCAAAGCTATACACTAACCTTACCCAAACCCTATTACGTACACTAAGATTTTACTCCCTTTACTGAATTTTCCTCTGCACTGCCACAGGCTCCTCCTTGCATGATGTAATTGTAGAGGAGCATTAGGAACTAACAGTGCACGCGCGAGATCCACTATTGATTCTGTCACAGACAAACACTAAATGCAATGATTCTCTGCGACTGAACGCATGCACGCATGATGTCATAGTATGCTTGGGTATGAGAGCCTGGGACGTCTATACTTTGTCTGATATCAGCAAAGTTTATTGTATGTGCAGAAGCCCTATAAAGGGTTAAATGTTAAAGGGTTTATAAAACACCCCTTCTTGTCTCACTGGAGACTCTTGGCTGATATCAGCATATCTAATGGCTAGTGTAGGAACTCACCTATTGAGGCTTGCCTTGACGTGGCAGGTGAGCTTATATATTCAAATGGCCATTAGAATAAAACTAAAGAGTCTCCATTTTTGTTTAAATGCACATGGGGATTTAGGCCAGAGCGCAGGTAACGTTTTCTTTGTTTTTACTATGAGAGCCTGGGAACTAACAGTTCCGGCGCTCCCATCCAGAGAGCTTGGAGCCATGCTTTGAATCTGCATTTCCAAGCCTTCTAACTATTAAAATAAAGGGTTTTGGGGGGTAGGACACAGGGAGTTGGATTGAGAGGACTAGAACAACTTCAATAAGATGAAGTCATTATAGTGCCTGCGGTGTTCCTCTAACCCTACACTATCCCTAACCATAAAACAGCACAACCCCAATCCAGCATTAACCTTAATCTAACCTTACATGAACCTTCTGCTAATATCAGCATCCAAGTTAAAATGGTAGAGAACAGTGTGTTGTCGCCATCTACTGGTGTTTTAGAAGAATTTACTTTCAGCACTGCATACAGTGTAACTGTCAGTCTGTGGACACAAAAAAATGCCCCAGCTGACAGAGGAGGGCTCCGGGTATCTACTTGTATCTGAGTTCATGGTGTGAGCAATGATTTAACCCTGCTCACACCAAAATTTTAGGACATATCAATATGTCCCAACGGCATTATGACTTTACATATACCAAGACATTTGAACTTTAGTTAATATTTTGGGCAAGTTACATGCTTATAGTACGTGTCTATATAAGGCTTATTATATCTTTGGCAATCCACTTTCATATTTTTTTTCTAGGTTTTATTGTTACAACAGAGAGACATTACAGTAATAAGCAGTGTATCGAAGTTGCTTCATACAAAAGTGCAACACATTCAGTTAACAATCTGTAATCAGTTGAATGAGAGTATAACACAGTAACCAAAGAGCAAAGTACTCCTCTGGTATAGAGAAATAGGAAGTAATCATTCTGTGATAGTAAACTCTATTGGTAATCTTCGAGACTGTGTGCTATTGGAATGCAAACATGCAACACCTCAAGAAAGGACAGAATTGGCTCCTGTTTGGGCTATTTAAAAATCATAGCTACGTGTTCAGGGTGCACTAATGAGTAATCTTGTTTGCTCACAAGCAGTAAGTGCCTATAGGAGTGTGGGGGTGTCCCATATACTCTATTATATGCATCAGTCCCATGTGTCAGTGAACTGAGGTGAATATAAGCAAGAATAGAAGTAGCATTACAGAGAGGAGGGAAAGACATTGAACAACATCTAGATGGGGGGGGATAAGCAGAAGCAGGAAAGAAAAGGGAGAGAGGAAAAAAAAATAATAATAAATAATATATAATATATATATATATATATATATATATATATATATATATATATATATAATGAAGGGGTGGGGGGTTGAGGTGGAGAAGGGAAAGGCGAGGGAAAACCCTAATAGGGACGATACTCAGGTCTCATGTGACAGCCGTTGGGCGCAGAATATGTCATCCTGTCTCACCCCTCCCTCCCTACCGCCAAGTCTGTCAGATGGGTCCAGGGTTGAAAATTTAGCATATACCGTAGAACTGATCTAATCACCATCTGCCCTGTCGCCTTCCAGCCCCACCACACCCCGCGTGGTCTGCTCGGTCGGTCCCTAAAAAGCCACCTCAGCCAGTAAAACCATTCAGGATTAATTCCTCAATCTGTCGTAATTTCTTTGACCCTAGTCTCTGAGTGATGGTGTTTTCTTTTCCAAAAACAAGGAATCAGGCTTTTAAAAAAAAAGCTGATTAATACCTTCTCTAAGTTTGTTAGATATAACAGCTGTCCCAGCTTCTTCTGTAACTGTGACTTTGCCATGGCTTTGTCATTTAGGAGCTTCACTCGGTTCTGTTCTACCTATAGGAATATCAAATAGATAAGAAAAGCAGTCACATCCCTTTGCACAAAATATTTACAGTTAAAAACTAATATAGGAATTTCGAAATCAAACTTAGAACATGCATTTGTTAAGGGTGGTGCTCATGAATGACCTGCAATTATACAAAATGCAAAAGGAGGTATATAGATAAACTAAACTGCCGCAAATCTTTTAATTCAAAATAAAGGTGTTAATCTCACAATGCCAAATTATTCCAATACAGGTGGGTCATGAAATAATTTTAACATGGGAAATAAATTTACTAGTTGTAATATGTATAGGTTAACCTGCTACAAAAGGTTTTTACTATCTATATGCTGCACAGGCCACCTTTTATTGAGCACCTGTGTGCAGAGTGTAAAGGTGCTCAACAAAACAGTTAAAGCAGTAGGTAATTCACATAGTAAAATGAGATTGAATGTGGCACTTGTATATTTGTATGTTTAAAATAATTTTTAATATCCATGTGATGTGACCATGTCCCTAGAGATTTCTCAAACAAAATGATTTTAAGTAACCTAGAAAAATTATATTTTATGCATTGAGCCCTGTTTATCCAGGTAAAGCTTCTAGATTAACGCTATATAGATACATTTTCTTACCTCATGTGGCTCGATGATATGAAGAACAGGTGGGTTGGGTTTTGGTTCGTCAGGTAATCTAACTCTGAGACGTTCGGTTGCCATTGCAAGTTCATCAATGGCAGAAACATGATCTCTCAAAACCATCCAATACTCATGGAGCAACTAGTGGAAACAGATAATAAAATATTATTATTCTATATCTCTGAGGACCTAATAAATAACAACATTCTCATAAAATTAGTTACTTGACATTGGTCACAACGTATAACCAGGGAAAGATTTAAAGACAAACGAAGTGTGGAATCGGATTACAAACTTTTTCACACATGTGTATTAACATGGCAAAATCCCTCACAGAATCACAAATTAATTTCTGGACAAAGCTGATTTGAGTCAGCTGAATTTAAACATTAAAGGACACTATAGGGTCAGGAACACAAACATGTATTCCTGACCTTATAGTGTTAAAAACACCATCTAGCCCGCCTGCTCCCCCTTGTCTCCCTAATTATGGTAAAATCTTACCTTTAGTCCAGTCTGCTGCTGCTGGCTCTGCCCCTGATCTGCCTCCTTGGCTGACATCAGCTAGGCTGTAATGTAAACACTGTACTTTCTCTGAAAAGACAGTGTTTACTGCAAAAAGCCTGAAGGGAATTATACCCACCAGAACAAATACAATAACTTGTAGTTGATCTGGTGACTATACTGCCCCTTTAATTTAGCCAAACACTATAAGCTCTCTGTAACAATAACACAAGACATAAAAAGATTAACCCTTACTTAAACCTACCAATTTGTTCTCAGTGAACGCCTTGTTGAGAGTGGTATTAACTTTTCCAACAGTGATTTTTTTTATTTTTTTATTACTTCACACTCAGTTTTATGGAGTTCAGCTACAAGCACTTTACTTTAGATTTCTCACTACAGGAAGGATATAGGTTGAGTAGCCCCCAAAAGCTCCAGTAACATGAAAAAGCCTTTCAGAAAATAACAAATCCACTATCAGTATGAAATCTCAGATAATATCATCAGTCACAAAACAGCCTCAATTATTGTTATCGATATCTATCTCATAGTAAACATATAAGTAACAAATAATAAAGTCTGATTCAGTACATGTACTCCAGGAAGTACTATGAAATCTCAGTAAATTCTTACTGGTAGACATATTGAGGGATTTTCTCACATGATAGATCACTTTATAGTTAATACCAGCACAAGAAGCAGTCTTAAAGGACCACTATAGTCACCCAGACCACTTCAGTTAAATGAAGTGGTCTGGGTGCCAGATCCAGCTAGGTTTAACCCTTTTTTCTATAAACATAGCAGTTTCAGAGAAACTGTCTAATTGACAGCCGCTAGAGACGCTTCCGCGCTTCTCACTGTGATTTTCACAGTGAGAAGACGCCAGCGTGCATAGGAAAGCATTGAGAATGCTTTCCTATGGACTGGCTGAATGCGCCCGCGGCTCCTGCCGCGCATGCGCATTCAGCCTATGACATCGCTATAGAGGAGGAGAGTCCCCCGCCCAGCGCTGGAGAAAGAGGTAAGTTCCTCCCCCTAGAGCCCGGCGGGAGGGGGCACCCTCAGGACACTATAGTGCCAGGAAAACGAGTATGTTTTCCTGGCACTATAGTGGTCCTTTAAACAAGGTTAGTAGACATTTCAGTGTAATTTCTTAAACATTTATCAGGATATTATTAACATTGTTGGCTTCCAGCAATAAAGAGAAATAGGATTATTTTAACATAGAAATTCAGCAAGATATCTTATTGAAGCCTGCAAAAAAAGGGAAAAAATGCTTTAAACACATATATAATACATAGATTCACCTTATATTCTTTTTTCCAAGCTTCAAATAGCTCCAAGAAGCAGGCTCCTTCATCAATCAACCTTGCATCCATACGGTGTGTTCTAGCAAAGGACAATATAGCCTTCAAGGAACGTTCCATCTCGCTGGTTGCCCAAAGCCCTCGACTAGTTGTTGGCAAACGGTCATCCACAAGGCCATCTTCCTCCTCTATCATTTCTTCAAAGATAGCAGTTTGGCCTTTAACCCTAAAATATTTACCAGGTTAGACCAATTTTATTCTATCAAGAGAATACACAGATACACAGACATGTTTAATCTATTACACATTTCACTTGCTATTAACCAGGGCATTTAAATGAAGGTAAATCCCTATGGCCTTTAATGCTTATTTTAAAGGACCACTCTAGGCACCCAGACCACTTCAGTTTAATGAAGTGGTCTGGGTGCCAGGTCCAGCTAAGGTTAACCCATTTTTTTATAAACATAGCAGTTTCAGGTAAACTGCTATGTTTATAAATGGGTTAAGCCTTCCTCCAAACCCTCTAGCGGCTGTCTCATTGACAGCCGCTAGAGGCGCTTGCGTGCTTCTCACTGTGAAAATCACAGTGAGAGCAAGCAAGCGTCCATAGGAAAGCATTGTAAATGCTTTCCTATGCGACCGGCTGAATGCGCGCCCAGCTCTTGCCGCGCGTGCGCATTCAGCCGAATATATAGGAGGATCGGAAGAGGAGAGCTCCCTGCCCAGCGCTGGAAAAAGGTAAGTTTTAACCCCTTTGCCCTTTCCAGAGCCAGGCGGAGGGGGTCCCTGAGGGTGGGGGCACCCTCAGGGCACTATAGTGCCAGGAAAACAAGTATGTTTTCCTGGCACTATAATGGTCCTTTAAATCATGACAGAGAGGACATGTAGCCCAAAGAGGTATCAAGCCAGAAGCTGTTATTTCACTAGGAAGAACCAAATTCCTGTGGCCTTTTATTTACTGTAATGTCCCACTTTTAGAAACTCAAAGCTTTTAATGGATCTTAATGAAACCGAGCGCTATAGCAGTAAAGACTGCTAGGTTTATTACTATTATTTAAAATGTCTGCAGTGCTGTACAATGTGTGGACTAACAGACAAGTATTTGTAACAAGGTGAGGTGGACGCAAAGGAACAGAGGAACATGTATAAGTGTGTATACTGCAAACCTCCATAGCTATAAAACTAATAATAATAATAATAATAACAACAAAAAGTATTTAACATTAGTAAATATCAAGTGCATATGAGTTCACTCTACAGCAGCAAAAGACAAAGTAATACACTTTAAATAAGGGAAAAGATGTGTATCTAAGTTTATAACTTAGATACACATCTTTTATAATAACGTGATCGTTTTTTCGTACATGCGTGTGTTTTTAATCATCTTTCAAAATGAGTTCCATTTTATTGCTTCTGGATATAATTTGCCTGTAACTGACCGTCGGGCAAGGATAGCACCACCAAAGGCTTGCTAAATATGAGCAGAGTGACTTGCTTAGCCTAGTAAATAACATGTTTTAGTTCCTTTATTGAAAATATTGTAAATTCAGTCTAACACTATTGGAAGCTCTTTCCTTATATGTACCTGGCATCAGGGGCGTATTAGCCGCGAGGCAAACAAGGCATTTGCCTTGGGCGGCATTTTTCAGGGGGCGGCAAAAAACGCCGCCCCCCAAATGCCTAGTTAGCCTCGCGGCTAACTGACATCCCGAGCGGGCGGGCGGCGCTGGCAGGCGGGCGGCTGGCGAGGGAGCACTTCCTATGAGCTGACTGCTCAGCTCCCTCGCGCGCCGCAGAGTGAGGCTGGGAGCCGGAAGATGACGTCATATTCCGGCTCCCAGCCTCACTCTGCAGCCGGCGTGCAAGGGAGCTGAGCAGACAGCTCATAGGAAGTGCTCCCTCGCCAGCGCCGCCCGCTCGCCCTGCAGCCACTGGACCACCAGGGAGAGAGACCCCCCCCCAGCACTCCCAAAGGTAAGGAGGCTGGGGGGGGATTTAAACTAAAAAAAAAGTTAATGTGTTTGTGTGTGACTGTGTGTGTGTGTGTGTCTGTGTATGTGTCTGACTGTGTATGTGTGTGTGTGTTTGTGTCTGACTGTGTATGTGTGTGTGTGTTTGTGTCTGTGTGTGTGTTTGTGTGTCTCTGACTGTGTATGTGTGTGTGTTTGTGTCTGACTGTATGTGTGTGTGTTTGTGTCTGTGTGTGTTTGTGTGTCTCTGACTGTGTATGTGTGTGTGTGTGTCTCTGACTGTGTATGTGTGTGTGTGTGTGTTTGTGTATGTGTCTGGCTGTGTGTGTGTGTATTTAGAAGGTGGGGCGGGGGGAAGGGTTGGGTGGGGGTGGCGCGGGGGGAGGGGGGCGCCTGAGTTTTGTCCTGCCTAGGGCAGCACAAAACCAGGATACACCACTGCCTGGCATACTGAATGGTGATTAATGCTTAGTAGGGATAATACCACACACACATCTGTTTTACTTTATTTTGTTATAAAAATCTTACAATCTAGTGTTGAATTCAAAGTTGTGCAATTAATTTTTGATTTGTTTTATAAATACGGATTCACACTATATTTTGTTTCCTGTTTTTCTTTCTATATGCCATCCTGAAATATAAATTTAAAAAAAAAAAAAAATATATATTCACACACATTTACACATGCTCATGTACGACGGATGGAAGGAATTTAAAGAAAAAAAAGAACAAAAAAGAACAAAAAACTAGATCTAGTCACTATTATTGTGACTGAATAGGTTGTGTTGGAAACATTTTAATGCTTGGAACTTCTGGTTAAAACTAGAACCGGAAGCCATGGACAAACAAAAAGGAATTATTGTATCTACCCTCCTAAGAATGAAAACAAGTTCCTGTATTTGTTCAAAAGAACATTCCTTCTTTATGAAGTATGTTACTTACGTGTGCGAGAACAGCTTTGACTCATAATCAGTGAATAATTCATCAACTTTACAGAAGACGCAGCTGTGCAGGGAAAGAACAGAAAGGCCTGCTGTTAAAACCACTTCTAGACTTCTTCTATGAAAGGTGAACTTTTGACTTGCTAGACAACATGACAAGCGCTTTTCTTGTTCCTTATTTAAAAGAGTATAATGTGAACATGGAGCGCATCAATACAATCTTCTTAAAGGATTTAGTCATGCAAAAAGAAATTCAAAATTACAAACATAGCAAAGTTACCTCTGCTGCTTTGGCAGCAGTTTTGCAAATCATTTTGTTTGTTTTTCAATTCATCATTTTGCAAATAAACCACTAAGATTTTCAAATTAGAAGTTTTAGTTCTGTAAAAGCTGTCCTGACATGCTATGCTGCAATAACAGCTATTCTCTGGGAGAAAACACATATAGTATTTAAAAAAGACTAGCATTAAAAAGGTACAAACATTAAAAAGAGAACAGCACTCAGATACCACCATTCTTTAATTGTAGACATTGCATGTTGTGTAAAAAAACTAAAACAAAGTAATTTTTCAGCTTGCAGTAGTGGTTATGAATGATTTTAAGAGTACATAAGTACCCCACTGCCATTTCCCAGTAAGGAAATCTGGGTCCCGCTGGGTGCCAAACCTCATTCTATGCTGCTGTACTGAACTGCACGTACCGTGTCCTTGCACCACGACCACTAAAACACAGAAGTGGTCTTGGTGCTTGGACTTCCCAATGGCCAATTGCTTTGGAGTTTCACAGACAGTATGACAATAAACATACTTATTAAGAGGAAGCCGGGCTGGTCGAAGGTGACAAATTGTTGCAGCTTGAATAACTTCTTGGGACGGTGGACCTTCTAGATTCTTCACCCCTCCTCTGACAAGTTTTTGGCATTTTTTCAGCTCTTCCATCTGAGTGGTAAGTACATACTGAAGTCCTCTGCAATCTCTAAACCTATGGAAGAGCATACATGAAAAATAAGAATACCGAAAGTAGCACAATCTTTTAAAATGAATACCTAAAAGACATTTTCAAATAAGGCATTGTCAGAAACACATTGCAGGCAACTCAAGATATGATGCTAAAATATGCCAAATTCTTCAAAAACTTAACACAGTACCAAGTTTAAAATAATATTAATTACAAGGTTAACAACAGTTTGTTGGAATTGTTTCTTTGAATGTTGTTTCTGTTAATGGTCAGTTTTTTGTCTTGCTCTTGATCTATAGTTGGGCCAATTAGTGTAGCCCTGTTATTCCAAAGAGCATGGGTGACCAGGTCCCTCTCAGTTAATAAAAAAAAAAACATGCAATACAGAGTTTCCAACTTGGATTCCTCACATCACATCTTCTAGAGCCTACATGAAATATCTCTAATCTACAACAGCACAATAGAAATGTTTTGCCAGCATACTCATCAGCCAAAAAGATCAGCCCCTCTGCAAAGATACATAGTACTTCTCCCTGGTGGTCTCCAAACAACTGTCAGTTACAATCCTAACCACCTATGACACAGAAGGTGTGATGGTTAAATTGTAGGGGTTTGTCCTTTGTATTTTGGTAACTATAACCACTGTGTTTGTGTGTTCACCTTTGCTTGCCATGGTTTAAATATCATACCTGCCAGGGATTATAGTTTAGTAAGGAGGCAAACTGTTTGTCCATATCAAACACTGCACACTGAATCTGCATGTTGTACAGAGAATGTGAGAACACTAAGCATTGTGAAAACATATACATGCACGATAAGACTGATAAAACACACAAAGATTGTTTATAGTTTTATATTAATGGAAACAATATTCACTGCAAAGTAACCATAGCCCCTAGATTTCAAGTATGCATTGTGCCAGACTGTTTAAATATATAATTTTAGCTCATGGTGGCTATTGAATCAAATATCAAAGAAGTTGTTGGGTTAGACAATTAATTGAATTACCTAAAGCTATTTAAGCTATGGTTCTATTGACATAGGTGTCAAGTTTAGATGAATGTATATGAAAATGCTAAAAGAATATAAGAAAACCATAATCTCTGCTAGTAATGGGACATCATGCAATATATAAATATGCAGTATAGAATACAGCTTTGTATTCCTGGCACTATAGCATGCCTTTAACGGACAAACCATTGCCTGGTCTGATCCCTTACTTGTCTGCCATAGACAGTTTGTTTGTTTGCTGCTTGTAGTTGCTGGTAATTTCGTTTTGCACACGCTGTACAAGCTCCTCGTCAATCGTATACTGGATTGCATGCTGAATCACATCAAGCCACCAGGGTGCAGGAAAATGAATCTGTGTACAGAAGAAATACATTTTAGGCAACTCGTGGGTTGAAATATCGGCCAGGACATACTTGAAAATGAGAGAAATTTCAATGTATGCTTCTTGGTAAAATATTTTATAAATAATTAAGCATAATTACTTTACATCATTTGTCCCAGCAAACCATTTCCAAAATCTTATTTTGCCATTTTTACTGGTTTGTGTGTCCTTAAACTGCTCTATGGTAATTGTACAAAACAACTCATTGGTTATACAAATCACCTTCATAATTGACATATTTCCACACAAAATCAATGAGGGGAAAAGGCCAATATGATACTTAGTATGCTTTCATATGCACTCAAGATGTTCTTATAACAGTTGAAATGAACAAACAAAGGACAACTATAGTGCCAGGAAAACATACTCGTTTTCCTGAGAGGAAGGGGTTAAACTTACCTCTTTCTCCAGCGCCGGGCGTGGAGCTCTCCTCCGCCTCCTCTTCGCCTGAATGCGCATGCGTGGCAGGAGCCGCGCGCGCATTCAGCCAGTCCATAGAAAAGCATTCACAATGCTTTCCTATGGACGCTGGCGTCTTCTCACTGTGAAAATCACAGTGAGAAGCGCCTCTAGCGGCTGTCAATGAGACAGCCACTAGAGGCTGGATTAACCCTAATATAAACATAGCACTGCTATGCCCATGGTAAGAAGTGAAACTGTCTGCAATGGTTTGAAAACCTACCTGGCTTTGGTTAGGCACCAATGTTTATGAAAAATTATTGCTGACCATGCATAATAGCTAGTAGCGACTAGATCCAACATATAGCAGTAACTGGAATAATGTTAAACACTGAGCTCTAACCCAACTTGCAAAACCTTGAGGAAAAAATAAATAAATAAACTTGATTCCTTGAAAATCAAAGAAAATAAAGGTTATTCTCAAACTTTATACCCTTCAAACGTAGATAATACTGGATTGGTTTATTGGAGATAGAGATAGATAGATAGATATATATATATATATATATAAATATATAATTGTATCCTGTGGTAAAAAGCAAAAACTCAAGAAGCGCACCAACTACTTTAAAGAAGTAAGGAACACACGAAAACTGTGCTTCTGTATTTATCAAGCTTTCAGAAGAAGTAAAGAATCTATGTTTTAATTACCACTGGAGTCAGGGCCGGCGCTTCCTATAAGGCGAACTAGGCAGTCGCCTAGGGCGCCATATAGGAGGGGGCGCCCTGCGCCCCCATCGCTATCCCTTTAAATTCTGCAGCCGCCTGAGAGCTCTATAGAGAGCGCTCAGACGGCTGCTGCACTGCCTCACCTCCCCTTCCCTGTAGCGTGGCCGAGCTCCTTTCCGGTCCGCGACCCGGCCGGACTGACAGGAAGTCCTGTCAGTCCCGCAGGGTCGCGGACCGGAGAGGAGCTCGGCCACGCTACAGGGAAGGGGAGCTGAGTAGAACAAGATTACAAGGAGGGAGGGAAGAAGATTATAGGGGAGGGGGAGAGAAGATGGGAGGGAGAAGATGGGAGGGAGGGGGAGAAGATGGGGGGAGAAGATTATAGGGGAGGGAGGGGGGGGGAATTATAGGGGGGAGAAGATGGAGGGAGGGGGGAGAAGTTATAGGTAGGGGAGAAGATGGGAGGAGAAGATTGCAGGGGAGAAGATTATAGGGAGGGGGAGAAGGTTACGGGGAGGATAGCTAAGCCACGGGGTGAAAAATTACAGGCAGGAGGGGAGGAGAAGGTTACGGGAGAAAATTAGCAGGGAGGGGGAGGAAAGGGTGAAGATTACAGGGAGGGAGGGGGGAGTGGAGAAGATTGAGGGAGGGCGGAGAAGAAGAAGATTGGGGGGGGGGGAGTGGAGAAGATTGAGGGATGGGGAGTGGAGAGAAGATTGGGAGGGGGAAGAAGAAGATTACAGGAGGGGGGAGAAGATTATGGGGGAGAAGAAGAGAAGGTTATGGGTGGAGAAGAAGAGAAGATTACGGGTGGAGAAGAAGAGATTACAGGGAGGGAAGGGGGAGAAGAAGAGAAAATTACAGGGGAGGGGAGAAGATTACAAGGAGGGAGAAGAAGAGAAGATTACAGGGGAGAAGAAGAGATTACAGGGACGGGGGGGAGAAGAAGAGGAGAACACGAGGGTGGGAGATAAGAACGTAGGGGAGAGAGAGACCACTAAAGGAGGGAGGGGACGGTGGAGAGACCACTAGGGGAGGGTGGGGGGAAAGGAGAGACCACTAATGGAAAGTCTAAGAGAAAAGGAGACCACTAAGGGAGGTGGGGGGGGTGAGGAGAGACCACTAAGGGGCAGGGGAGATCTCTAAGGAATGGAAGGGAGAGCTCTATAGGACAGGGGGCAGGACAGGGAGCTCTTTCACACCATGCGCACACACACAATGCATCCCTATACACACAGAAACACAACATGCTTCCCTTACACACAGAGAAACACACAATGCAACCCTTATACATAAAGACAATGCATCCTTTGCACAAATACACAGAAACACACAATGCATCCCTTACACACACATGCAAACACACACTGCTTCTTTTACACACACAGAAACACAATGCATCTCTTACACACACTCAACGCACCCCTTAGAGACACAGAAACACACTTTGCATCCCTTATGCATACAAACACAGATTCACACAATGCATCCCTTACACACAACAAGAAACACACAATACATCCGTTATACACAAACACTCACTGCTTTCTGTCCCGTACACAAAAACACACTGCTTCCACTACACACAAACACACTGCATCACCTACACAAACTGGTATCCCTATACACTACATTCCATAAGCACACACATTAGATCCTCTACAGTAACACATAACACATCCCCTATACACTCTACTCCCTGTGAGCGAACTCATGGGTGGAACATGTAGGTGGACTTATGGGTGGGCTCTATGGGCATACTCACCGTAGGGCGGCAAAAATCCTTGCACCGGCCCTGACTGGAGTGCTTGATTATATTTTCTTATTGGATAGGTCTTTAGTTCCATAATCACAGCACATGAACTCTGTTAGTTGGCACGGCATGTAAAGCAAAAAAGGGGAGTTGCATCCGTCCATTGAAATATACATTTTACAACAGTATACCTTACTCTGCAGCTCACGAATATTCTGCAATAATGGTTGCAAAGCCTGCTGAGCTTCAAAAACTTCTGCATTTGACTTGCTCATGTAGTGTTGTTGGAGTTGTTTTGCCTAGAAATATGACAAAAACTGTCGTTTTGAATATTCTTACTGCACAAGTATATTTGGTATTTTAACTTATAATAAAAATGCTCTCACACTAGAAATTAAAGACTTAAATTGTCATTGTTACACGCACATACTAGTGCAAATTAAAGGGACACTATAGTCACCTGAACAACTTTAGCTTAATGAAGCAGTTTTGGTGTATAGAACATGCCCCTGCAGCCTCACTGCTCAATCCTCTGCCATTTAGGCGTTAAATCCCTTTGTTTATGAACAATAGTCACACCTCCCTGCATGTGACTTGCACAGCCTTCCATAAACACTTCCTGTAAAGAGAGCCCTATTTAGGCTTTCTTTATTGCAAGTTCTGTTTAATTAAGATTTTCTTATCCCCTGCTATGTTAATAGCTTGTTAGACCCTACAAGAGCCTCCTGTATGTGATTAAAGTTAAATTTAGAGATTGAGATACAATTATTTAAGGTAAATTACATCTGTTTGAAAGTGAAACCAGTTTTTTTTTTTCATGCAGGCTCTGTCACTCATAGCCAGGGGAGGTGTGTCTAGGGCCGCATAAACAGAAACAAAGTGATTTAACTCCTAAATGGCAGGGAATTGAGCAGTGAAATTGCAGGGGAATGATCTATACACTAAAACTGCTTTATTTAGCTAAAGTAATTTCGGTGACTATAGTGTTCCTTTAAGCTTCATAGAAGAAAAAAAAAAGCAGTAGCTGATAAGCGATCCAAATGCATGTAGATATTTGTTTTCATCATATGTTTGTGACACATTTGCAACCCCTATGTCATGCAGATATTCACAAAAGAAATACCTAAACATTTTGGCACCATAAACATTCAACTAATTGTACTGGTAAGGGTGCAAGGAGCCTTTGGATGCAGTGCAGTAGTAAGGTTATGTTTTTGCACCAAAATAAAACACCAACCAAAAATGAGTCTGCCCTGGTCACCAATGCCAGATCCCTCTAAAGCCCAACTTTGGGCATCAGTAAAAGTCTGCAAGCAGTGGGCTAGACACACGCAGGCAATTCTGGGCATCCAAATTTGGAATGATAATAGAGCAAAATTAGAACTATCATCTACAGAAACCAATAGCACAGATTCTCTAACAAAGATTGTGTTTTTGTATGGGCAGCAAATGCCAAAAACTGTTTGCAAAATTGATACTCTAAAGAAATAGTAAGCATATATACTAACTTCATCTGCGAGTTTCTCATCACGTAGCGTTGGAGGGATTCCAGGATGCTTTGCAGACAGGAGTTCCATGAGGTTGTGTGTGGAATGCAGTCTCTAAAATAAAACATTAGAACACCATGATTAATGAGACAATATAATCACCAAAACCACTACAGTTTAACCCCTTAAGGACCAAACTTCTGGAATAAAAGGGAATCATGACATGTCACACATGTCATGTGTCCTTAAGGGGTTAATGTAGTGGTTCTGGTGCCTATAGCCTGTTCCTGCAGGTGTTTCAATGTAAATGCACATTATGTGTAATTAAAATGAAATGTACATTAAGTTTGGTATTTCTGCAACTTGGGCCACCCCTAAATAGTTAAATATATTTGCCATTGTGATGTAAATACTCTGAGAAAGTGTGGATCAGGAGGTTTCTAAGCATTCATAAAATAAGCCCTCTTTGCTTCATGGTGTTGCATTTGCTAAGCATTTGGTGGTACTAATTATATGTTGATAACTATATGGAAGGAGAGTGGCTGTTTAAGCTTAAATGTGAATATAAATTATTGGGCCATTTTCTGATAATGATAATGGTAAAAGTGTTGTCAAAAAGTATTGGTACTGAGGTATTGTGTCAACATCATTAAAGAATTACTAATTGCAACCAGGCAACTTTATCTCAATGAAGTGGTTTGAGTGGAGTGTTTTTTTGTGTCTTAAAAATGCAATGCAACATTGTGGGAGGTGGATCGACTGACTACAAGTACTGGACCTGAGAGCAGAAAAAAAAAGGTAATACCCTTTCTTTCACGTTTTTTTAAATTAGAATTTCGGGAAGTGCATGAAACTAAATGCAGAAGAGAGCAAAAAACGGGGTACAAGAGAATACTGAGAAAAGGACAACAACTCAATTAGTTTGCCCTTCTGTGGGTCAAAATTTTAACTCATCTTGTGCCATTACAAAGAGAACATAGGTCATTTGCATAACAGACTGACCAAAGAGTGCGCTCCAGATCCAAAATTCAGGCCAGCTTTCTCAGCACGAGAGATACAGCACTGCCACGCAATCATTTCGGTCTTGTTAGCCCTGGTCAATGAGTTATAACCAATAACCCTCTAGGCAGAGGAGAATACTATAGTATTGGGAATACAGGTTTGTATTCCTAATGCTATGGTGTACCTTTAATAGTCATTGGCAGCCATGTCGAAAATGTAAAATGATAGATTAAAAAGTATACTTTTATGTCCAACACTGGCAGCTCTGCTTTCTTTTCCACATTAGTATCTAGCACCCTGCGGGATTAAATTATCACTAAGTACTAATCACTCTAACCATCATTGACAAAAGTGTTTGTGACGGAGCTCCTGTATGCCGACCGAATCCATCCATCAAGTCAGCTTGCTAACTACAGGTATCGTCCCCTCTGCTTTTGCAGCTCCTCAGCCAGACAGCTATCCATGCCTCTGTCTTTACAAATAGTAACAGCAGATTTATTGGAAAAACAGGACAGATACAGCAAAGTTTTAATCCCTTCAGGGATCTTTACAAAAGCACTTGTGGCTCTCAGGCCTCGCTCTTTTTAACTTGTTCCATGATTCAGGAACCACAGCAGTCAGTCAACAGGTCCGAAGACTCTCTTACCGAGTTCGCCGAATAAACTAACCAGGACACACGGTTCCCAATGGAACAAACACACTTATTTTTACTCAGGACTAGCTCATATGCATATTGCTTTAAACTTACGGGGACAAAAGCAATCTAATACAAATAACAAAATCATATGGGGAAACATACAGGAACTCATAATAACACATTTACATATTCATAAAGGGGTGGGGAAGACTATAACCAACAGAAAATATATCCCCTGTCTGCAAAAGTCATAATATGCAAATCTACCTGAATATGCAAATTAATGAACCTTTAGTCAGGTAGCGCATATAGTCGTCACAAAATCCTCACAACCGATGGTGCTGTACAGGCTCCACAGCCAAATACATCTAATTGATTGAGAGCATCAGCAGGACAGAAGAGCACACAAAACATTTAACAACAAACAAATACATTGTACACACCCTGCACCTATGATGGGCAGGGTGACTTACACATAGGATTCATCTAGGGGCCTACTTGAAGTGTCCATCTTATGCTCCGAGTGATGGTGACTTCCGTCACAGTGATGGTTTATAGAGGAGCCTGAGCCTTGCAGTTCTGAAAGTGCCTTAGAACTGCAGCAGTTTGTAAAAATACCTGTAGCTCAAAAGACAACAACGTCTTAGAGTTGTCATTCAGGCAACTGGACATCTAGTAATGATTGAAGTCCTGGATGCCTAGCATCAATTATGTGCCTAGTTATGTATCCAGAGTTCACACAACGCACAACTTGGATTTGTCTCATCCTATGGGAGAAATTACTTATCTTACAACTTATCCTGCTAAACACAGGTTTGATGTATAACAGTCTCTTGATACTTGGGGAGGGGTCTATAGCAGCAAGCAGACCCACTAAAAAGTGTTTCTAAGGGATACTTTAAATTTATATATATTTTTTATATTTCTTTGCATCATTTTAAATACATTGTCTATATGATGGATTTGTATATTTAATGCTTTAAAATAGGGGGCAATTTTTACCACAAGCTTTACCTTTAAGAATTTAGCTTTGTATAATACTTACTTGTAGGGAGTCTGTTTTCAGTTTATCTTTGTGCTCTTCTGACGATCTCAACACATCCCTATATAATTCTACAGCCTCGGGATATTCACCTGCAATGACAAGAACACTCAGTCGCTGTGCAAGAATGATAATATATTTCCGTCAATTATAATATTCTTCTATAAAGATTTGTGCAATTGCTCCAAAAATACCCTGTAGTCTTGAACTATACATACGCAGACTTTGAACACTTATGAGAGATCAACTGCATGAAAGCTCAGACAATGTAACTGAATTAAATCGCAGTAACTGGCATCAAATGTTGAATAGACCGCTTTCTGTTAATATTGTTGTGAACATGGAGCCATAGTATGACAAAAAAAGGCTCCCCATAAGAAACATCCCTAATTTTGTATCTCACCTTTTATGATGTGGATTCCAGCTAGCCCATTAAAAGCACAAACAAGTTGCCGATGTGCTTCTTCACATTCGGTCCGACATTTCTTCTGTAGTGATGTCAGAAGTTCTTCCATTGTCATTGTACTTTAAAGAAAATCAAACCAGCGTGAATGCAGCAAAACAATAATTGAAGAAAAAAAACAAAAACAAAAAACAGCTGAACACTACTGATAGATTATGGTGTTTGTTCTATTGGTCATCTCATTTGTACATTGGCATCACAAAAATTTACTGAAAAGGTAAAGGGATGCTATACACTACTAAATATGAAGAATTTTAAAGAAAATACGTTTTCTGCATTTTTAATGAAAAAGAAAAAAAAACAAAAAAAAAACACACAACTCAAACATATAGAACTGTTGATACTAGTGGTTTAAAGGTTTACCAAAAAGAGTATACCTGGCAGAACAAATGTTCTTTGTATTTGCACCCTTATGTTCCATTCCAGAAGATTGTTATGTGAACGTCAATAAAAGTTAAAAAACAATTTTCATAGAATACTACATGTTGGCTTACCTTTTCTGTAGTGGAAGAAATTCCCCACGAACAGCTTGAGGATGACAACAAGCCTGCCTCAGCCTCAACAGTGGATACAAAATGGAAGACACCATTCGTCTATCCAAGCTACTTAGTTTGAGAGACCAATCTGAGATCTTTCGGAGTTTGACCAGAGCATCCTGACAACAGACCTCATGTTGCCTGTGATAGAAATGCCTCTCAACTGGAGAAAAGTGGAGCCAGTGAACTTCTTCTGTTTGTGGTGGGATCTGAATCTGGAATTAATTTAATTACATTAAGCCAAGTACGGAACCTGCGTACTTCCAAGCAGGAAACACTATATAAAAAGAGGGGGCATGACTAAGCTGGCAGAGTTGATTGGCAGAAACCTATAAAACGTTTGTTTTAAGGCAAAACTTACAAGAATACAAACCTAACCTAGCCTACTAAATGCACTTGTGTTGTGTCAGTGCTAAGGAGTGACCCTTTAACTCTTTTAGAGAGCACCAGTATGGGGGAACAAACGAAAAATGGAAAAAGGAAAAAAAAAAAAGTTTACACTTATACCATTCGAAAATGAAAGAAGGCGGAACTTTTTGTAACGTTTAAAGGACCAATATTCAGCAAATTTAAGGTCTTGATAGAAGAGTATGATTAATTAGCCTAGTTTACAGATGGACCCAGAAGTAGAATATGTGTCAAGAAGGCCATTTCAAAACAGCTGAGTAGTTTAAAAAAATGCTAATGAAACACACAGCTTTGGAGGTCTATTAATGTTTTTTAATTTGAAATTTTGAATAGGTTTAAAAGAAATACAGCAAGAAATAAGGATTAAAGGAACATTTTAACATTAAATATAAGTGAATAAGTAAAACAAATCAATCACTATTAAATATCTCCTTGGTGGAGCTGCTTACTACAGTTAAGACTTGGTTTAAACACTTTTCATAGAGAAGCATTTAGGACAGGCATAGGCAACCTTCGGCACTCCAGGTGTTTTGGACTATACCTTGTATGATGCTTGGACAGCATTATAGGTGTAATAGCATTATTGGGTCCACAACATCTGGAGTGTCAAAGGTTGCCTACCCCTATCAATGAGAATTGCCACTCTCCACCAATCAAATTCTTCCAATGGAGAAGCACTGGTCCCAATGGTTCTCTATTAGAAACATTAAGAGTATTTTTAAGAATCATCATGCTCTGCACATAAAACCACGTACATTTCTAGTAATATGTACATACCTGGTCAAGAACATCCTTTTTTGCAGATCTCCACATTATTTTTGCTATTAGGCGATATAAAGGCAATGGGTCCTTCCTACAATACGGTCTATAAAGAAGTTGGTCCCACCAGTGTTTGACCCAGTATGGGTCAACTCCAAGGAATAACACTAATCCAAATAAATCTGCAGACAAGAATAGATTGCATGGCCGAAATGAGATAGCTCCCTGGTTTAATGCACTAATACAGAACCTTTTAAACCAAATCCCCAAAACAAAATATATATATTCCATATTTGTAAATGAAACAGCTAAAAATATCCGATTTGTGTTATCAAATACTGCTGAGAACCATGATAAACAGTTTTCATATGAGATGAAGAAAACTCTCCAGCATGACATAACTGTCACCAAAATAGGACTAAAATATAATGGCACCTACTTCCTTTCTTCTATTTGTTTGTCTCCCGACGGATAAAAAAAAAAAAAAAAAAGGCTTTAGAAATACTTAATGCTACCAATAAAACATACCTTAGGTTTTAATGTGGCATAAACATCTATAATTTAACTAAAACAGCATTTAGATTTAATGGCTAAAAAAAATGAAAAATAATTGCTTTCAAATTCGTCATACTACATTTCCAACATGAATTCCTCAGGTTTATTACAAAGGTTTTGCTATAAATGCTTTAAAACTATGAATGCATTAAGCACCTTGCAGTCGTAAATAACTAAGAACAGCTAAATTGCCTTTGTAAATCCCAACACCTACAATCCTGCTAAATATTTATGTTGAATAAAATATTATTCAGCCATGTTGAATAAAAACGAAATAAGATTGTAATAGCAAAACACACTACAACCATAACATGTTTAGTATACGGAGTTAATCTCACAAGCACAAATATGCAAATGCCAGTATCAATGCATCATGCCGTAGAAAACAAATTTTCACATTAATTTCTAAATAAAATGGTTTTACCTTCTAGTCCCCTTTGCACAGGAGTTCCACTCACACACCATCTGTTGACTCCAGTGAGTCGCAGGGCCATTTCTGCTGCCTGTTTAGAATAGAAAATATTTTATATTGTGAATGTAAAAATAAAAGAGAACAAAGCTCTAAAAAAAATTTGAAAACACATATCAAAACCAGAATGATATAGGCAAACATTGAGAATACAAATAGCCAATATGGTGTAGCGCTTTATATGAACACAAATGGAGGTTAAATACCTTAAAACAGTACAGTACAGTGGTAGTGGTATCTGTGATGAAATGCCTAAAAAGATGAAAAAGTCCAACAGTGTAAAACTAAGAAAGCAGTATGAAGTGCAACGTCTATATGGAACCACTCACATTCTTTTGAGCTAAAAACCTAGCTCCAAATCTCCTTCTAAAAGTGCTGTATTTACTTCCGCGTGTGACGTCTACTTCCAGTTCTTGTGTTTCAAGCCTCAGTTTAATTTGCAATTCGCTGATTCTATCATTTTCGGCTCCAGTATGCTATATGGCATATTCTTATTTGGAGTCTCTCCATTATAGAGTAGAAAAGTCCACAAGTTCATATTAATTCTCCCAATATGGGGAAAAAGAATAAGAACGAAAGAAAGGAAAAAAGAGCACAATCAGTTCTACGTATAACCTTATAGTAAATAACCACGTTAATAGACAATCTATATACTAATAAAAAGATGGGTAAGTAAGATAAGGACTGGGAAGGAAGGTCCAATTATGATCTTATCAAGTTGTAAAAAAAAAATAAAAAAAAAAGTATACATATTAAAATAGACAGTCTTAAAAATCTTTTATATACTGAAAAAAAATCTAAAATATATTCAAAAAAGGGGAAAATCAAAAATAAAAGTCTAAAACTAAAAATAGAATAAATTATCAAATATAAAATGTATAGATAAAAATCTACTAGAATAAAACAGGATTTTTTAGATAAAGGGTATGAGGAAACTAAATTAGAGAAATCAAGAACGGAAGTAACGAAAGTGAATTGAAAAGATCTTCTTAAATATTTAAATAGGATAAAATCTAATATAGAAGGAGTACCATTCAACTGTAATTATAGCATAGATAATTATACAATTAGAGGAATTATTAAACAGTTTTGGCCCATTTTGTAGCAAGATCTTATTTTAAAAAGCTCTACCTGAACAACCAGTTTTTATACACAGAGGGTTAATCATTTACGCAGTATTTTAACCACAAGTATTATTAAAGAAAAGAAAGTATCTAAAACCTTTCTGAATAGAGAAAAATGTTTTTTTTTGGTTGCGGTCAGTGTCTGGCCTGCAAGAGAACAAGTAATAGGAAAAGAAGAATTATTAGTTTTACGACCAAAGAAGGTGATGATTATCCGATAACCATCGGTTACTACTATGTTGCTCATAAGAGCAATATCAAGCTCAATATAAAGGCCTAGATTCCAAAAACTTAGGATGTATCTTGATCATGGGGGTACACTAGTACATAAATCCGACATATCCAGGCTATCTGCCAAAAGAGGTTGTACATTTGTTTTTTTTTTAACAATTTTTTCTTGTTTACCAGTTTGAGTAATGTAGGCGATTCACTCGTCTTGTGACGGGACAATGGTATATAACCATTTACGTGCAAGTAGTGAGAGTGCAGCCACTAAAATATAAAATGTTAGATATCTAACGGGGCGATTCGCTGCGGCTGGGAGTATTAACAGAAGGCAGCATGCCGATGAGTTTGTTAACCGTATACTGTACAACTGTTGATCAGTAAGAGCATTGTTTCCAAGAAAGAGGTAAGGGCTGGACACTGCCACCAGATATGGAGCATGGTGCCACGGGTGGATCCGCATCTCCAACATTTATCTGAGTGTGTGGATGATATTTTTGACAGTGTCGCAGGCACCATGTACCATCTGTACAGAACCTTTCTCAAGGTTTCACCATGGGTCGCATTCAAGGTGTTACCTTTGGATAGTGTGAACGCTTTAGACCATAGGTCACCGTATAACAGAAGACCAATCTCAGACTCCCAGGCTCTAAGGCATGGGAAATGGGATGGTGTGAGTGGATTGTGTAGGAGCTTATAAATGATAGAAATACATTTTTGGGGTGTTACTGCGCTACAACAAACCAGTTCAAAACCTGAAAGTGACTGGGCATGCAGATTTCCTTCTGGGCAGCCCTTTAGGTCAAGTTTCGATAAACAACTCTGAAGTTGGATATAAGAAAATTGAGCTGTTTGTGGAACTAAATTCATGTTACTTAAAGTTTGGAAGGGCAACAGTTTATTTTGTTTGCACAACTGGTATATATACTTCACTCCAGCGCGCTCCCATATCTTAGATTTTTAAGAATATGTCTATTTTAATATGTGTACATTTTTTTACAACTTAATAAAATCATAATTGGACCTTCCCTCACAGTCCTTATCTTACTTACCCACCTTTTTATTACTGTATAGATTGTTTATTAACGTGGTTATTTACAATAAGGTTATATATAGAACTGATTATGCACCCTTTTCCTTTCTTTTGCTCTTATTCTTTTTCCCTATATTGGGAGAATATGAACTTGTGGACTTTTCTACCCTATAATGGAGAGAAATGATAGATAGAATCAGTGAATTGCAAGTGAAAGTGGAACAAGAACCGGAAGAAGACGTCACACACGGAAGTAGATACAACACTTTTAGAAGGTTTGGAACGCATGCGCCAGCCCTGGAAACATATGAGGGTAGGCGTGCATTTACAAACCGGCACATCATTATCCCTCTTAGATGAGGATCTATAAGCAAGACTTCATATCCACATAGGATTATACATGGACTGACTGCCCAGCTCAGGAAGCCCAGGAGAATTTGGCAAAATGCATCTTGGGGACAGATCAGACTTGTGGACTATGCCAGATCAGACTTGTGGACGGTTTATTTTATGTATAGCTAGAAAGTTAAAAATTTTTGTTTTTATTCTATGTTGGGAAAGACCCTTTAATAAATAGTGCTTTTATACACACTTCTGGCATTTGGTTCCTGCTTATATAGGAGTGTAGTCCTCAACTACACATTGTGCGGTTATTGAGCCTATTGTTACGGCTCCATCTTTGTGAGTATTATCCTACCTGATCACTCTCTTTCTTACATTGGATGTACAATATTGCTATATACCTTCTTTGTTTGAACCTATATATAGCACAAAAGAAAGGATCACACATAAAGAAGGGGAAGGCCGCCTAGACGGACCTACTGGCTATTCGTCCATGAGCTAGGTTTTTAGCTCATAAGAATGTGAGTGGTTCCATATACACTTTGTACTTCATACTAGTTTTACCCTATTGGACTTTTTTCATCTTTTTAAGCATTTCATCACAGATACCACTACCACTGTAGGTACTTAACCTCCATTTGTGTTCATGTAAAGCGATACACCATATTGGCTATTTGTATATTTGTCATGTGTATTTGGAGAGATTACACTTGGTGTTTTAGCAGATATATTATATAAAAATTGGACTTGCATTGTATTTTATATACTTGAACAAAGTATACAATTTTCCTTTTTTACACATTAAGAATATATGAACAAGAATATGAGTTACAAATATAACGATTCAACAAGCTGAATCGTATTGTCTACCACAACGGCTCCCAAACTGTGTGCCGCGGAACCCCAGGACGGGAACACAGTGGTGGATCTCCCCCTTCCCGAGAAAATAACCGTGGCCTGCAGGACCAGAGGGGAGATCAGAGTTCTCCCTCAACGGCCCGCTAGCAATGAAATGCTGCTGCCAGCAGGGAAGGCAGAGAGGACCCGGGGGAGCCTGCAGCTCCACTGGGATCTCTTCTTGCGAGATCGGAGCATTGCTGCAGTTACCACTGAAATGCTCTGAATCTCGCAAGTTTGAACTATAGCCTCCGAGCTGTTCGAATTCACTCTCACCTCTTGGACCACCAGGGTTTAGTACCGTCCCCCCCTCCCAGGAAAAGGTAAGAAGGTAGGGGGTATATAAAAATTCTTTTTATTATTATAATAATAATAATAAAAAAAGTATATTTATTAATCTGCTTTCCTACACCCAGATCCACAATAACTCTGCGCCCGCGTGCTCCACTCCCCAACCTCTTACACACACCTCCCCCACCGCCCATTTTCCCCTAGTACAGCCCATATTCCGGCAGATCCCAGGTAAGTTGCCAAACTGTTCTTAAACAGTTTAACTACTTACCCTGGGAGGGCAAGATGGCACTCCAGGTACCCTAACCACTACAGAGTGCTAATAATAATAAAAAAAGTATATTTATTAATCTGCTTTCCTACACCCAGATCCACAATAACTCTGCGCCCGCGTGCTCCACTCCCCAACCTCTTACACACACCTCCCCCTACCGCCCATTTTCCCCTAGTACAGCCCATATTCCGGCAGATCCCAGGTAAGTTGCCAAACTGTTCTTAAACAGTTTAACTACTTACCCTGGGAGGGCAAGATGGCACTCCAGGTACCCTAACCACTACAGAGTGCTGTAGTGGATTTGTGTCTGGATTGTTTCTTTACATAATCTACCAGTGCCCCTCCCGAGATTAGGTTCTGGGCCCGGTATATACAGCTGCACTGTACATATATACAACCTAGAAATTTGTTTTGACTTGGGGAACCTTGGAAAAATATTGAAATAGTAAGTGCACCTTGAACCTAAAAAGTTTGGGAACCACTTGTCTAGAACATATAGGTCCCACATCCAAAAAAATAGTTTCAAGCTAAACTTGGATGTATTTCAATACCATGCCCCTCCCTCCAGTCCAGCTATGTCATGAGCAGAAAGCTGCAGTTTAAGGGACACTATAGTCACCAAAACAACTTTAGCTTAATGAAGCAGTTTTAGTGTATAGACTCACTGCTCAATTCTCTGCAATTTAGGAGTTAAAACCTTTTTGTTTGTCCATGCAGCCTTAACCACATCTTCCCTGGCTGTGACTCACACACCAAGCATGAAAAAAAAAATGGTTTCACTTTCAATTTGATGTAACTTACTTTAAAAGCTCTTATTGCCTGCTCTCTAAAATAAACTTTAATCACACACAGGAGGCTACTGTGGGGTCTAGCAAGCTATCAACAGTGCAGGGGATAATACATTTTAAATTAAATAGAATTTGAAAAGAAGGAAGTATAAACATTAGCTGACTCTTTACAGGAAGTATTTAGGAAGGCTGTGCAAGTCACATGCAGAGAGGTGTGACTAAGGTGCATAAACAAAGTGATTTAACTCCTAAATTGCAGAGAATTGAACAGTGATGCTGCAGGTGAATTATCTATACATCAAAACTGCTTAAATAAGCTAAAGTTGTTTTGGTGAGTATAGTATCCCTTTAAGCAAGTGGAAATAGATACAAGTTATTCCTCCTTTGGTATGTAACCCAATAGCCTAATGGAAAAACTGAACCAGTGGAGGCATTATTTAAGTTTATTTTTGTATTTCTATCACATTGAGTTTTTTATTTTAATTTTATTTCACTTTCAATGCTTGCAATTATATAGTCTACAGCAATTAGGATTACTGTAAAGAAAATGCAAATGATGAAACTAGAAGACAAGAATAATCACAAACCTTAGCTGTTGTGCACTCAACCATTTGTGCTTCATCTAAACAAATCCTCCACCATTCAACTGCAACCAATGGACTAGGTACGGCCATATAACGTTTTTGGTTCCTAAATCTTCTTCCATCCTCGCTGTTACTGTGAGGAATATCTACATAATTTAGCTCAGTCCGTAAAACATCATATGTGGTAATTACTACATCTTGCTCTGCTAATATCTGGGGTTGCAGGAATCCGTGCTTTTTAACACCTTGATAAACCTGCAGGGAAAATACAAAAAAGGAAAGAACAAAACAACACTGATCAGTTTACTAAACGTTATGACAGAGCCAGCATACAGTTAAAAAAAATACATAAAAACAGACAGTCCAGTTTTAATTAATATTGGATGGAGAGGGGAAAAATAAACATATTATGATTTGAAGGTTGACTTGTGGTTTTGGACAGATATATCTTTGCTTCACATATTTTATCTCATTATCCGAGCAAAAGAAAAGCTCCGGCATCCGTAAGCACCTATGATTCTTATACAGGTTATGGTGCAGCGGGTCACCTGTTCACCTCTTTACATTCTGCTACAGGTGTAAAAACTTGCAAAATATGCTTAAAGGGACACTCCAGGCATCCAGACCACTTCTGCCCATTGGAGTGGTCTGGGTGCCAACTCCCACTACCCTTAACCCTGCAACTGTAATTATTGCAGTTTTCATAAACTGCAATAATTATCTTGCAGGGTTAAGTCCTGTCTACTAGACAGCCACTAGAGGGCACTTCCGGGATCATAGCACAGATTATCTGTGCTATCGTGTCGCTGGACATCCTCACGCTGTGTGAGGACCTCCAGTGTCGCTAAAATCCCCAAAGGAAAGCATTGAATAGCATGCGCATTAGGTCTTCCCAGCCGGCGGGCGGGATCAGTCTCCCCCGCTGGCTGACGTAATGAAGGGAAGTAGCAGCGGCGGAGGAAGAAGCAGCGATGTGGGACATGTCGTTGCCTCTGGTAAGTGACTAAAGGGGTTTTCACCCCTTCAGCAACCAGGGATGGGAGGTGGGAGGGAGAGGGGACCGGCAGTGGCAGGAAAACGGATTGTTTTTCTGGCACTGGAGAGTCCCTTTAAGCTGCCCCAGACTAATAGCACAAGGAAAACTAATAAAACAGACTCCATAAACAGCAAGGCCTTGCTGGCATGCACATTAGATTCATTCAGTTTTTTTTCCTCAATGCTGAACTACTTAACCCACAGACCACTGATTAAAAAAGGACTCGTGAAATATTCAGTGCTCCAAATGGAAACAAAGAGGAAACAATTACACAAAAGTCTCAGATCAGAGAAAATCTGAAAACAAAAGTTAGGTATACTAAATTTAAAAAAAAAGTAAAACAAAGCCAGCTTTAAAATAAGTTATGCAAGTTTTGCAGAGGAGATATTGCTAAAAGGACACTTCAACCATATTTTGTGTATAAACATTTTGGTAAAAGCATCGAATACTGGTTTGCATTCTGGTAAATAGTAATATAATAAAAAGTAGGAGAATGTTTTTTCTCACCTACCTTTAATACTCCACCTGCCCCTCTGACATTACTTTAGTTTTATTTTTGTCAGGGAGGCAGCAGCACACCAACTACTGCACATGCCTTGCACCATACCAGTGAAATGCAATGGAGACTAATTTATATATAGTACAGTAGGGACTGACTTTTGTTAAAGGTTGTTCTGATGAGTATAGTCAGTCATTGTATAATTTACACACTCCGCAGTCTGATAAGTATAGTTAGTCACTCAGACAGCAACTAGGGTTGCTTCCTGGGTCAATGAACTTACAGAATGGACGTTCAGTGTATCTAAGCACAGCATGGAGACACTGAGCTTTCTCCATATAGATTCAATGACTCAATGCTGATTGCCAAGACCGGCATTTAGCACCGCCCCCACCCCGTCTCAGAATTGATGAGGTCAGCCAATACAATTCTTTCCTAAAGTAGGCAAGGCAGGACCAGTGTTCTATAGGAGGCAAGGAAGGGCCAGTATCGACACATCTGCGTAGCTGGTATATAGGTACGTTTTTATCCTATTTTTAGAGGTGCGGGGGGGTTGTGGACAACTAAATAGTGTTTTTAATGTTTGTATTTCTGACCCCATAGTGTTCCTTCAACTTTAATTACAGATATTGTAGTTGTCAGAGCAGCTCACAGTAATGGGTATGTGCCAGATATGTGCAGTAGTGAGTGTTTTGGGCATTTACCCAGTGAAATTATTGGGAGCTGTGTGCTCATACCCAATATAGTTTCCACCGACATTAAAGGGAAACCAGGGATCAGCTGGTTGAATTCTATGTCCACAGAGAATTTGTACTTGCTGTGCTGCAAGAGACACACATTTTTAAGTTAGTGTATTTTTAAATAATTATATGTGTACTCAATTTAAAATGGTAAATCGTTCGGACATGCAACACGTCTGCCACTCTAAATATGTCCTCACCATAACATGAAGTGAGGATGATTGCACATGTCTGTTGATTTCATCTACCCACTGGTGACAGATGGAGCTAGGAGAAATGATGAGGGTGGCTCCAGTAGAGACAGGCTTCATGGCCACAAGGCAATGAGGGCAGTAGAATGGCGAGACACCCAGGTTTTCTTCTTTATAATTTACACACTCCGCGTGTTGCCATAGATGGCACTGCAGGCACTGAACCCGGGCTTTGTAATCAAGAAGCCCCAACTCACCACATATGCATTCGAAGCGGTAATCAGAGGTATTGAATGGGGAGACAGAAGGAAATTGGTTAAATATTTCCTGAGAGTGAAGTTCCACCTGTACATCTTCCTGCTTGGCTTCAAAAGTAGTAGAACCAACAAAATTATCTATGATTCGGTCATCGCTTGAAGATACATTAGGTGGTGAATTTGAACTATAGTCTATAATCTTGTGATTTCTTTCACTTTTGCGAGTGTTTTGTTGCCTATTTTTTGCTAATCCATTGATGTGTGTACAATAGTTATGGTCTTTTACAGTAATGTGCATATCGTGGCCCACAACCGAATTTCCCTTTGTATGCGCACAGAGCTCAGGTAGACAGGGTTGCAGTGGTTTTGTAGTTTTTGTTTTCTATAGAAAAAAATAAAAATAAAGTTTCAGTTAAGGCAGTGAAAAGATTTTTGCAGATATTAGATATGATTTCCCTAGAGTAAACAAATGAAGAAAGGAATAGGCACAAAACTGAACAAAGTCCAAGGTTTACCTGATTTACCTGTCAAGGCATTTGATGAGATTGAATCAACCATATCCGTATGAGCTTGTTATAGTAATATGACAATTCCATTAAGCAAACACATTTTTTTGAATTTATTTAATAAACTTTTAAATGCATTTAATATTTTGCTATATTGTCTTGTATGTGTATATATATTTGGCACTCCCCTTTAAGGGATTATTGTAGATTCTGCATGGGTGCCACCTGCATTGAACATATTCGAAAAGACAGGAGAGAAAAAAGTTTATCTAAATATTTAATCATTTTTAAAAAAGCTCATCCAAAAATATTAAATTGAGGCCTTTATCTTATAATTCCCTTTGATTGTATTGGAATAATAAAAACTTTTTTTAATAAAAATTCCACCTTTGTGAAAATCTCAATAGTGACAGCTCCATTTTAAATTGTGACACTAACGGAATTGGCGTTCACTGAACATTTTCAACATTCCAAACAATAAATTATTCTCAAGAATACAGAAACAAACAATAGTACTGGCAATGTGACAATGTTTAAGATTTATGTGACTGCATATAGTGGGTACTTTAAAATGATAAACAAATATAGCCGAAGCTTTCCAATACTTTTGGCAAGCTGGAGTTACAATGTTATAAAGGACACATATACAGGTAAAAGAAGCATTGGTCAATGATCAATTCTAATTAACAAAAATCAGCAAAAAGGTAAACAGTCCTATCTCATGGTACAAAATATATATTATTTTACTTAGAGGCTTTTTTTAAGTGTGTTCATTATTTCTGTGTTTTGCTGTTTTTCAGCTTAACACAAAGAACACAACTGTGCAGACAGTGGTCAACTCAACTATAGATATACAAGATATCTCTTTCCATCCATTAGAATTACTATTATCTCAAAACTTGGGGAAGTTTCCCTATCTTCTCGATCATCCAGAATATTTATATCAGCTCTGGATGTAATCCCCTTTCACACTGCTATTTTTACACATCATGCCGCTAGGATTGCCATTTTTGTCGCAACATCCTGACATCATTCTGTCCTTAAGTGAAACATGTTTCTTGTTATGCGATAAGGGGATAGCTGTACCCCAGACCAGCAATCAGTTCCTGTTTTCTTCCTCTCCAGCCTTCTTTGGATCCCTTCTCTTTCCTGTGCCGTGCCTGTAACCGTTTTCTGGCTCTTGTTCGTTCTTCCTAGATTAAATACTATACAATCTGCCCTATCCTACAGATTTAGCTTGGCATTTGGTTTTGATGCATTGGACAGTGCAGCATATTTACCATGGCTGCAGTATTCCTAGTTGCTATTCTGTTTTAGGTTAGACTCTGTGCTATCATAATTTGCCTGGAAGACGGTTCCCATTTTCAGGCCTCCTTAGGAACTTCGCAAAGATGTCCTTGCTTGGCACTGCAATAGGGTTCTGGTTCAACAGTACAAGTATGCCAGGCCCTACAGTGTGTCAGGTCAGCTTTCTACTGCATAAAACCCTGCCACATTTCATGGAAAACATTAAATAAGTTATTGTTGCTAAAAGACATGCAGTCATTATTTGAAGGAAACGAGAAGATATCAAATCCTGTTGCTGCCTTGGAGTTGTAACACCAGTTTAGATCTTTACAAATCACGATTGTCTGACAACTGATCAGGCTCGGAAACCAGTGCTACCATAAATCAAAGTACCCACTGCACACCAAATAGCAAAAATAAACAATGAAAAATAAAAAATAATTTTTGAGATATATATATAAAACACAAGATCCAGCGCACTCACCTATCCACTAAACAGCAACTTCAATGTTGAAAGATTTTATTAGTTTTTTTTTAAAAACACCTAATCTAGGCAAAAATAATGGGGGTTTAGTTACATTATATGATCATACATTGCATAAGCCTGCCACAACGTCAATGTACCCCATCTTTGGCAGGTCCTACACTAACAGCCTAATGTCTGCTCTTATGAGATTAACCACTTACTTGAGGAAAAAAATTCCATCTGGGGCTCTCTGCAGTACAAGGCTAAATAGGGCCCTGGGATGAGGCACCTGTGACAGGGAGGGGTGCAAAACCAAGGAGTTGGCTAGACTCCCAAATAACCCCCCCTTGTTTCATATGTATATATTTGGGAGTCTAGCCAACTCCTTGGTTTTGCACCCCTCCCTGTCACAGGTGCCTCATCCCAGGGCCCTATTTAGGTTGTACTACTCTTTCTTCAACAAGACTCCAGGAGGTGGTTCCAGTATCAGGTAAAAAAGTTTAAAATTTTACATTTCTCCTGAGGCCTCATTTCAGCCACCACGGCCTTGTTTACAATACCCTCCCACCTCTCAAAGTGGGTTCAAATCTTTAAAATGTTACTATTATATTAAGAGTTAATTCTGTTTTCATTTCTACATACCATTAGACCTGCACCATTGCGCAGATTCACTACGCCTTCAACGACCACCAGTATCAGGTATCCTTAAATCTTACTCACTACAATTACGTCCTTCTAAGGCCTCACTTCGCCTTCATATCTGTCACAAATACTGCTCAGTTGTGGGAACCCAGGGGCTTGTCTCAAAAAAATTTGGACCAACGTTCAGGTCCCTCTGATTACACAGGTGTTTACGATACAGTTTCACTGTTACACACCATTCCATACATTCTACATTTTTACACTTGGCATACCCATGGCACGCCTCAGGCCTACTAGCATCTTTCTTACCCCTAGGTTCCTGGACCTGTTCTTCACAGTATATATAGTCATATATATTGAAGTCGCCTTGAGCATTGTCTAAATATACAGGAAAAACACTCAAGTTTATACTTCCTTCAAGAGACAAGCCCCAGTCAGGGTAGAGAACTGGCTTTCAGGTTCAGGTGCTGGCCCTAGCTTCCCCTATTAATACTGTGGTCGGCGAGGTCTACACCCCTACATCATAAACGGAGGTTCAAATCATAGCTAGCTACTTCGCTGACTCTTCTTTAGGGCTACAGTTAGGGGTTCCTATGTCACGGCCACACGTTTTTGAATCTCTTACAGTCACCGAGAGGACGACATCCTGCCACCTTGTTCTGGTGGCCACAAAACCCCCTCGGCCCAAATCATAGGTAGAGCCTCTCACCGCCGCTTGGCAATAGCAGGGCCTCACCTGTCACTTGGTTCTAATTATAATTCTTCGTTTCAACATTAGCAAGCAGGCCAGTTCTCTGGAGGTCTCATCCCACCTCCACTATACCCTACTTATCCATATCATTATTCCTTTCAGAACGTCTCAAGAACTAATCATCAATCCCCCATCAGCCAATGTACCCATCACGGCATCCAGGCCTGGGTCTCTGGAAGAATCCCTCACCCCTTCTACTCCCAGATCCCTAAGATATTGGACCATTCCAAAAATATCGTCTGAGCTCAGGCTCAGGAGGATCCCCTTTCCAGCCACCACCAGAAAGGCAGAACTTTATAAACTGCTGACGACTCAGGCCAACGACCCAAGGCCCGGCACGAGTTCACAAGGGCCTCCAGTTGGCTACTCTGATTCCACCTAGGAAACTCTGGCGGCTATACTGGCCAATCTGCAATTAACAGCAGGTTAATCGGAATCGGCCATAGCCAGTCCAGGTGACTTAACAGCCCCAGCTGTCCCTACACCGGTGACCTCGACCGCTCTGACTGCCATACCCCTCATCTCCCCTCCCCCTACACTACCAGCCACTAGCACGCCCACTGCCCACACCTCACCAGCCCACTCTGTCCTGGCTTCCATAAAGAAAGATATTCTTGATGGAAAGGACGTCAATTTAATGTCCCTCCTCATTGCCTCCCAAGACATCCTAGAAAATAGAGCTTATAACTACGGGGACATTTCAGTTGTCTTAAGAGCTAGAAATCCACGTTTGAATAAAAACTCACAATTCCACAGTTTGTTATCTGCACGGTGTACCCACATAGGAGAGAAGAGCTTGTAAGACAACTGAAATGTCCCCGTAGTTATAAGCTCTATTTTCTAGGACGTTTTGGAAGGCTATGAGGAGGGACATTAAACTGACGTCCTTTCCATCAAGAATATCTTTCTTGGGGGGGCGGAGCCTGGCGCTGAACCGGACCGGATGCCATCTCTCCCAGCTCCGACAATCACACACACACACACAATCTGTGCGACACCCTGGTGACTAGCTGCCATCGGACCGTGTAAGCACCAGCTACAGCCTGGGGACACCACACCGAATCCCCAGATGCCCTTCCAGTACTCCCCGAAGCCTACCACACACCCACCAACCGCGACCTCGAGTATCTCTGGGGCGGGGACCCCGCGGGAAACACAGCAGAGCTGTGGTCGACCCTTACATCACCTGCTAATGATGCAATGGGGCGTAGAATTCAAAGCCTCCTCACTGCGGACCTGCCTATCCTAAAATCATCCCTGCATCAACTAACAGGCAGAATGGAGGCAACTGAAGCAAATATTAAAGGGCTTAGCCAAGACACCTCAACCATGCAGGCATCTATACTCCAACTACAAGCAGCCCAACAGGCCCTTTCACTACAGGTGGCAGCGCAGGAGGACAGGTACCGCCGCAACCACGTAAAGATAAGGGGCATCCCGGCCACGGTCCCCCAAGAGGAACTGCCACACTACGTCAGAAGGCTGCTGGCTTCAGTACTGCCACCTGCTACCGCTAAAAAAATAAACATCGCTGGGCTATATCGCCTACCAACATCTACCTTAACCACCGCCAAAACGCCCGGCGACGTCATACTCCGCTGCACACTACCTCAAGACAAGGGGCAAATAATGGCAGCGGTAAGAAACAAGACCCCACTGCCCTTTGAAGATTCGCAACTGTCCTTTTACCAGGACTTATCCAAGGCCACACTGCAATGGCGAAAATCCCTGAACCCTGTCACCACCCGACTGCGGGCAGCAGGAGTACCCTGCAGGTGGGAACACCACGATCCCTCCTTGTCTCGTACAAGGGGTCCACGCAACGGCTAACTACAGGGACTGATATCCCAGCACTCCTTGCAGCTCTAGACATGCAGGAGGCAACGGCAACACCAACGGATTCAAATCGCGCTAACGGATGGGACCCATCCAATGTGGTACCATTTGTGCCAAGAACTGTAGCCGACTGCCCACCTGATACCTGACTGGCAGGGACATCTCCAGCCCGGTCCAAGCCCAACGGAGGGACTCACTGATCCGGCAGCCCTAGGCTGCAAAGTTGCAAAGATGTAAAGTTCTGGTTGTTCTTGTGGTTTTACTTTTTTTTTTTTTTTTTCATGCCATATGTCTATGTCCCTTGCGGTAGACTCAACCATTAGAGGACACAACCTTCAGCCTGGGCCCACTGGGCATAGAGACACCAGGCTCACAATAATACACCCAAACACTCACGAAGCTGCGCCATCTATGGCCCTAGTCCGGTTACATCTAGCCACACGTCACCAATCATTGAAGCGCTGGGGCTGGGAAGTCACCTGGAGTGGCTATGGCCGATTCCACTTTCAGCAGCCTGCTGTTTATGGCTTGCAGATTGGCCAGTATAGCAGTCAGAGTGTCCTGGGTGGAATCAGAGTAGCCAACTGGAAGCCCCTGAGAACTCGTGCCAGGCCTTGGGTCGTTGGCCTGAGCTGCAGTTCAGCCTTTCTAGCGGTGGCTGGAAAGGGGATCCCCTGAGCCTGAGTCGAGATCAGCCGATATTTTGGGGATGGTCCAATATTTTAGGGATCTGGGAATAGAAGGAGTGAGGGATTCCTCTGGAGACCAAGGCCTGGCTAGCGTGCTGGCTTCCTTGTCTGATGGGGGATCAATAGTCAGTTCTTGAGACATTCTGCAAGGAATAAATGATATGGATAAGTAGGGTACAGTAGAGGTGGGATGAAACCTCTGGAGAACTGACCTGCTAGTTAGTGCCGAGGTGAAGTAATTACCTAGAACCAAGTGACGGGTGAGGCCCTGTTATTGCCAAGTGGCGGTGGGAGGCTCTACCTATGATCTGGGCCGAGGGGGTTTTGTGGCCACCAGAACAAGGTGGAGGGGTGTTGGCCTCACGGTGACTGTAAGAGATTCAAAACGTGTGACCGTGACATGGAAAGCCCTAACTGTAGCCCAAAGACGAGCAAGCGAGGTGGCTAGCTATGATTTGGTCGTGGGGCAGAACCTCCGTGTATGAGGTGGGAGTGTAGACCTCGCGGACTGAAGTTTTTATTTGGGAAAGCTAGGGCCAGTGCCTGCCCTGAAAGCCAGTTCTCTAACCTGACGAGGGCTTGTCTTTTGCGAGAAGTATGTAACGTATGTAAATACTGACTTTGAGTGTTTGTCCTGTATAATGGGACAATGCTCTGGGCGACTTCAGTGTATCTATGTGTGATATAAATATACTGCGAAGAAGAACGGGTTCAGTCCACGAACCTAAGGGTAAAAAAAGATACTAGTAGGCCTGAGGCATGCTACTGGTATACCAAGTGTAAAAGGCTGAATGAGGCCTCATGAAAACGTAAAAATGGCAACCTTTTTTTAGCTGAACCTTGAAATGGGAAACTGGAACCACGTCCTGGAGTTATTTCTTTAAGAAGAGAGGCAGAATCTAAAACATGTTATATTTAAGTATAAGGAACCGGGTATAATGTTTTAATTTAGACAGAGATTTAAGCAACCAAAAACAAAAAACATTATTATGACTAAGGAACAGAATAAGCGTGGAGCTGGATAACTTAAGAGGTGTAATGGTGGCTCAGCTTATCGATATTACAAACGTATAGGGGCCACGTGCTACTATTAAGAGAATGGCCCCTGGGAATATATCAGATTAAATGACGGGTAGTGAATAGTGTCACATATATTTCAGAAAAAAACGTAAGAAGAAATAGGTAAGGAACATTTGAAATTTATAAAGTAAATATTTAAACCCCCTTGTGTTCGGCTAATATTGCGTTTCAGGATATAACTGGCCCGCGTATGGTTAGATAAGGATCCAGACGAAAGATTGTGTGACAAATAGCCGTTCGTATATGTTCGGCTAAACAGACGAATGCCAGAAACATACGAACGTAATTACTTTAATGAGAGTTTGCGAAAAGCGTGTACTCTGCGGTCGGCTGCTAGCCGCTCAACCGCAGAAGAACGCGAACGGTGTAATTACGCAAACAGGTAAGACATAAATTTGCATATAGGGAGCCTATCCCCTAGTTTTTAGGCCCGAACGCTATTTCCCACGTTTGAAGCTTACGTGTGTGTGCCGGTCTCGTGACCGGAAGCCAGACAGCCTGGAATGGGTAATTAAAATATCGGGGTGGCCGGTGGACGAGCCCAGAGTTCTGCGGTAGGTGCTGCTGGAGGAAGACTGTTTGCTCGATGCAGGACTGGCGGGAATAGCTGACCGGAAATGCAGGTAACTATGGAGACAGTCAAAACAGCTTGAACGGCAAAGGTAAGTAGGGGGGTAGGGTTTATATAGGGTCATAACTCCTCCCACAAATTCAGGTCAAATGGCCTTCCAACATATATAGTTAATACAATGTTAAACAAAAATCTGCATACCAGTCAAGCCATAAGACTTGCTTTTCCCACAGTCTTATGGCTTGACTGGTGTGCAGATTTTTGTTTAACCTTGTATTAACTATCAGACAGACTTCAGATGGAAGGGGTTTTCAATCACAATTTTTCTCCACCATACTCTTTGGTTTTTGCTTTGATAGAGAATATATATATATATATATATATATATATATATATATATATATATATATATATATATATATATATATATATATATATATATATATATATATATATATATATATATTCCTGAAGAAAGTCCTCTATGCAGGACTGAAACGTTGATCGTTTTTTAATTTTGGCAAAATAAAGATTGGACTTTTAAACCCGAGAGTGCTGCTACCTTTTTTGGATAAATGGATTAACAAGCCTTGGTATACTAGCACATTCAAGCGTGAGTGCAAGAGTTTTTTCATTACACACACACACATACATGCAGACGGATTTTGAGAGGCTACAGGTGCCAACAGTACCAACACACAACATATCAGCAGCAAATCAATAGCGACTGCTGGTGAAAAGACAGTCAGATGAAACGTACTGACACTGCTATTGCAGGATTCCATTATTATGTTATTATTTATATAGCGCCAACAAATTCCGCAGTGCTTTACAGTGGGTGGACGAACAAACATGTAGTTGTAACCAGACAAGTTGGACACACAGGAACGAGGGGTTGAGGGCCCTGTTTAATGAGCTTACATGCTAGAGGGAGTGGGGTAAAGTGACACACAAGGTAAGGATAGCATTAGATTGATTACAGCTGCAAGAGAGGAATCAGTCGGGAGCTATTAACGGTTTAATTGATACGCTTTTATGAAGTGGATTTTTAATGATTTTTTTGAAGGCATGCATAGTGCAGCCCTCAAGAATTCTTGAAGGCGAGCATCAGAGGTGGGAGTACGGAGAGAAGATAGACTTAAGTCTTCAGCAGAGCGTGAGGGCCTAGACGTACATACTTGTGTATAAGGGAGGATAGATAGGTGGGAGCAGCATTAAGTAGAGATTTGAAAGCAAGAACCAGAATTTTAAATTGAGCCCTATAACTTACAGGAAGCCAATGTAGGGACTGACAGAAGAGTGAAGCGTGGGAGGTGCGGGAGGACAGGAAGATGAGCCTTGCCGCCGCATTCATTATGGACTGTAACGGCGCAAGTTAGGAGCACGTAAGACCACTGAGAAGCTGATTACAATAGTCAAGGCGAGAAAGGACAGTGGAATGGACCAGCATCTTAGTTGCATCTGACGTGAAGTACAGACGGATACGCGCAATGTTTTTGAGATGGAAGCGGCAAGATTTGGCAATAGACTAAACATGAGGCATGAAGGAGAGGTCGGAGTCAAAGAGAATTATAATTGACAGTACAGTATAACAAGGACTGACAGGGATCTAACATGGAGAAACACAGTTAGAGGATAAATAAGTTTGTATTTCAAAACTGAATTCAATTTTTTACACCGAACATACATCTTCATTACATATCAAGGATAAGTGTAAAACATAATATTAATAATCTTGGGAATAATCTTTAAATTATCTTTTATTTTGCTCTTTATACATTATTAACCAGTATGCACCTGATTTTTTTTTTGAATAACGGTGCATTTTTTAACTTTCAGACATATTTGTTAAATGTTTTATGGCTGAATTTGCCTTTAAGAGAAGGGTTACTTCTTCCTAGTTTTATGATAGGTAGGGGAAAAGTTGTTAGTGAATAATAATTTCATTCACTGTACATGCTGTCTGGCAATGAACCAACCTTTATTCTCTGCGAATATCACCCAGTGTTTGACTGTTGTGGTTCTTGGACCCCTATTCTGATCTGTGTTCTTTTTAGATACCCACTACACATTTGTTATTTTTTTGTGTGTGAGGTTAAACTGTTATGCAGAATGCCCTTTCACTGCTGCCCTCTGGAATCTGTAACAATGGAATCTGCAATAAGCAAAGCCTGATTTCAAAACGATCAAGCCCCAATACTGCTGTAAGAAAGCCAGCGCTCCATCAGTCTGGAATAAGCAAAGGTAGCCTTCTGAAAGACCACACTAAGACTCTATCCTGCACAGCATCATTTATATTTAATTTAACCACCCTGTACATTTATTTTATTTTATATATCCTGTGTGCATTGTATATTGTCTTGCCTTTATATCTTGTCTATCATGCTAAAGTGTAGTTTTGCTAGCGCTGTATGTATAAGTTTTATTCACCTATATGCATTACTCTATTTCCCATCTTATTTCTGACTGACCTCTGACCCCTCCCTTCTTTTATTGATATGTTTGTTTTTATTTGAATAGCTATTCCTTCATCTCTACACCTAGATACATATCCCCCTCCCTCAGCTTTTTTGCAAGCCTATCTGACCCTCACATTCAACAGCCTGATAAACCATGTATTGCACCTCATGTGTTGCTGGATCTTTTTGTAAGGAATACATAGAAAAAGAAATATAAAACCATGTTTCGATTTTGCCTCTTCACTAGCACCATTTGCCTAACCTTGTCTTTTCTGAAATGGATTATGATGTTATTTACTAAATCTTTAATCTAAATGTAAAAGAAAATGGAGCATCTGAACAAAATCAGGTTAACATGAGGTAACAGGTAATTTTAGAATTTTGTGACAATTTAGGTGCAGATCTAACATTAAATGAACAAAAAAATAAAAATTAAATTAAAAGATTGCTAGATGACTAATTTTGAACAGACATTTGTTTGTGTTTCTTTTGTCTCAGAAGATTGGTATTTATCAAGGAAGACAGGTCCATCTTCAACAGAAATCTGTTCAAAAAAGTCTAGAGGGATGGTCGTGGCCTACCGCCGGAGCTGAACAGACGCATGTAGGAGCAGCTCCCGGCGAGAAAACCGTAAAGAGCGACAAATAAACGGATCACCGAGGGAGAAGCACACAAACGGAACGGAGAAGACTCTCAAGATGTCTCAGCCCCAAAAATCAAAAGCTGGGAAGTCCGACTGAGCCTCATTCTTCCTAACGAAAACCCCGGCCTCCAAACAGAGAGAGGAACAGACGCCTGCACAAGATGGCGGCGGCCGGAACAGGCGGGAACACTCCCCTTCCCCACAGGCATCCCCAGCGCACACTGCTGACGAACAGCCGCTGACAATGGGAGCCACCCGGGAAGTGATGGCAGAGTTCTCAGACACCGTACAACAAAATACGAAGAAGCAACTCCAAGCACTGACAGCCGAACTCCAAAAGGACATACAAGACATAGGTAACCGCACATCTCAGATAGAAACAAAGATGGACGAATATGCAGTAGCACACCACACTAGCAGACAAAATCCAGGAACTGGATGACACCCTTGAAGCACACAGTTTAAAACTGGCAGACATGGAGGACAGAACTCGGAGGAACAACCTCAGGTTCCAGGGAATCCCAAAATCTGTACAAAATGCGGAACTATACAATTACCTGTTAGATCTGTTCCAGAGCCTCACACCAGAAGTCCACCCAGATCAGCTCATCATAGATAGAGCACACAGGCTGCGCAGACCAAAACACTTGCCCACAACAGCAGCACGACATGTCATTGTGTGAATACACTTTTTTCACGCCAAAGAGAAGATAATGAGAGCTAGCAGAAATGCAGAAATTTCCGGAAGCCTATAGATCCATAAAGATCTTCGCAGACCTATCACCGGACACGCTACAATTCAGAAAAGCAATGGGACCCGTTACCTCCGTCCTGCGGGAACAAAATCTGAACTACCGCTGGGGCTACCCAGCCAAGCTTTTAATCTCTCACCAAGAAGTAATACACTCCATCACAACTGTGGCGCACGGTGTTCAAAAGCTGAAGGAATGGGGACTCCCGATACAAAACTTGGGCCCAGCCAAATCAGCCAAGGTTCTGCGGAAGTCTCTGGAGTGGAGGACCCAATGAGAGCCGAACGCTCCTACCGACATGCGTAACTATGAGATGTATACAGCACATTTTAGATAGATACAAGGCTCCGTTAGAGTCGCTACTGCATGAGCACACTTGTTTATGCTTAATTATACAATATGTATTAATACTTGACATATGCCTGAGACAATACACGGGTCACAATGAGCAGCACTGTTGCTGGTTAGAACCTGACTCTGCCCGATTAGCAGCACTAAACCCTCTACAGGGGGTTAAAACGAACTTTGACCTATGCCCCACTAGCCATGCAAATCTAGGGCACGTGTATATAGTTGGTAACGTGTGTTGTTATAAATGTGCTACGTGTATTGTTGGTTCTCGTAGTTGTAGGTTAATACTGCTCACGGTTTTATACGGTGAACGACCTATAGAATAGCCGACTTCACCACCACCTCCCCCAATAACCGCGCCTATATACTAGGCAGCGAGATACGGCCCCCACTCCCCGGAGCCGAAATGGGTAATCTACTCACCTGTTCTTTTAACCCCAGTTCACCCCCCACCTCTCTCACCCATCCCCTAACTGGTCACAAATTACGACCTCACCACAGCGGCCGTTATGCACAGCCCCCAAACCGAAATAATAACAGTAACCCAACACAATTGGAAGGGGATGTAAGTCAGCCCGACAGAGCACAAAGTAACATACTAGAACCCCAGAATGAAAATACTGACCTATAATGTAAAGGGGCTGAACACCCCAGGTAAACGAAGGCTACTGCTACAGGAACTAAAAAAAAAAAAATCAGGGGATTGATGTCACCTGTATCCAGGCGACGCACTTTAAGAAGACCAGAACCCCCGAAATCTTTACCAAACTATACCCAAATCAATATCACGCTCTCTCCGAGAACAAGACCAAAGGGGCCTCCATATTAATCCACAAAGATGTGGCGTTTCAGGAACAGACAAAGTTAGTTGATACCAAAGGGAGATATGTCCTACTAGTGGGCCTGTTTAATAATGTCCAATATACCCTGGTCTCTGCCTATTTCCCAAACACTGGGACGGAAAAATACCTCAGACGCTTTTTACAAGAAATCGAAAAAAGCATAGACAGGGTGGACTGGTGTTGTGCGGAGACTTTAACTTTTTCCCATCTCCGGAAGTCGACACGACTGTACTACCCAAAGGGTTGAGACAGACAAACATGACATCTATGTGCAAAGCATTGTCCAAACTGCTCATGCTTCACAACCTCTATGATAGTTGGAGGGTGCTACACCTGGGGGAAAGAGACTACTCCTTTCACTCGAGCACACAATACGTATACCCGTATAGACACCTTTTATGTAGATCAACCTACACTAGCACAGGTCTCTGCATATTCCATGGGCGAAATAACTTGGTCAGACCATAGCCCAGTATATTTGGAAATGCATGACTATTTTCAGTTTAAAGGACGGGGGAATTGGAGATTGAATGAATCACTGTTACAGGACCACAAGTTCACAGAACAAATGAGGACTGATCTCACTGACTACTTTCAAACAAACTCAGCAGGTGAAGTGTCTGAACAGACTGTGTGGACAGCACACAAAGCCGTAGCACAAGGCCTCTTTATCAGACGCTCGTCTTACCTCAAAAAACACAGACAAAAAAAAACTCTACTTGAGTGCCAAACACAACTAGCGGTCCTCAATGCCCAAAACAAGCAATCCCCCTCCCAAACCCTTGTAAACCAAATCCAAAACTTGACCAACCACCTACAGGCAACCAAAACCACACATTTCCTTCATAGAATGAGGGCAAACACGTACCACCATAGTGGGAAAGCAACAAAACACTTAGCCAACCGGTTAAGAGAAAAATTAGCCTTGAAAATAGCCTACTTACAAGGCCCAGAGGGTAACAAAATACAAAACCCCCTAGATATCACGCAGGATTTCGCAAAATACTACTCAGAACTGTACAATCTGGGAGAACACTCAGGAATGACTCCCCTAGACGAAAACGCTATCCGCGCATATCTGGCCCAGCTCCCCCTCCCCAATATAGACCAAGACCAAATAGACCAAAAAAACTCTTACCCCCATGGTTTAAACGTAGATTTTGAAGTGTGTCATTTTTGATATTATTATAACCCCAAATATTTTTATTTAAATTTTTTTTTTTTTTATGTCAAAAAGATGCAATGCAAAATTTGTTGTAAATACCTTTATAAATACTTTTTATATATATTTTTTACTGACAATTTTTTATGCCAAAAGGATACACTATTTGTTGTAAATATTTTCATTAATATTTATATATATGTTTATTGATTTTTATTATGCTTTCCCTTTTTCTGATGTTTTTTACATGAGATCTTATAGTGTCTTTTATTGTTTATTTTATATGTTGTTGTTGGTTTTTGCCCCTGCTGGATTGTAGAGACCTATTTGCAATGTGCCTACTGAAGGGACAGATTGTACATGTGATGGATTCCAATTTGGACAGTATTTTCTCCCTGTTGGTTTTTTGCCATCTCCCCTTGGGAGGGAGATCGAGGGGCTGAGCTTGAGACTGGCATTGGAGTGCACCACGTGACACGGATGCATCACGTGACACGTGCGCGTCATATGACGTTTGCGTTCCACAGATGGAAAGCATAAGCTGAAACCGGAAGCGGAAGTCCAATTCAACCCACGGCCGGCAAAAAGCCGAAAAAGACCGCCAAGGGAAGGATATATAACAAGGACTACACCTGGAAACATAAATAGCAACTGACGAAGCCTCTGATTAGAGGTGAAACGCGTTTTGCACCTTATATAAGGACTACACCTTCTGAACTGTAAGGTTTTTTTATTTTGTTTTATGTATTTTATATCTTGTTGTGCATTTTTGCAATAAAGCACTTTAATTTACCAAACTTTGGGAGGACATTACATCTTTGAACACTACAAGCAGTAATAAGAAGGAAGTGGGTCCCTTTAGCACCCACAGAGCTTCTCCTCTTGAGCCTTCATATTGGCTCCATGTTTGTGAGTGTTCTACCTTCCACACATATTGCATTACCCTATTGTGGACTGGCTATATTGCACTATCTTTTTGTATCTATGTTTATGTTCTAGAATATACTCCTACAAGGATCAATTTACTATTATTGCTATTGGAAGAACCCCTCTTCCATAAGGATCAGTTTACTACAGCAACTTTTGGCGAATTTATTGTGTGCATATACTCCACTTTATACCGTATGTACCAAATAGAAGCCCTACTTAAGCCCATTACCCTAAATGAAGTACTAAACACTATACCACATCTCCCTATTGGGAAATCTCCAGGGGCGGACGGGTTACCTAACATATACTATAAAACATTTGCAGAAGTACTCAGCCCCAGACTAGTACAGGTGTTCCAGAAAGCCACAGAGACAGGGGTACTCCCACCTGAGAAGCTCCTGGCAACAATAGTGACCCTACCCAAACCGGGGAACCTACAGACCAATGTAAGAATTTCAGGCCCATTTCACTGTTGGACACAGATACTAACATATATATGCCAAGATTTTGGCGTCTAGACTGGGCAAAATACTACCGACGCTCATAAACGACAACCAAACAGGATTTGTACTGGGGAGACAGGGCCTGGACAACACACGGAAGCGGTCTCTCGTAAGAGAGAATGAGGGGGTCGGGCCCAGGCGGACTGCTCTTAGCCCTAGATGCCGAAAAAGCGTTTGACCGCCTGGGTTGGCCCTTCCTCCACCAAGTGTTGGAGAGGTATGGATTTCCAAACCAACTCATTACACAAATATTCGCTCTATAATCTCAACCCACTGCACAGGTACTACAAGCAGGCTTTAGGTCTACCCCTTTTAAAATTACAAATGGTACGCAACAGGGGTGTCCCCTGTCCCCCTTGCTTTATGTGTTGGCCTTGGAGCCACTACTTGCAGTGATTAGGGCCCAATCAGAGATAATACGAGTAAATTGCCATGGGCGTCAGATAAAAGTAGGTGCATTCGCAGACGATATCTTGCTGTACGTCTCCCACCCTGAAAAATCTCTACCCCATATAATGCGTTTAATACATAACTATAGGAAACTGTCATACTACTCCCTCAAAACCTCCAAAACGCAAGCACTGGGACTACGCCGAGACTCACAAGTCTTAACAAGACTACACAAAGAATATCAATTTGAATGAAGGAAACACGACATAAAATATCTAGGCCTGACATTTACCAAAAACGCCACAGATATGTTCCCAACAAACTACAATAGGGTCTGGAACGAATGTACCAAAGTACTGCGGGGCTGGGGATGACTATTTTTAACCTGGTCAGAGTGGATAGTAGCACTAAAAATGACTATACTACCAAAGCTCCAATATTTATTCCAAAACCTACCGTACTAGTGCCGCAATCGTACTTTCAAAATGTTCAGGCTAAAATACTACAATTCACCTGGGGAACGGGACGGGCACGAATCTTATTGGCCCCGATAACACAGGGAAGGATGGCATTCCCAAATGTCAAAGCATATTACCAGGCCGCGGTACTGACCTCATTATTGTCGCATCTGATTGAAGACAAACAACCCCAATGAGTGACAATGGAGAATATGGCCATTAGATCCTTCCAAGTTCCAAACCTGTTATGGTTACACAAAAAAAACTAGACCCACCACCCCGACCATGCCCTCACAACTCACACTAGCACTGCAAGTCTGGGAAGCACATAGAGTACATTTTGAGACGGGTTACCCCCTCTCAATGGCAACCCCAATAGAAGCCATAACATACTGCATCCCAACGTTCCGCAGAACACCGTGGAAAGAAAAAATAATCACCCACCTGTCACACGCTTGTGAAGCAGGTAAACTGATGGACTTTACAAGACTTAGAGCCATCTACGATATCCCACAAACATCGCAATACTCACACATCCAACTCAAATCCCTTTTAGGCAAACAAACCAAGGTGAGAACGCCAGACCACAGAGACCCGGTGGAGACCTCAGCCTGGGAAAAGATAGGAATATCAGAAAAAACCTCACCCACATTCAAACCACTTTCAGACTGTTACAAAGTACTCCAAACGTACATACGCCTCTACAAATCACCACAAGCAGTAAACTGGGACTTGGACCTAGAAACCAAAGTTCCCGAAAGTACATGGAAACACATTATATCCTCCACGAGGAAGTTGATTAAATCAGCCCCACTACTAGAACAACACCAGAAAACACTATATAGGTGGTACATGGTTCCAACCCGCATTCATAAACAGTACCCTCACTCATCTCCAATATGCTGGAGATGTACACAAGAACAAGGAACAGTTATGCACATCTGGTGGAGATGCCCTCGACTGGTTAGGTTTTGGAAAGAGGTTCACAAGCTCATTAAAAGGGCCACAAACACAGACAAACTTTTAACCCGCAACCTTCTTGCTGCTAAACTTCCCAAATGTCGTACCCCCCAATAAGAAGAAACTGATATGCCATGTTCTGCTAACTGCACAAAAATTGATAGCAAGATCCTGGAAATCCAAGGCCCCCAACATCCAGACCCTCATACAAGAAATAGACAAAAAACTGATTTACGAAACATACTTTGTCAAAACATACTCACAACCACAACGCTTCCTGGAGGCATGGGAACTATGGCGCTCTTGGAGAGCGGACAACCCAGACCACTAAAGCAACAAAGGGTGCACCACTGGACCTAGGGCCATCCCCACACACCAGACCAACGTAAGCAAATACACGCAAGACACAACACCACCACAGGCCGACACAGGAAGGAAGGGTCCCAGAACAGGGAGGTAGGACACGAGGGAAAGACGGTAACTGCCTGGCAGGCAGGGCCCTAGAGAGAGGGTAGCAAATTGATGGCCAAGTAACAGGGTACAAAGAAGACCGGATGCAATGTGTTAGTTAGTAATGGAATGGGCGACTATGGTGCATAACATGTCTACGAATGGAATGTATACTCAAACAAAAGATTGTACACATAAAATGTAATGTGACTGCTTCCCCTCCCCCCTCTTTCTTTCTGTACCCCCCTATTATTATGTTGAAAACCAATAAAATACAAATTTTAACAAAAAAAAAGTCTAGAGATGATAACACATTGGAGTTTGATACATCTATAATTGGCCTTACCAGTTTTTGTGTTTTATCTTGGATCTGTCCCTTGTAGTTATTCCCAAGTTTGAAAGAGCCTGTTAGGCCGTGACCTTTAATTTGTTCCACTATTTTTTCAGTGATTAGTTTTTCCAAAGTCTTTTTAAGAAGCCGTCTGTTTTTCTGGACATCATAATTGTATATGGAAGTTATATACTTAAAGATGGCAATTAAGGAAACCCCTTTTTTCGAACTCATTTCTTTTACTGCTGCCAGTATCATGACTCGCATACCTGCAAAGCAAAATTAACGAAAAAACAGCCCAAACTTAGTTAGAGTCAGGGATTGGCTATATTAACTAAAATTTTAAAAATGTGGTTTTAAACTGAAAACACCTTGAAGTTTGATAACCAGATCTCTTGTGATACCTGCATAAAATATGGTTTGAATTGGTCATAAACTACTCATATACTATACCACTTAATTTGGTAGTACTTCTACTTTATCTAATGATTCTTTTTCACAATGTATACATATGCATACTGTCATGCATCCATTCTATTCTTAACGGAATACTCTATCCCATAACAACAAATTAATTTATGTATTTATGTGGGCAGGAGTATTCTGATCTTCAGGGCTTAAACTGTTTTGCAAAAGTTTAATCGCACAATTGGGTCTCTGAAGACAAACACCATTTCCCACCGGCTTCCTTCCACGCTGCCATCACTGGATGTTACGTTTGTTAGAATAACTGTTAACACATGGTCACTAGCCTTAAATGACAGACACTGGCTGAGTCACAATTCATGGGAGCTGCTAAAAAGGTAGTAGAGTGGATGTGCTGAGATACAACTATTAGTAATATAATTCCCCATTGTATCTTCAAATTTATAGCTAGCTACAAAAACAAAAAAACAATCAATTATAGGACTCAAAAGCACTGTTAATATATTCTACCAAAAAAGACACACACAAAAAAAATACAAAAAACAAAACACTCCACAATGTTACAGAGATTAATAAATGCTGCATATGATCTGAAATAATAAAGAATTAATCTGTAATACTTACTCGGGTATTGTACTTTTTCTTTTCTGATTCTGTAGTCTCTCTCTTTTTCTTTTTTCCTCTTCTTTTTATCTGCTGGAGGGGGTGGAATGAAGAAGTTCACTAGTTTACCCTGAAAAAACAAAAACAAAATAGCATCTAGGATAGAAACACACCTATACATATGTATTTATACATTACTCAAAAATACATATGCTCATTAATTCTCCTTGTAATAACGATAGGTTGGACTCTAGTGATTATTTTTATGAACTGCAATTCCATAGGAAAAGGATATATTTTAAAAGTATTTCAGAATCATTTCTTCTTTAACTCTTAAAAAGGTAGAAGGGGACTATTATTTCTTATGATTACTTACTGGTTTCCACAAGATCTAATTACACCACATTATGCTAGCCAGGTAAAGTAAATGCCTCCACTTATAAAATGAATGCAAATGATTGTGTGAAAGGGTGGGTATCAGAGAATACACATTTTATTTCCACATTTTTTCGTGTTCTTTTACTTAGCAGAGATTATGGATGGGACTAGTTAAAATTCTGGTGTGTATATATACTGGCAGGGAACGGGTGCTCCCCTTGAAACAATACAGTTTTCTTTAAAAACAGTAAGAAGAATATTAGTAAGGGGAGATTCTATGATTGCAGCTTCTAGACAAGAATGGCTACATTCATTCTTCCTGGATTTGATTACATTACAGAACAGGGCAGGAACATATACCTTTTAATGATACTAATAGTAAGAACTACTCACAGACTATTTTAGCACATACCAATTGATTACTTAGGCTACCATTACATTATTTGAAATGCGTTTGTCATATGCTTTATTGCCAGGCCTATTAGAGCCGGTATTTAACCGTCATAGTAATAAATTGCAAAGTGATTCAACACTGAGTGCACTGAGAATCCTTAATACATGTATTTTGGGGACAGTAAGTGGCAAAAACGCTACATTTGTTTTGTATGTAAAGTCTTATATTTGAGCTGTTTTACCTCAGGTAATGTCAGTACATCCTTTTTGACATCTTTCCGTGGATGGCAAAGGATCAGACTCAGAACTTCCACTGTCTTTCCAAGACCCATCTCATCAGCTAGGATTCCCCCTGGCCACTCTTGACCAGCATGTGGACAATCTCTAATAATACTACAAATAGAAGTCAAGGCAAAGAGAAAGCAATATAAAACATACAAAATTAACATTCTTAGACTACTGAAAATGTGCACCTCAATTCATTATTTGCATCAGGGTTGATATATTGACTAGAAATGGTTAGTGTTAACAGAAAGTAGCCACCAGTAGCATAGGTTTAACAGAATTGTAGCTTGGGAGTATAGACACTTTAAAAAGTCTTATATTGTATTTTATTCAAACTGAGATGTTATTTTATTTACGTAAAATAAAAATCAAGAAAATGTATGAAATGTCTTAAGCCTTACCATCCAGTGAAAGGATTAAAGTAGATTTTTACTCCATCTAATGTTGTGACTTCCCGCCATAATACATGCAAAGTGCTTTCTATTAGAGTAAAAATGGAAAACCAAAAATAAAAACTTTTAAAAAACATTTATCATAACATGAAATGTTGCATTTACCTGAATTTATATGAATCACAAAAATAGTCAGACATTTAGCAACTGGTAATATATTTTCCATTATCCAATCATGTAGCTCATACTGATACTATTGCATGTTTATAAGGATATCATTGGTTAGCAGATTACTATATTAAAAAAAAAAAAAGAAAGAGATATCCACAATTTAGGCTCATTATTTGATTGAGTCCCTTAACACTGTTGCTTTGTTTAAGACTCTTTAGGAATGATTTGTTGTAAACCAAGGATCTTTCTGGTGCGGAGGAACAGTCCCCATATTGGCCTCTTTAATTAAGTGGCATTAAAACTTCAGCGTAATCAATGTCAATCTGAACAACACTGACTAGCTAGGAGAGAAATTCAAATTTTACAAAATTTACATTAATAATGTAGACTGATCCTTTAATTCAAACCATGCTCACTAAACAGAAATTGCACAGATAATTATAATCTAAATTAGTTAATACTAACTCTAAAAGAAAAGTTGTTGTTTTTTTTGTAAATTAAAAGTAAAAAAAAAAAAATAAATGTAAAAATAAATAAATAATGGATTTTTTTAATTTATTTTTTAGTAAGTCAATCTTAAATTTATAAGCAGCCACGTATACTTTTTAGTTCCAAATCTCTTGGAAAGGTACATTTAGTAAAAGATCTTGCACAGAAATAAAGTAAGATATTGTTTTTCAGTAGAAATCAGTAGTGCGTAGACATGTAAGATTTAAATCCTTGACACAGAGAGCAATTTAGCTGCACATATCAGGCTGTGAATATGTTCAAGTGTATTTTTTGAGAAGACCCGTTTCACATGAGAAAAATTAATTAATACTTGAGCAATATTCCAAAATATACCTACTATTAGAATGCAAATTTTTGAAGTTTTCCCTCAACAGCATCCAGTTCACAGCCTCATTTTGGTAAGGTCGCAGCACAGGAATCAACGCAGGATGTTGCACATCTTCCTTTAAAACTTTGTCTTCTGTTTGGTGGGTTTGCCTTACGTAGTCATACAATTCTTCAATGTTTTGCCTCTCTAACTCCTGATCTGATTCCATTTCATTCTCCTCGGTATCTGCAGATGTACAAAAAAAATATCATACATTTTCCAAGACAGATTTTCTGAAATTGGGTAAGCAAACTATGCCATAACGGAAAGGAAAGACAAGCAGAACAGGACAAATTACATTGTGTGGCATTCACAATAACTGCAGATTCCTCCCAGCGTTTCAAATCATAAAATAAGGTAATTTTCCTTTCAAGCATAGCGTCTTGGTTGTGGCGAAGGGACAGAATATTATGGATAATCAGACATCATTATCAGTGTTACTTACTAAAATGAGAATTGTCAGGAATTATTATTATTATTTATATTATTTATATAGCACCAGCAAAATTCCATAGCGCTGTACAATTGAAAGTGAACTTCGAATTTAAGGGTAAAATAGCAGAACTGAAAAAAAATCTCCAAGTCAGCTATGCTTCCCATTCAAAATCTTGTAGGACTACAGATTATAAATTATTAAATGGTTACATTTTTCCCAATATGTAAATGCACATTGAATTTCCAATGGAGGATTGGTTAAAGGCCATTCAACGTGTGTCTCAGAATATCCACTGTATCTCTATGTTAGAACTGCACTATAAACATATATAGGTGGTATGACTTAATAAAATTTCAAAGAATAACTAGGATTTATTTTGGAGATGCAATCTAGAAAAAGGAAGCTTGCCACATATTTGGTGGAACTGTACCAAATTAGAAAACCTCAAATTTAAAATCAAACTTTTCTTACAAAAATTCTTCAATCTTAATAAATTCACCTCAAATAGGTTTTTGTGGAAGATTCTCAAGAATACATATCCTCTATGCAGCTAAGATAACAATAGCACACAACTCAAAATCCACCAATCTAGACTGGTCAACTATATGCGAACAAATTTCATATTAATATTGAATGGAACAAAGTTTCTTCATAAGTAGAGATACAGTGGAAAAACGATACAAACTAATAAATCATACAATGGTATACTTGCATTCACACAGGGTCATTCACTAAAGTGAGAATTCAAGGTAGTTTCAAATTTATGGTTTTGAATTTATGGACAAAATGGAAAAATTGTCACTTTGAATTCCGATCATGAGACTGAAGCACGTGCAGTTTTTAACTTTGTCTTAGTAGGTAAATGCGTGAATGTATAAAAATACATGTTTGTTTTGATTTTTTGCTCCCCCCCAATTAGTGATGGTACATAGCCACAATAGTCTTATATACACTATGTGAATCCACTGTCTGTTGCTTCTGACAATTTCCGCTTTCTATCAGTTGAACAGACCTATTCTGGTTTAATATTACTGTTGTGATTTAGCAGTTTATCCGACTGCGTGATACCGGTTATCTGAACCTGGTAGTTTTTGCATTCTGTTTGTACTGAAGTTCTGCTTATTTGTCTAATTCGGTCTTTTTTTCCTGACTACATTATTCTTTTATTGAACTAATGTGTTATCATGGGGGGTTTGAGATTATCTGCAATCTTTTTGCTTAACATTGCAAAATTACACTTTACTGGTGTACAATTGACATATCACGCATACCAAATATATAAAGAGTTCCTAGAAAGAGGGTCATCATGATAGGTAATAGGGATTGGTGAAATGGTCGCAGTGATGGTCTAACTCATCAAAAGGATGAGATTTGGGAGGTGTTAATATTTATAACATTAGAACAGGCTTACTAATAAACCAGAAATGGAGCAGCAAATAATTTCCCTTGTTTTGTCCAGAATTAATTGGATCAGAACCTGGGAAAATGTGGTCAGGATGGTGGTACCATTTTCTTTTGCTTCAATAGTTTGACATGTCGTCTTTAACTTGGAGATCAATGGTCTGGTGTGATTGAATGCATGAATGACAGTACGTTAACTTTAGTGATAGCTGCAGCTATCACTAAAGTTAACGTACTGTCATTCATGCATTCAATCACACCAGACCATTGATCTCCAAGTTAAAGACGACATGTCAAACTAGTGAAGCAAAAGAACAAAGGTGTTATCAGGAGACCTAGGGCACTAGCAATAGCGGTCTTTGTATTTAGACCTTATGACTGAATGCCGCACATACTCTCCTCGGTGCACCATCCCTTAGGGAGAAAATAGAATGCACTAGAATTTAAGCTAATCCAATTATTCAACAGAACTCTTATCTATATAATATCACAAACCAAGAGACATTTATTGTAGCTGAGGCATTGCAATCCTGCATCAGTATCATTATCCTGAGTAGGTCATTCTGCATCTCGCTATCAGAATTTTTTCAGAGGGAAACCTGGCAATGATATTATGTGAATAATCCCGTGTCTAAACATGAAGGCTTTCACTGTACTTGGATGGTTATGAGTAATATCCACCAATTTATCAACAATGAAATAAGTTATTTTGTAAGCCATATTTTGAACTATCAGGAGAATGTTATCTACAGTCATTATCTCTTGTTACAATTGCTACTACTGTATCTTTTTTAGATAAAGGGTTAGTAAAGATTTATTTGCATATGGATACACAAGGTAGCATCATCACTTAGGATTTGAGTGCTTCTCCCTGATTCACACCAACTTTCTCTAAGCAAGTTGATTAAGGTATACTAAGGTGTAAATAATTTGTGTGTTTTATAGCACCTATACCAGCATTGAGTGTTCTCTTATTTGGGGACTACTCTTCTTTATTTTCGTTTTGTGTTTTTACTAATAAACCATTTAGAATGTTTGCACAGAGTAAACAGTCACACATTATTCACACTTACTGACGAACCTCTTCTATTCCCAGCCTATATTTATAACAGCCCTCCACCCTAATGGGTAAATACTCCAACACAATGACAACTTCAGTAAATTTAACTGTTCATGGTGGTAGGAGTCTGGATGTGCAGTGTTTCTGTTTAAAACATTGTACATCCAGAGTTTACGATATCAGTTGCAACCCTCTATATTTGTGTACCTTTGTGGCTCATGGTTGGGTCTAGCCTTGGAAGGCTAGGATATGTAGCATGGGAAAGAAAGGGGGGAGGGGGGATGGAATTTCATCTTCCGCCCGTTCTTTGCAGGGTAGTCAAAGGGTTCTTACTATTAGCTTTATTCCCTGGGTATGCGATACGGTGAGTGCTTTGCTTTCGGTGGGTGGGCCTCCCAGAGGTTGGCTAGTGTTTGTGCCGTCTCTTATAATTAGTGTTATGAGTGTTATTGGCTGCGATGTGTTTACGTTACTCTCAAGTCGGGTGTTTCAGCTCCCAACTTTCCGATGCCTCATGTCTCCAGCTTTTGTTGGGTGGTATGCGGGGTATACTTGATTCAAATTTCCCAATTTGGGATAGGTGTCTGATCAGTTCTCGCATTGTTGCATTGGTGGGTGATAACCAATTTTTTGCGATAAAGTTTTGGGGCGCTACCAGTACGTGGAGTATTTAGGTATTTAATCGGTTTTGGGTAGTCGGCTTCCAGCATGAGTAAGAGCAGAGGTGTTGGGGAGTTCGGTATCATGATTGAGGTGTGTTGGTGTATTAATAAGATAACTTCTTTCCAGTATGGTTGGAGTTTCGTACATTTCCCCCAGGTGTGTAAGAATGTGCCTGTCTCTTTTTTGCAGCGCCAGCAAGTGCTGGACAGCTGCGGGTCCATTGTGGCTAGGCGTGTTGGGACCATGTACCAGCGGTAGAAAAGTTTACGAGTGATCTCTAAGTGTGAAGCGCAAAACGTCAGGCCTCTGGTTGCATTTACTGCGGCCAGCCAGGTCTGCACTGACAGTGTTTGATCTAGGTCTTTTTCCCAGGAGCGTACACAAGTAAGGGATTTAATTCCTTGTTGGGGCAGTAGTAGCCTGTATATGGTGGAAATGGGCTTTGCCGCTGGTGTATCTGCCATTATACTTTTTTCGAAGGGCGTTAGAACAGTAGTAGTGGGCGATATGGGATGTGGTACATGGGTTTTCCACCAAGAATTCAGCTGGAGGTAAGAGTGGTATGCCGTATTCGGCAATATGTAATTAGCTTTCAGTTGGTCAAATGTGGCTAGTTTACCTTTTTCTAATAGGGAATGTATATAGAACACCCCGCATCTGTTCCATGCTCTGTAGTTGAAGTCAGGTATCGTTTGCGCCAGGGTCTTAATTGGGGTTGAGAAGGGGGTTGGGTGGCAGCTGCACAGGAGTTTGCGGGTGGTATCCCAGATTTTTAGTGTCGTTAAGGCGGCGGGAAGTGCATTTGTGGTGTTTCCCCTTTGATGGGGTAGCATCCATACTGTTGTTTGAATGTCTTGGGTTTGCAACCAGTTTTGTTCTATAGAGACCCACTGGGGGGGAGACGTGTGTTGGTGAATAGGAAAGAGACTGGCTAAGACTGCTGCTTTGTAGTATAGTTGCACGTTGGGGAGGCTCATGCCGCCCATCTGCACTGGTCGGTGTAATGTGGATAAAGCAACTCTCGGTCGTTTTCCATGCCATATAAATAAGTTAATTTGTTTCTGGAGGGATAGAAAGTAAGCAGGTGGCACTGTCAAGGTGAGTGTCCTAAATAGATATTGTAATTTGGGTAGTATCACCATCTTTACCGCTGCTATTCGGCCAGACCAGGATATAAATTTATTCCTCCAGTGTAGGAGGGTGTTGGTGATGTCTTTGCCAAGTTTAATGTAGTTTAAATGGTACAAGTCGGACATAGTGTGTGGGAGTTTTATCCCCAGGAACGTGAGGTAGTCCCTTCTCCAGTCATAAGAGAACTGGCTCCTCAGGTTGGATAGATAGTCATCCTCCATCCCCACCCCCATGGCCTGTGTTTTAGATAGGTTCAGCTTATAGTACGAGCAATGGCTGTATTGCTGCAGTATGTTGTGGAATGCAGGTAAAGATTTGTGTGGGTCGGTTATGGTTAGGAGGACATCCGAAAACATTTAATTTATGTTCTGACCCCCCCGATTTTGATTCCCGTGATCTCTGTTGATGAGCGGATGGACTCCGCTAAGGGTTCTAAAGCCATAATGTATAAGAGGGGTGAGAGGGGGCACCCCTGTCGGGTGCCATTGGTAATAGGAAAAGACCTTGATTGGTATCCGGACGTGAAGACCCGGGCCTTAGGGTTACTGTATAGTGATTTGATCATGGAGATAAATTGTGAAGGGAAGCCAAATTTAACTAGGACCGCCTGCAGGAATGACCAGTGCAGGCGGTCGAAAGCTTTTTCAGCGTCTAAGGATAGTAGGAGGCTATTGGGGAAGCGTCTATGCATGGTGTGTAGTAATGCAAGGGCTTTTCGTGTGCCGTCCGCTCCCTGCCTGCCACGCACGAAGCCGACTTGGTCAGAGTGCACAATAGTCGGCAGGATTGTAGTCAGTCTGTTGGCATAGACTTTTGCCAGGATCTTCACGTCCGAATTTAGTAGGGAGATCGGTCTGAAATTTGCGCAGTGGGTTGGTGGTTTACCAGGTTTGGGTAAAGTGGCCACGTTGGCCGTGAGCATGTCCTGCGGTATGTTTTTTTGTGCCGTGGTGAAAGTGAAAAGTGATGCTAGTCGGGGGGTGAGGATAGAGGAGAACCTCTTGTAGTATAGGTTTGGCAGTCCATCTGGGCCTGGGGTTTTGTTTAATGGCAGGTTCAGTATAACTGTGAGTACTTCTGTTTGTGAGATGGGCTCAGCAAGAGACTCCTGTTGAGAGACAGAGTGCATTTAGATGAACTTTGCACAGGAAATTAGTTATTTCCTCTTTAGTGGGCTGGTGTGCCGTAGGGTCGTCTTTTAAATGATAGAGTTTGCTGTAAAAATCAGCGAAAAGTTCACTGATCTGTTGGGGTTTGATTATCTTTTTCCCGTCATGTGAGTTAAGGTATGCTATTTTGGTTTGTGCTTGTGCGTCTCTGAGTCAGTTGGCCAGGATTGAGCTGGCTTTGTTACCCATACAGTACTCCCTGGTTTTCAGTTTTTGGAGTGTGCGGGTTGTGTTGGCTATGTTTATGTCGTTGAGTTCTGATTGGGTTTGGGTTTGGGTGCAGCGTCTCCTGGGTTTGGGTTGAGTAGATGGGAGGCTGTGGCGTCTCTCAATTTCCTCAGTAAGTTCAGGTATTTCGTCTGGGAGGTCTTTTTTAGGAAGGAGGACCGTCGTATAAACAACCTACGCATTACGGCCTTATGGGCTCTCCATATCAATGTCGGGGACATCCCTGACGTTTCATTTTCAGAGAAGTAGTGTTTGAGTTCTGTTTCTATTTCTGAGCTAAATTTATCGTCCTGTAAAATGGAGCTATTAAGTCTCCATGGGTTGCAACCTCTAAAGGTGAATTCGTCTCTGAATGTGGCAAGTACTGGGGCATGGTCTGACCAGATGAGGTCTCCCATGTGGCATGTTTGAAGCAGATTAAGAGAAGGTCCTGTTATGAGTATTACATCTATCCTGGAGTAAGTCTTGTGTCTGTCCAAGGGGTGGAGTATTTTCCAGCAGTCATAGAGGTTGAAATTCATCAACAGTTGTGTTAAGGCTTTGCAAGTTGGTTTGAGGGATTTCTGTCGGTAGGTAGTGGGGGGCATGGAGGTATCTAGGGTTGGGTCAAGGATGTGGTTTATATCCCCGCATATTATCATATTGCCTCGCTGTGCAGCTGCCACCTTTGTGAGGATACTGGTCAAAAAGTTCCTCTGGTTTTCATTGGGCGCATATGGATTCACAACAGTATATTGTACGTTATTCATCAGACAGATAATCAGGTACCTGCCCTGGTCGTCTGAGATGGTGCGTAGTAGTTCAAAGGCTACTGAGCTATGTATGTAAATGGAAACTCCTCTGGATTTAGATATATACGCTGAGTGGAATTGATGAGGGAAGTGCTTCATTCTGAATTGGGGGATTTTGGCTTTGGGGAAATGGGTTTCTTGAAGGCACAATATGTCTGCCTTTGATTTGCGAGCCTCTTGATGTAACATGTGTCTCTTATGTGGCATGTTGAGCCCCCGGACATTATGTGAGTAGACTATCAGTGTATGTTATAGGGCAGATTGCTTTCATTAAAAGTGGGATCATGAGATGTAACGTACGGTTTGTACCGTTGATTGTGAAGAGAGGGCGTATGGGTTCCTTTTTTTTAGATGTTTTTGTCTGGGTGTTTGGACGGGATGGGGGGGTGGGATTGTAACTGGGGGGAGTGAAACAGGGGTGAAAAAAATAGACTTGGTTAACAAAAGTATGTACATATAAGCCCGATCTCGGTGCAAGGCGCTGTGGCGCAACGCCGTGGGGAGCGTGGGATCGGAGATGGTGGACAGGCGGTGGCCTGAGCAGGCTAAAGGTATGGGGTGCAACATGCACTATTAAAGAACAACAGTAAACCAAGTGAAGTCTTGTGTGTTCTCTGAGTGTGATTCGCAAGACAAATGAAGAGCACCCTTGTTTAAATATAGTGAGATGTCCTTACGGGACCTCAGTTGAAGAAGGGGGTGGGAGTTGGTAACCTGTTTAGGTTTTGTATCGGGGTCTCCCAGCTCTACGTGTGTGACCACAAACTCGTTCTGTAAGGAAGTTTTCTGCCATATTATGCTCGGTAACTCTGGCTCATGCTATGGGGCTCCAACCCCAACTGCCACTTGGGTTCTGGAGTAGTGGGAGCAAGGGTTTAGGTGATGTGTAATTCCCGTTATGGGACAACCCAAATCCAGCAAGTGTGAGTGGCCAAAGCCTGGATTAGCAGTCCACCACTACTATCTTCTTTGCGGACTAGCCAGGTGTACCAGTTTAGGTGGAGCCCGAGATGTGGCTTTATGAATATGCCTGACGGGCGGCTTGGGTAGATTGCGGTCACCCATGTAAGTCGGTCGGTGTGAGTAGTGTATGGTGCCACTCCTGCATCCGTTGTCGGGGGCATACATTAGTTGGTTTGTGGAGTCAGTCTAATAAAGCGTGGCAAGGTATTGCATATGCTTTTGGTAAACAGTATAGGTCAACAACAGTTAAACAATTAGGCAAATTATGTCACAATATTGCTAGTACACCCTGCAAACATTATGGACAAATATAAATGCAACGTGATAGTTAATAATTATTTGCGTACTGCAGATTGTGGTAATGCTAAGCCCGCAGGCGCCTATCAGGCTAATGCAAGCTGGCCTTAGAGATAGTAGTGGCCGGGAGTCAATAATTAAGTATTAGAGCAGTATGGGTATTTTACCGCCGGAGCGGGGATACTTGCGGTGGGACCTCAGTCGGCAACTTGCCAGTCCTTAAACACTTTTCTCGGTAGTTTCGGGGCTTGTGTTTCGCCTACACTGGTCAGGTTCCACTGGTGTAGGAGGTTCAGGCCTTCTTCTACAACGGTGGTGGTTCCGTTTCTGGAGACAATCAGGCGGACAGGGAAGCCCCAGCGGTATAGGATGCAGTTGTCGCGGAAAGTCTGTCACTTGCTGGAAGGTTTTCCGTTGTCTCAGGGTGGCTGCTGAGAGATCTGAGAACATCTTGATGCCTGTGTATTCAGCTGGAAGGTCTTTTGCGGTTCTACTTCTTCTCATCAGGAGATCTTTTACATGGAAGTAGTGTGCTTTCAGTAACACATCTCTGGGTAAGGATGCAGCTATATGTTGGGGTTTTGGGACACTGTGCAGGCGGTCCAGCAGCAGCATGTCAGTGGGGATTTCTGGGGTCAGGAGTTTGAAAAAGCTGTGTACATGACTGGGCAGGTCCGCCGGGAGAACAGTCTCTGGTATGCCTCTCAGCCTGATATTGCTCCTTCTGGATCAATCTTCAAGGTCCATGAGCTTTGCCTCACATTTTTGAAGTTGATCGGTGAGAGATTTTAGGTGCTCTGCGGACGCATTGTGTGCATCGACAGGTCTCGTTTCAGTTCTGCGACGCTGGATTGCCAGATAGCTATCAGTCTTTGGGATTGTTCGTCCAGGGCTCGTTTTAAAAAGGCAGCGGTGAGCGGTTCACCATCGTGCGGTGAATCTGTCTCTGACCTCAGGCTGCTTCCCCCTGAGAGTTCGGCGCCATCTTGAGGGTCCGCTGTGGCGGTTTGTCTTGCCAGGGCCGCAACTTTTTTTTGGCCGAAGAAGTTCAGTTTGCCAGGTTTATCTTGGTGCCGAAGGGTTTTGGGTTGCGACATCTCTGGAATAATTTCTTATTTCCCGCAGGAATCTCACAATTGGATGATATTGCCTAGCTCGTGGTGCAGAGCTAAGGACTCATGCGGCCATCTTTCTCCGTGTCATCCAGAGTTATTTTTAACTTTTTAGTTGCATCCCCAGCAAATGTGATTTAGGCAGCCCAGAACTCTATTCCGGCTGCCTAAAGTCAATTCTGTGCATAATTTAGGTCTGTCGTCAGGGCATACTGCTGACAGATGTAAAAATCTTCCCCTGTGCAGGCAGAGCATCTGCTAGTGGAAGATTGTTTACCTCTCCCACTGTGCATTCCCTAACATTTCCCTCGGTAACTTGTATGAGTTTTTTTTTTTTTTTTTTAACTAAAATATCCCTTTCTCCCTCCGGCTTAGATAGTGCGTGTGTTCTCTGAGCTGGACTAACAGATCCAATCACAGGCTTCTGAATGCAAAGCCTATAATTGGACCATGAGAGAGCTGGGTGACGTCTGAACGGGGCCCAGAAGATCAGCGCCCGGAGCTTCACCTGGCGCAGGATTAAGACAAGTTTGAAAATCTTATATGGTTTTCATATGCATGAGTCAAGTCTAAATTTAGCTTAGAGTAGTAACGTTTATTAATAAGTTAAATAAGACTGTTTACTCAAGTAGTGGGCAGTAATCAAGACAAAAAGCAAGAAATGAAATAATCTCATTAACACTGGTGGTTACTTTGTCACTACCAGCTATAATGAGAAATAATGAGGTTTAAATAGTAACTCTAAAGGTGTTAGCGGTTGTTATTTTGTTTATAAACTGGACTACAAATGGAAAATATCTACAAGCAGCGTTAATAACTTGTTTCCACAGAATTCCTAAAATTAGGACAATTTGTTTTTTTTTACCTGGGATTATAAAATCATAAAACTTCTCCATCAGTCTCTGAATAAGGATGCAAGCCTTTTTCATTCTTCCACTGCCTTCACTAATAAAGTCTGGTTTGGACAAGCATGCTTCCAATAAGTAAACCCCAACCTGAAATAAAGATAAAGAATAAAGAGCTCAATAAAAAAAACAAAAAAACAAAAAAAACACAAACAACAACTGAAGAGAAAACAATTAACTGAGGCTCAACGAAAAAACAAAACAAAACAAAAAAAACGGAACACAACAGCTAGATTAACATTTATTGCATTGTAATAAACCAGGGCTGTGTGGAGTTACAAGCAACTCTGTTGTTTTTAAACTCTGCCAGGTTGAGGTGCAAAAGGTTCACATTTAAAAAAAAAAAAAAAAACAAAAAAAAAAAAACATATAGAAGCTTGCACACACTATTATTAAAAATATAAAGAATACAAAATTAGCCACACATGGAATCTTTAATTTAATTTGTCTTAAGGAAGACAAAGATGTATTATGAACACTAAAGTATCCCTCTGCGTCGTCGCCACCCCTCCTGCCCCCCCAATCATGAACAAAAGTAAAAAACTAAACAAAACATCCAATCATTCACCCCAGTGCTGATATCCCTCGGTGCTGGGTCAGGCTGTTGGACTACCCCAACCTCAGCTGAAAGAGGGGACCCAATACGCATGCCACATACATATTAGGAGACCAGCCCCTCCGATCGCATGGGAAAAGTGTTTTTACTCAACTTTATTCACACGCCTTGGCGGTATCGCAGCGCTGATCTTGCCTGGCCCAGCATCCAGGGCTGATATTATCAATCTTGATGATCTTAACTAATTCAATGATTTTCCATGAAAAAAAAAAGAAAAATCATTGGAAGGCTATTGCGCAGGTGCGGAAAAATGCTGTGCCAATCAGCATCTCCTCATTGAATCAATGCATCTCTACGGGGAATGTTTAGCACCTCCATGCAGAGCGTGGAGATGCTACCACTAGTGGTGTTACCAGTCACGAATGTAAACATGGACTTCTCTCTGAAAAGACAGCGTTAACTTTGAGAAGCCTGCAGGAATAGGCTATAGGCACCAGATCCACTACGGTAAGCTGTACTCATTCTGGTGACTATAGTGTTCCTTTAGGAATTGTATTTTTGTCGTTAAAAATAAAGCTTTGTTAGTTTAATAATAAAAACAACATTTAAAATGAACAACCCTGACAATATATTGGAGGGCTCCCGTGGTGCCCTTTACATCACTGGCCACTGATAGGCTGAGAGTGTCACCCCATCTATCACATTTTCAGTGTGCATGGCTTGAATATTCTATCAACATAAACAATTATGCCACTGAAGCATTCAGACACCCGTTGGCTGAAACTATTTGGATGAGGTTCTGCTGGGTCAGATGGACATTACGGCCAGGTACATGATGCACCTTTTGGTACATTGACTGTGCAGCCACGGAGTACGTCAATTGGCTAATTTACCAAGAAGGTTAATGTTATGTAACAGGACAGACTTGTTCTATTGATACTTGTGAAGAAATGACTCCGTTCATCAGGATTTCTACCTTTGTTGCACAAGTTAATTCACCCAATTCAGCTGGAATTCGGCATATAGCTATAATTTCTACCATTCGAATGGATTCAGGCGAATTCCCCGTGTAAACTCTAGGTGGCCGCCATTTCGGCACTTTACACGTGGTCGCGGCCATTTTACGTGCGAACAGCGGTGTTTGCCCGTCAAACGCGTGGAACTAAAATCGGATACACAAACAGGCGAACACCGCTGAGACCTCCATACATCCAGAACTTCGCACGGAAAAAACCGAATGACCGGCCGTTCGGTAGTTACATGCAACTTCGTATGGGGATTTCAACGACCACGAAGATGCGAACGGATGGCAGGACTTTCGTCTTTTTTATTCGCCTAAACGGAGACCGACCGCAGGGCCAAAACTTATGGAACTATTTTCGGCTAGATGATCCGTGCGGTCGGTCAAAACTTTAGTGCTCCATAACTCCCGAACCATTCATCCGAATGGACTGATTTTTTGACATATTGTCCCCACCAGTGAGCACTATCCAGCGGTGCCCAATTTAAAGGTGTACCCCCTGTTTTTGGGGTACATCCAGAACTGGGGTAAAATAGTGCACGTTTTAATGAAGTTAACTGTTTATCAGAGGGGAGGGAGGTAGGGGCTGTAACCTGTACCTGATTGGTGATTTAATGCCTCCCCCTGGGTGTGTATTTTTTGTCTGTAACCCTAATAAAAAGCAGGCTGGAGATTCCAGACCTCAGATCTACTTGTATCCTGATTCTGGACTCTGACTGTTATTTGGGAATTCGTATGCTTTACCAAGGGGATTATCTTGGGAAGCTGTTATATTTCTTATGGACTTCATTGCTTAGAACTACCTTAGACGCTGGCATTGCAGGAGGAATTATCAAAGCGGTTCAGCTATACTTGATTTCCTTACAACTGGTGGCAAGCGGAGGGATTCGAATCCCAAATGGACATTTCAAAACAAGCAAAGGAATGAATGGCTCAGCAGTACCAGCTACTTAAAAGAACCACGCTAAAGGACTTACTGGAAGCTCGAGGCAGAGTGGCAAGTAACAAAACAAAAGCCACGTTAATTGCGGAGTTAATGCAGAGCGATAATACCAGTAATACAGAGATGGATCAAGAGGAAGAAACCGTGATGCAAAAGGACATCCGATGGACACTCAGTTTATTGGGACCCAATCCATCCTCAGAGGCGATACTGCAGGTCGTAGCACAAGCCAGACAAGCGCAAAAAGAGCGAGATGACCGGGACAGAGCGTCACAGGGGGATTTGCTACACCCCCCGAGAAGTATTGGGGAAATACCAAAGAAGGTAAATTATGCAGCGTTTAAATCATTTGTTGACAATGAAATGGAAATTGACAGTTACTTGCAAGACTTTGAACGCCAGTGTGCACTGGAGGGATTAGACTCCACCAAATGGGCTGCAGTCGTCAGCAGTAAATTGTCAGGTAGAGCAGCCGAGGCGCTGCGAGCAGTACCTGAGGGGGACATACATAATTATGAGAAAATAAAAGACATTTTGTTGGCCAGATATGCGGTAACTCCGGAGGCATACCGGAAAAAGTTTAGAGACCTGAGAAAGACTGGGAGAGATTCCCATACGGAATGGGCTTTTCGCCTGCAGCGGGCAGCCCGCAATTGGATGAAGGGCTGCCAGGCAACCACCCTAGAAGAAGCTTTGCAACTAGTGATACTGGAGCAATTTTTTAATCATACTGCAGAGGACATAAAAGACTGGGTAAAAGATAGGAAACCAAAAACCGTGGAGGAGGCCGCTAGGCTAGCGGACGAGTACCAGGATAACAGGAGGAAGGAGCCAGGGGCGAGCAGACCACCATTTAAGCCTCAGTACACAGCTCCAACAAACCCGGCTCCACCTAGACCTGCCATAGGTCACCCCCCACCGAACCCAGCAAACACACCTCGACCTCCTGCAGTGTGTCACTACTGCAAGCAACCAGGACATTACAAGCATCAGTGCCCTCGCTTAAACCGGGGAAGCTGGGAACGGCCAGCCCCACAACAACCCAGGGCAGCTGCTCACTGTGTGCAACAGGAACACACAGGCCCTGCCCTTAACCACGAAGAACAGTGGAGTGTATTACATGAGGTCAATCCAGTACAAGCTGGGGGGGACAACCGGGACCACCACCGCCAATGGATTACCGTCGATGGCGTGGGGGCCCGGGCGCTGAGAGACTCTGGGGCTACTTTGACTGTGGTACAGCCCCACACGGTCAGAGCACAAGCTCGCACCGGACGCACAGTCGCTGTAAGGGTGGCTGGGGGCGCTATTCACAAACTGCCCACCGCTAATATGTTTGTTGATTGGGGTTCCGGGTCTAAACAACTGGAGGTGGGGATTATGCAAGAACTGCCCGCCGAGGTTTTGTTGGGAAATGATGTGGGATGCCTAACCTCCCAACTAGCCCGAGACCCCCCTGCCGAGGCCTACCCGGTTACCACCCGAGCTCAAGCCAGACTGGAAGCTCCGCTGCACTCTGAGGAGAACCAGGTAAGAGTCGAAATACCCCCTTTACCCGATCCCCCCGTACCCTTCTGGGATACCCCCCAGGGGTTTGAACAGGAACAGCGTACTGACCCCACATTAGAAGGCTATAGGAAGGCCGCGGCCGCTACCCCCGAGAACAACCCGCACGAAAAATTTGAGTGGTATAAGGGGTTGCTATATAGGGTAACCGAGGGGGTGGGACAGGGGGCTACCCAGGTCATAAAAGACAGTTAGTTGTGCCCCGTAAATTTCGGGCTGAGTTGTTAAAACTCAGTCATGACATTCCCCTAGCAGGACATTTAGGGGTCAAAAAGACCAGAGACAGGTTAACTCAAACCTTCTTCTGGCCCAGAGCTACCCAGGACCTAAAGTACTATTGTAGGACATGTGATGTATGCCAAAGGGTAGGAAAAAGGGGAGACCTTCGGAAGGCTAAGCTTCACCCCCTACCCATCATCGAACAGCCCTTCCACCGAGTAGCGGTGGATTTAATAGGTCCCCTCAGTCGCCCCAGTCCGTCGGGCAAAAAGTTTATCCTAACGGTGGTTGACTACGCCACTAGATACCCGGAGGCAGTCGCCCTCACCAATATAGAGGCCGAGACCGTGGCAGAGGCCCTTATTCAGATATTCACCCGAGTAGGTTTCCCGCAGGAGATACTCTCCGATCGGGGGACGCAGTTCACAGCCACCCTGACGCAACAACTGTGGCAGAGCTGTGGAGTGCAGCCCCTGTTCAGCGCCCCGTATCATCCCCAGACTAACGGGCTCTGTGAACGTTTCAATGGCACTCTAAAACAGATGCTAAAAACTTTTACAGAGTCCCACAAGAATTGGGAAAAATTCCTTCCCCACCTTCTGTTTGCCTACCGTGAGGTGCCCCAGGCCTCCACTGGGTTCTCCCCCTTCGAACTCCTGTACGGGAGAAAAGTTCGGGGCCCACTGGAGCTCGTACGGGAACACTGGGAGGGCAATACAGATGAGGGGGGAGTCCCTATCGTCCAGTATGTCCTGGAGTTCCGGGACCGTCTGCGGGCCCTCACCGAATCAGTTCGGGAGAACCTGCAGGCGGCCCAGGAGGACCAGAAAAAGTGGTACGATAGGAGGGCCCAGGATAGAGTGCTGGACTTAGGGCAGAAGGTACTGGCTCTGAGGCCCGTTAAAAAGGACAAGCTGCAAGCAGCCTGGCAGGGACCCTTTAAGGTAGTGGAACAGGTTAGCGAGACTACCTACATCGTGAGCAAATGCTCAGATGAAAGGCTGACCAAAGCCTTCCATGTGAACATGCTCAAACCATATTTTGAAAGGACAGAGGAGGTGGGCGCCGTGTGCGCCCCCGCCACAGAGGATAGTGAAGGGCTACCCCTCCCTGACTTACTGGATACCACCCCCTGTACTATTGACCAAGTAAGCTTGGGGCAAAATTTAGACCACCTGGAGAAAGGCGAGGCTACTCAACTGCTGCAGGGATACCGAGAGATGTTTTCCGCTACCCCCGGCTATACCTCCGCTGCGGTCCACCGTGTGGAAACCCAGGGAGAGACGCCCCTACGGCAACAGCCATATCGGATCCCGGAAGCAGTACGTGAGAGTATGCTCACCGAGTTAAGGGATATGTTAAGGCTAGGGGTAATAGAACCCTCCCAAAGTCCTTGGGCCTCCCCGGTGGTACTAGTACCGAAGCGCGACGGCACTACGCGCTTCTGTGTAGATTACCGGAGGCTTAACGACCGTACCATAACCGATGCCTACCCCATGCCTAGAATAGATGAGCTCTTAGATCGTATGGCGGGGGGGAACTACTTGACTACCCTGGACCTGTGCAAGGGTTATTGGCAGATCCCCCTGGAGCCTGCGGCCATCCCCAAGTCGGCGTTCGTCACCCCGTTTGGGCTATACCAATTCAAGGTTATGCCCTTTGGGATGAAGAACGCCCCGGCTACGTTTCAGCGGATGGCGGATAGGCTCCTGGAGGGATTGCAGGACTTCGCATGTGCGTATCTAGATGATATTGCCATCTATAGCCGCACATGGGGAGACCATCTGGGTCATGTGTCCAGGGTACTCGAACGAATCCACCTCGCCGGGCTCACTTTAAAACCCGACAAATGTCACGTAGGCCTAGCCGAGGTCCAGTATCTGGGTCACCGGGTCGGCTCCGGTAGACAACGCCCAGAGCCCGCTAAGGTAGAGGCCATAGCTAACTGGCCCCAACCCCGGACCAAAACCCAGGTACTGGCTTTCTTAGGGACGGCCGGGTATTACAGGAAGTTCGTCCCAGAATATAGCGCCCTGGCCAAGCCCCTCACGGACCTTACCAAAAAGGCCCTTCCCAAACAGGTCGCCTGGACCCCAGAGTGCACGGACGCTTTCCAGAAGCTCAAAGCGGCATTGAGTGAGGCCCCTGTGTTGGCAGCGCCCGATTACACTAAACAATTTCTTGTACACACAGATGCCTCCATGTTTGGGCTGGGAGCCGTACTAAGCCAGGTTGGGGCGGATGGCATGGAACACCCGGTGGCATACCTCAGCCGTAAACTTTTGCCCCGAGAAGTCAGCTATGCCACCGTAGAAAAAGAGTGCTTGGCCCTCGTGTGGGCCCTCAAGAAACTTCAGCCCTATCTGTATGGGCGAGCGTTTACCCTTATGACCGACCACAACCCCCTGGTATGGCTCAACCGGGTAGCTGGTGACAACCCCAGGCTACTCCGGTGGAGCCTAGCTCTCCAACCATACAATTTTACCATGCAGTACCGTCCGGGTAAACAAAATGGGAATGCGGATGGACTGTCCCGCCAGACCGAACTGGACACCTAAAAGCGTACTTTCATCGGACATCCCCAAGCCAACCCGACAGGGTCTAGGCGGGTATGCCGACCTATGGACTTATAGGGGAGCAGTGTGAAGAAATGACTCCGTTCATCAGGATTTCTACCTTTGTTGCACAAGTTAATTCACCCAATTCAGCTGGAATTCGGCATATAGCTATAATTTCTACCATTCGAATGGATTCAGGCGAATTCCCCGTGTAAACTCTAGGTGGCCGCCATTTCGGCACTTTACACGTGGTCGCGGCCATTTTACGTGCGAACAGCGGTGTTTGCCCGTCAAACGCGTGGAACTAAAATCGGATACACAAACAGGCGAACACCGCTGAGACCTCCATACATCCAGAACTTCGCACGGAAAAAACCGAATGACCGGCCGTTCGGTAGTTACATGCAACTTCGTATGGGGATTTCAACGACCACGAAGATGCGAACGGATGGCAGGACTTTCGTCTTTTTTATTCGCCTAAACGGAGACCGACCGCAGGGCCAAAACTTATGGAACTATTTTCGGCTAGATGATCCGTGCGGTCGGTCAAAACTTTAGTGCTCCATAACTCCCGAACCATTCATCCGAATGGACTGATTTTTTGACATATTGTCCCCACCAGTGAGCACTATCCAGCGGTGCCCAATTTAAAGGTGTACCCCCTGTTTTTGGGGTACATCCAGAACTGGGGTAAAATAGTGCACGTTTTAATGAAGTTAACTGTTTATCAGAGGGGAGGGAGGTAGGGGCTGTAACCTGTACCTGATTGGTGATTTAATGCCTCCCCCTGGGTGTGTATTTTTTGTCTGTAACCCTAATAAAAAGCAGGCTGGAGATTCCAGACCTCAGATCTACTTGTATCCTGATTCTGGACTCTGACTGTTATTTGGGAATTCGTATGCTTTACCAAGGGGATTATCTTGGGAAGCTGTTATATTTCTTATGGACTTCATTGCTTGGAACTACCTTAGACGCTGGCATTGCAGGAGGAATTATCAAAGCGGTTCAGCTATACTTGATTTCCTTACAATACTAAACCTTGCAGTCCTTGCATGTGGTACATATTGAATAAATAATAAAGATACCTGCTCCAATTCACGTGAATACATATGGTTTGCCTCCACTGTTTTAAAAAAAAAAACAAAAAAAAAAAAACACATGCACACCTGTAGTATTTTGGGGAATTATTTACAAACAAAACCAAAAATGTTATTTTTCTGAAAATGTACCATATTTGTACATTTTTAATAAAAGTATTGTGTCTTTAAGGCTAATTTTTAGTTATTGCTCTCCATGACACCATGAACCCAGGTTCAAGGTTTTGGAAAATGATCAGCAGTAAAAGAGTAAATTAGATGTTTATAACAAATAAGACTCTCCCCCAAAAAATGTAGTACACAAAAAAGAATAATAAAAATTGTGCGATTACATACTGAATAAATTATGGAACCATTGTTATCTGACTATATGATTATTTACCTAGTACCATGGACAGAGACATGACAGCATACATTGCTTTTTTATTTTTTGATGACTGGTTCAGCATCAGACAAAAACATCTCTACTCCATAATAAGTAAAACTAAATAGGCTACATATATATGAAGGGATTGCTCCCACCAAAAAAAACCATTCCTTTCTTAAAACACTGGTTTTGGTTGTAGTAACCCTCTCTGTGGTATTTCTCTGTGCTGGTCCACATGAAACACCACACAACTTAAAACTTACCTTTTTTTCCCATGTGCCAAGGCTAAGTTCTCCCTCAGTCTGATCTTTCTCAACCGAGGATTCCTACCACACCCACCAGATTGTAAAGAAAACTGGGAGGTGGACTGAGTGGGGACCTTCAGCAGCTAAGGTGTTAACCTTTCTATGTGCAGCGTTTGTAGCAAAATGCTGCACAAACAGACTTCAGGCACCATGACCAATTCAAATCACTTGAGAGCCACATCTGTTACAGATGAATATTTAACCTGCAAATCCCAATTCTGTCAAAATACCTCAATTCTTGTATTTTCTGAAGGCCTTTGATAAAGTGCTATAAGCTTTTTCTTTTGCAGCCATCTCAAGTCTTCTAGCAGATCATCACTAAGCGATGTTTCCACAGGCAACGTCTCCTCATAGTTGCTTCTGGACCCCGTTTTTGAACCTTCTTCATCTAGCTCCCCGTCTCTTGCATGAATACACATAAGCAAATGAGCTGACTTTGAGTCAGTTTTAGTCAATGAAAAACTGACATCCTGATAAACTTTATTTATAGCCAGCCCAGATGAAAAGTGAAGATGGAACACACCAAGCAAAGCCTTCCAAAACTCTTCCACTGGAAGACGAGAAACAACCAGGTTGAGTTCAACTTTCAGCGGATCAAAAGCACATGTAGCTTCATCTGCTTCTGTCTCTGTTGGAATTTTATAAAGTTTGGGATCCAATGACTGATTTTCATCACTTGGTGCATTTTTAACTTCAAGAAAAGAAAATGAGGTACTTGGTCCAGGATCATCGACATCTTCCACCAAGGAGAAGTCCTCAAATCTCCTGTCTTCATGCATGTTCCAGTGGTGTTGTTTCTTTGCTTCTTCATCCAGCTTAACTGGAGGTGCCTTCTTTCTACGACTCATATTCAAATATCTGTTCTGGAAGGGAAAATAAGTACAAATGATTCATGCATTCAAGCACTGCACATGACTGAATATCATTATACCCCCCCTCCAGATTATGAAAGTCAACTAAATTCATATGTCCAACATAAATGTAGGGCTCTCCGTCTATATACTTCTGTATTTAAGTGTAATTTATATTAACAAATTTTTTTTTTTTTAAATAAAAAAAAACCAAGCAAAAACACTGGTGCTGGACTATGGTACATTAATTGGAGTAAAGAAACAATGATTCAGTAAAATAATACAGAGATATTATTCTAACACCATTTGCTATTAATAAAATATTGTTGTAGGATCTATGTTATATTAGGAAAATAATAGTATTGGTCTGAAGTTGTATCTAAAGCCATATACTGTAAACTATTGTTAGCCAGTTGTTCCCTGAGGATACACCTAGTTAACCTTTTATGTGATTTAAATTGCAACATGATATTGTCAGGTTGTTTTTATAATAGTTCGATAACGAAGAGTTACATTAGACAAGACAAAACATGGTGTAAGTAAAATGTTATTTTCGAAAACTGACAATGTATAAACTACATGTTTCTAGATATATATCTGTTAAAAAGTCTTCACACTAAAACTAAACACAGGAAGCATTTTAGATGTCAACAATAGGATACCTGATTCTCTTATACCAGCAGCAAGTTTCCTTCCTCGGTTTACGGCGTCGTGGTAACGTTGATTCTCTGTAAAGAGCTTACTACGTCTCTCGGGAGCGAGCACGCACACAGGCTGCAGACTGAGTGCGCGCGGTGAAAGTCCTGAAAGGTCAATAAATCATGCAAGTAGAATGTTTAGAAACATAGAACATTAACCCTTTATAATTAAAAACAACAAAACACAGGTAGTTTATTTAAAGTGCATTTCAATTAATAAAAAAGCAAGTCTGAATATTTTTTTTAAAGCATATATAATCACTAGTCCATTTTAATAGCATTAATTTCAGACAATAAAACCGTTTTATCCTACTATATAGCCACATAAATATGTGTTCACTGTTTCAGTTCCTGAGATGCCATGGGAAGTTGCCATGTGTTAACCCTTTCAGTTCCATGGATATGTTAAAAAAAATGGTAGATTTCTGTGGAACTGAAAAGGTTCATGAATACATATTCTAAGCATATAGGGGTATGGGAGATGGTTAATTTATTGGTGGTGATAAAAGAACAACAAATAAGAGCAGACTGATGACATGTACTTGGAAAACCATGAAGATTTACTATTAATTGATGTTAAGAGACATTACTGACTTCCTGCTTTTTTTTTTACTGGATAAAGCATTATCTTACATGCATGGGAGTTAACCCCTTAAGGACCAAACTTCTGGAATAAAAGGGAATCATGACATGTCACACATGTCATGTGTCCTTAAGGGGTTAAAGGACAATTAAGTCACCCAGACCACTACATCTCAATGAAGTGGTCTGGGTGCAATGGTCCTTTATTTTTAACCCTACAATGTAAAATGTAGAATTTTTGTTAGGAGCTACAATGTTTACATTGCACGGTTAAGCCCACTTCTAGTGCTTGTCTTACTGACTGCCACTAGATTCTCTTGTGCAGCGCTGCACTGACTGAGGAAGCTCATATGAATGCAGTGAATTATTATTATTATATTATTTATATAGCGCCATCAGACTCCGTAGCGCTGTACAATGGGTGGACTAACAGACATGTAATTGTAACCAGACAACTGGACGTACAGGAACAGAGGGGTGGAGGGCCCTGCTCAATGAGCTTACATTCAATGCTTTCCTATGAGAAGCACTGACTGTGCATCAGGTCCCAATGCTCTACTTTGAGGAACACTGGATTGGACCATCTCCAGAGGTGGTCATTTATCCTTGATGTTGTGGGAGGCAAAGATGTGAGCAGCACAGAGTGTGTCTCGGCACACTCTTGAGTAAAACCTTTATTTTATTAATTTTAACAGTAAAAAAAGGTAGGGGAGAGGTATATATAACTAAGGTCGGGGTCAATATAGCATTAGAAATGCGGGTTTAGTATTCCTCACACTACAGTGTTTCTTTAAATTCCCTCCTCATGCAGCCTGTATGTGTTGTGGAATCAATCAAGTAATTGATAATTTTGTGTATCTGCCCTTTTTCAAATTGGTTATGGTGCATGCATGCTTTCCAGAAGTAATTTCACACCAGACACATGTCTCCAGGTTGATGAAATACTTAGGAATGTTTAATCAGGAGGCAGGGAGCCCCTTATAAAGCAGAAATACATAATATGAATAATTACAGATAACAGAGAATATACATTAATAATTGGTTAGAAGTTAAGGGGTTTATCCCTCATACCATCCCACTGGGTGTGTATCCAACATCGGCATACAGTACTCTGCATTCCAGCACCACTTTGTAACACAAGGTAGTCAGTTGATGGGTGGGGTACTCCTGAGTGACATCTAGTGGCCATTTTAGTAATTCATTGAATAATATTGATTATTGTTATGCAGAGTAAATAGGCATTTTACTGATATTAATTTTGCTAATATTATGTCCACAACAGAAGAAAGGGATCAGCGCTCTCTATCTATACAAAATACAACAGAAACAATAATAAATAAGTAAAAAGTGTTGGTCTCACAAATAAAATAGGAGTACTTGAAACAAAAATCTGGGATATGGAAGATAGATCCAGGAGAGCAAACATCAGAATAAGAAATATCCCAGAAGAAGTATCCAAGGAAAAACTTGAAGACTTTCTCCTGGAATTCTTCAAGAATTTGATATCGGATGGGGACCCTCACGATTATTTAATAGACCGGTGTCATCGATTACCAAAACCGTATAATGTTTCGGAGAATTTAGCAAGGGATGTAATGGTGAAATTTCACTCCTACAAAACTAAAGAACGAATAATGGCAGCCATGAGGAACAAGCCGACAGTGGAGGAAAAGTTTAAGAACTTAAATATATTTCAAGATCTATCATTTACAACAAGATCGTGGTGAAAAACTTTTAAGGATTTACTGTTAATCTTGAGACAGAAGAACATCAATTATAGATGGGGCTTTCCTTCATCATTGAGAGTGTCTTGGAATGGAAAAACTGAAAAGTTCGACTCTAAAGAATCATTGAACAGTTGGATGGAACAAGCAAAGATTAAGTGATAACTGAAAAACTTCTTTTTTTTTTTTTTTTCTGATATCGGATAAGGATTATGATTATAAAACACAACTGAGTGAAGAAGATAAAAATACTTAAAATAATATTAAGCTTAAAATCACTAGTACACGAGATTAAAGGGGTAGAATAACTAATGTTAAAATGAACAGGTAGAAACAGATATGTAATAGATTGGAAGGTGAACATATAGTTTTAAAATAAAAGGAGTAGGACTTATAAAATATAAAAAGATGAAGAAGATATGAACACTTTAAAAGATTTGAAACACAAAACTATTAGAAAATGGTAAAATTGTTAATGATAAGAACACAAGGAAGAAATTGAAGTCATGTAATAGAAGTACAGTTTTTTTTTTGTGTTTTTTTTGAAAATATCTCAACGCACTCAGGTCTATAATAGAAATAGGCACCTCCTCCTCAAGGATAATTTCTTTTCCCAGCCATGTGTCCGTGGTTGAGACACAATAACCGATATGGCGAGAATGCGATTCTCGCATATCGAGAAAATGACTCTCCCATTTTTGATGGATGAGAGGCCATTTTTTCCTATCTGGTTTATAACCAGAAAGGAAGGGTATGAATGTTTTAATATATGTGTTGTGTTATTGTTGTGGTTGAACATGCCGTCGGGGATACTGGGAGGTTTTTGCGGGGTACATGGTTAAAATGTTATCAGCTAACACTCAGGGCCTGAACTCTCACTCTAAAAGAGCATTAGTATACGACTCTATGGTTAATCAAAAGATAGAGATTGGTTTCCTGCAAGAGACACATTGGAGACTGATCGATAAGGTAAAATGGGGAGGAGAAAGATTCCCACACTTGTTCCAGGCTTCGCTCAACGATTGTAAAAAAAGGGGGGTTGCTATATTGGTGGCAAATACGGTGAAATTCGAACTAATATATCAATATGCGGATAGGGAAGGTAGATTTTTAATTGTTATTTGTAAAATAAATGAAATTAAATATACTCTAGTCAATATATACCTGCCAAATTCTTTCCCTGTGGTTACTTTAAGAAAGATTTTGGAACAAGTGGAAATGATTAAGACTGGAGTATGTTTGATTGCAGGAGATTTCAATTGTGTGTTGGATCCAGTTTTAGATAAGAAACTTAGCATTAAGACCTCAGTGAACAGCTCAGTAGCTAAAATGGCAAAAAGCCTTAGAAATATAAAAAACGAGTTCGATTTTTTTTGATTTATGGAGATCTTCTTACCCAGAGAAACTGGATTATACTTTTTTCTCTAGAGTCCATTATTCATATTCACGTATTGATATGATTTGGGGGGATATGAATGCTTTAGAAAATTTAGAGAAAATTGACATCAGGAATAATACATGGTCGGATCACAGTATTAATATATGGACTATGAAAGACCAGTGGAACATTAAAAATAGAACGACATGGAGAATAAACGATTATATACTACATAATAAAAAAAATCAAGAGGTTCTTAGAACCCAGATAGATAGATTCTTTAAAGATAATAAACCTAATGAAACTACACATTCCAATAACTGGTGTACCTTTAAAGCTACAATAAGAGGCAGCTTAATAAGTATGGAAGCGTACTCTAAAAAATCTAAGAGAGAAGAACTAATTCCCTTACTTGATAAATTAGAGGAAAAATCTAAAGAGAATAAAAAAACTCCTTCTAGAGAGAACTCGGAGGTTATTGTTGAGATCCAAAATCAAATTAACCAAATAAAAATTGAGAAAAATACAAAGATAATGGGGAAATTGAAGTTGAAAGAATACTGTACAGGTAACAGAGCAGAAACTTTTAACTAAGAAGTTGAGAGAAAAAACTGCCTCCAAAAAAATCACTAGAATAAAGAGGAATGAAGAGACATATATTTCCCCCAAATCCATTGGTCAATGTTTTAACTCATATTACAGTGAATTATATTCCCTTTCAACCCAGGATAAGGAGATAGATAAATATCTAGAGGGTATTAATACTCCAGTAATATCAGAGGAGCAAAAAACAAGTCTTAATACTCTAATAACGGCTCAAGAGGTGGAAGAAGTTATTAAAAAACTGGAGAATAACAAGACCCCTGGCCCAGACAGATTTTCAAACTTATTTTATAAAGCCTTTGGAGATTTACTTATAAAACAACTGGTAGATCTATTCAATAATATTGTAGATAGAGGACAATTTCCAAAGGAAATGTTGAGAGCAAACATATTACCAATTCCAAAGCAGAATAAAGACCAGGGGGAAGTGGAAAACTATAGGCCAATTTCTCTTATAAATACCGATGTAAAGATTTTTTCTGCAATAATAGCAAATAGATTAAAACCCACTTTAAACAATATAATTGACCCTGATCAAATAGTGTTTGTTCCGGGAAGAATTTCTTCAGATAATACAAGGTGTATAATAGACATTATAGATTTAGCGAATAGGACAGAAATACCTATGACAATTTTAACAGTTGACGCAGAAAAGGCTTTTGATAGGGTTGACTGGGAATTTATGAGTAAGTCTTTGCTGAAATTTGGTTATCAGGGTTGGATCCATAGAGCTATAATGTCCTTATATCTTGGTCCTTCGGCTAGGACAGTAGGACCT